TGCCAGCATTTTTGCCAGATTTTTCATACGTCAGGCATACACTGGCTAAAACGTCAAGGTGGGACAGGGCCTTGAAGAGGAAATTTCACAATTTATAAATTTGACATTGGTTTTTTTATCCCGTAGGTTGTAAAAAAATGTCTGTTGATTTTCAAACCAATATTCATACACTGAGCTATTAAAAGCGTACTATGCCGTCATACAGTCAAAAAGAAAAGGAAAATGTTATGAAAAACCTAAATCCTGTAGCAAAAAAACAAAGATTATGGTTGTTCACACAAATTAACTGTTGTTTAATTAAATGCTTTGAGATTTAAGCAGCTATTGATCTGCTTTACATGAAAGACTGTCGCTTTAGTGATCATCCATCTAGACCAAATTATGTCAGCAGGCTTACTGATACAAAAATCAGTTATACAAGCCTTGGTAATGTAGAATTTAAATCCATTTGAAACAAGTACTTTGTGATCAAAACATTTGGGGTCCATTGCTGTTGAGTTGATCTCCATTCAGAGCTAAAAAAAGAAAAATCAAAAATGTGTTTGAAACATCCTATGAATATTTTGGGTCATCCTAATGTGATACCATCACACATTTGCTCCATGTTGTATGTTCACTGTTAAAGGGGAACACAGTTTTTTTACATTTGGCCCTTGATTTTACGTTATTACTAGTGTTGCACCGATACCGATACCAGTATCGGGCGGGGCCCCAATCCAGCACTAAAATGGTGGTATCGGTATCGGCGAGTACCAACAAATAGGGCACCGATACCATTTTGAGAGCCAAAAGTTTATTCAACTATTGTCACCCACTCCAGGTAGGCAATAAAAAGTTCTACTGGATTCACTTTGTATTAGATTTTTTCCTGCTTCACAAAGGTAGGCAGCAGGTTGACAAAGCCATGATGGCAATTATTTTACATTATTATGGTATCGGTATCGCCAGATACTGCACAGCCAGGTATCGGGTATCGGTATTGGGGCCAAAAAATAGCATCGGCGCAACACTAGTTATTACATCATGTTCCACTCTCCCATATTAGTTTTGTGTCATTTGGAGCTGAAGATGTCTGGGGGACAGTGATCCGCCTACATGTTATGAATGCTGGCGTACCATAAAGAATAAATTATGAACAGTTTAGTTTGTGCCTTTAACTCGTTGCCCATAGGAAGATGTTACTTGGATATAGCAAAACCGAATATCTTCAGAACAGCTCCAATTGACACAAAGCTAATATGGATTAGTACAGCATGATGTAATAACCTAAAATCAAGGGGGTCAATATAAAAAAAAAACAGTGTTCCCCTTTAAGTATTCTGCATATCTTGGATTCAGCACATTTGTATTTAAGCTATTCTTGCCTTTCTATTATCTGGAACTGGTCTGCTCATTGTCTGCTGACTTTAAAAACAAGACATTTTATCCAGATGTTTGCTCACTGTATATTCCTATTTTCTCCTTGAAATAATCAAGCAAACCTGTCATACACCAACAGCCAACAAAATCCCCTTTCTTCGGCAGATTGCATTAATCCACATTTACAGGACTTGATACTTTCGGGTGCTGCAATGTAACTGACTGATTTGCTAAATGTAAGCAAGCAGTTAAAGAACTGTAAATGGCAAACTGATCATTGACTATAAATTTTACTCAGAGAATCTTTAATCTCAGTACTGTCACCAACACATAATGTATATTTGTTGGTTAACATTGCCTCATTGTGACCAGCTTCCATTCTTCTTCATCATCTTTTGGCTTTTCCCTTTCAGTGCTCCCCACAGTGAGACATCTGTCTCTATCTAACCCTATCCCCTACATCAGCCCATGCATGGAAATAATTGATTGACTTTTATTGTTAATTTCGGATTTTTTATGCCGGATCTCCTTCATGACGCATCCCTCAGCATTTTTCCAGGTTTGGGACTGGCTTAAAAAGGATGTCACCGGATGGGGCTGCATTAGGAAGGAATATATAGCTAAAATACAAAATACACTGCAAAAACAATCTAGAAATAAGTAAAAAAATGTCTGAAATTAAGTAAATTTGACCCTAATTTGAGTAGGTAAATAAGAAGATCTGCCAATGGAATAAGATTGTTTACTCTTAAAATAAGATAATTAGAAAATGTGCTCGTAAAATAAGACAAAGCAATTATATTTACTTTGTTTAAGTGTAAATTGTCTTGTTCCACTGACAAAGTGCCTCACTTGCCTCCTCAATGCACTTATTTTAAGAAATAATTACTTATTTAGATTTACCGGTACGTTTTTTTGCAGTGTAGGAAATGAAACTAACAAACTTAACTAATAGTCCAATGTCTCATTAAAACAGCCTGTTTATATTGCCTATGGTTGTGTTTTTCTCTGTCTAGTAACTATAGCTCTACAGTAAACTTAAGAAAATTTCATTTCGAAATTTACATTTGTTCTCCTCTTCTCAGCAAAAAGTTCTGGGCTGGTGAACAGAGGTGCAGATGGCCTGCAGTCAGCAGCATATGTTGTTATTTTCCTGTCAGGCAGTGCTGTGTTTATCTGTGAGGGAAGAGGGGAGTTAAATAACATATTTCATCAGAATTCCTCCGAAGTGTGCCTGTGCCACATGAAGAGACACTTCTTTAAAACTGATGCAGCAGAAGTGAAATGCAAGTACGTGCAGGGAAATGTTACTGAAAAAAGATGTGCTTGTTTTAAGCAGTAATGTTCATTCTCTTGGAGGATATTTCACTGAAATGAAACAACTTTGTGGGAAAAATGTGCAAGCAGCTAATGAGAGTCTTGAATAGTTTCAAAGTCTTAAAGAATCTGTCCCATCCGTACCTTCAGAAGAGTTTTACTGAAAACAAGAAGGAAGAAGAAGAGGAGGGAGGAGGCAAAGAAGCTCTGTATTGGTCATTACAGTAAGAGGGGTCGGTCCTCCTTTCTCTCTTCCTCCAACACAAGGTTGAGCGAGTGGTAGAAACATAGCAAGCCTGAACCGACTGAGGATATGTGAAGAACCAAGAGCTGAGGAAAAGACGCAACCTTTTAGTTCGATGAAAAAGCAGAGATGGAGACAGCAGCAAAGAGTGACGGTCTGAGGTGGAGGGTTGGAATAGAGATGGAGAGCTGCAGAGGGATGAGGGACTGAGCTGCTGTTTCACATCTGTACGAGAAGTTTGAACGGGTGTTGCTCTCATGGCAGGACCCACTCCACAGGAGCCCGTAAAGGTGATGTATTAGTAACTCTCGCCTTGTACATAGATTGAAATTTATTGCATTTCTTTCAAAACTAGGATTAAAGAAATTATTTAACACATTTTTTTCACTCCAAATACCAATAGAGTGCATTTACTGCATTGGATTTAAATAGATAAAAAGTGTAGCTTTCTCTACCAGATTTATTTTGGGATTGAATGCTATTAACTGGGTTGTGACAGATATTGTTTTATCTATTTGTCAGTCTAATCTTTTTCAAAGGCAAGAAAAAATGTAATTTGGGAAAATAGAGGACAGTTTTAAATATGTTTCGAATACATATCTGCTACCTCTGCATCCAGATCTCATAGAAATATAGAAATGTATAAATCTGATGAATAAACGAAAAGAAAAAAGTATATCATAGAGTTCATTAGGTAAAAATAATAACCTAATCTAATTTAATCGAAATATTGAAAATTGAGAAAGTTAACAATACATTTGTAAGATTAATGTAATGATGAAAGTTTTCTGTAAAATAAACTTTCATCATAATTTAGACTATAAAATCTATATAGAACTAAAACATTTCATATGTTTTGTATCTTACATGTCCGGATTTAGAGGAATTTGATAAAAAAAATAATTTGTATTAATTCTGCCAGTTTCCAGCCAAGTCAGCTGGTTTTACTGGCCTCTCTAGACTTACTCCTGTGTTTTTGGGGTGACTCAGGAGGGTGTGACATACTGGACTGTCTCTGCCTTTCAGTCCAGTTGTACTTTATTAAGTTTTATTTCCTTCGTGACCATGCAGAAATCCACGTGTCATGTTTCGTCCTTCACTAAATGAATTGAAGAGCTCCAATGGTCTCCTTCGACAGCGGAGGAGCTGAGAAGCTAAGCCTTATTACGAGACAAACCTTAAGGGAAGGAGTGATGTTCAAAAATATCCTGCAAACTGCATCTCCATGCCAGGCAGCTGAATAATGTTTTTTATTTTTCGTTGATGAAAGTTGTTGCCTTCGGAGGTGCGGGCGTGCATGAGTGGTCTTATTTCTTTCTCGCTGCATGCACAGACGAGTTCATCAGTGGGATGAAATTGACTGGACTGAACAAACGCTCAAAAGAGAATAAGTAATGGGACCTTGACAGCTCCCAAACCAACACAGCCAAACGGGAATGAGCTGAGGGAAATCCTGCAGCTGTAAGCAAAACCGAGGTACCTCACTGCACTTCTAAAACTAAGAGATCCAACCCTCGTTATGATGGATCAGGGTTGTACTGTTATAACTTCCAACCACAAAGCTGGCTGTCACTCAAAACATATTGCAACTGCTGTGTACCAAATACAGCACAGGTATGTTTATGCACACAAATACAGCCTTTGATATTGCTTTTCAGAAAAGCAACGCTGTCTCTGCCCATCCTGGGACAGAACTCATAAGTTTCTTTTCACCTGAGGATGTGTTGGACAACAAATTAGGAGAAATACAGAGATCCACAGTATGTGCCTTTATAACTGCCTCGGCTAGACAGTGTCTCACTTTCGCAATTCACTTTTTAGCTGCACTTTTCTTATACCTAGTTGGACTAAGATGAGGTGCCATGAACTCTGCACTGCACTCTTTCTGAATCTAAGGGATTCCAACTGTCGCATAGTACTTGCATCGATCATGACTCCTAACCTCTAATCGATGGCATTGACCAAAGACATTAACATTCAAAGGCTGATCATTTTCCCTGGTTGCAACCCCCTCTCCTAACAACTAATGATGTGGTGTGACTTCAATTAATGTTGTGTGTCTGTCTAACTCTTCTTCCAGACCCAGCAGAAGTGCATCGCCACGCTTGCCCTCTTCTGCTGCTCTGCTGTTCTAATGGTCCTGATCTTCTCCTCTGTGGACTTCTGGGTAGACAGCGAGGATGGGATCACAGAGGAAAACTGCAGCCGAGACTGTAGGTGAGAAGTTCTGTAAACAGGGGCGGCCTGAGTGAGTGGCCTTCTCTACAGAGTCTGTAAGCCTCCTCCTGACTGGGCCTTGCAGACATGATCACACGGGAAGTAATGACAGGAATCAATTGACTGACAGGTCGTCATCCATTTTGCGGTACGTGGGGTAAGTGGTAAGTGTCAGTCAAAGGCTTCCTGACACTACATCCCATGTGATTGTGTCTGCAAAACCCAATCAGTAGAAGGCTTACAGAAGATGTCAAAACGCATTTTCTTTTACACAAGGAGAAAATCAGTCCGAGGGCAGAGACGCTTTTGAGCATGTAGCTGTCCTTGAGCGTGGCCACTGTATAGAAAATCATGAAAATCGGTGAGATCCCCAGCACGATCCCGAAAGCGCAAGGGAGGAGCTGGCGAGCATGGAGAACGATTTTCTCCTCTCTAAGTGGCAGTTTCTTGTGCATGTGTGATTTTGTTGTGCGGTGGTATATAAACCATGCGCAGAAGTAGTTTGCCAGTATGTTTATTTTGTTGAAATAAATGTGCCACCATAACTGTCCCTGTGTTGCCCTGCAATGGCTCTTGTCCAGAATGTACCTCACCTGTCGCTGATAGACCACATTGAGATCAGATAAGGAACAGAAAATGGATGGACATAAAAAGGTTATGTAACACTTTAGATTACATACATTACACTTAAATAAGGAGAGCTAGAATACGGGGTAAGCTTTTCCATGAAACAAATAAAGAAGACAGCCCTGTACTCCAATGGACAGTCTGTTTTATCACACAGTCATAAATATAATACATGCTCAAATGTGAATTTGATCAACATTAATACAGATTATTCACTAATGCGAGGTATTCAGCTATATCTGTTGTGAGCCGTCAAAAAGCTGCATATTTTAAATCCAGCAATAAAAATTCTCCTCCACTTAGCAGTGCTTTCTTTCTCAGTTGTTAATGAAAATAATACATGCTTGTTTTGTACAATTAAGAAATTGGTCACTACAGCTCTCAAAGAAACTACACTGAAAAAAACAACAAAAAAGATTTACTTAAAAAATAGATTGTAAGTATTGGCACGCAATTGATTTAAGTAAAATGTAATGCTGCAATATTAAGTAACACTTGCCAGTATAAAGTGAATTTTAGCTTCCTTATGACATAACAGTTGTGAAGATATTAACTAGCAGTTACTTAATTACATCCAAGTTGTATGTTAGATTTATTTAAACAAATTAAGTAAAGTGTACGGTATGTGTCTTTCATAGGCAAAAACTGCATTTTACTCAAAATTTTAAGGCAACACGGAGATAAACAACCATTCAGACCCTCACACCTAAGGAAAATGTAGAGAAGCCAGTTAACCTAACATAATGTTTTTGGACTGTGGGAGGAAGCCGGAGTACCCAAAGAGAACCCATGCACGCACAGGGAGAACATGCAGAAAGTCCATGCAGAGAGACCCCGGGCCGGGAATCAATCCCGGAACCTTCTTGGTGCAAAGCGGCAGTGCCACCCACTGCGCTTCTGAGCAGCTCTCTAACTTTTCAAATATGCAATAAAACATCTAAACCCTCTGAAACGTTAGTTACAGAAGTATACTCGTATGTAATGTATGATCAAAAATGCACCACATCCGACACAGATCTGCTAATATAGTCACTACTGAAATATGCGATAAAAATCTTACAAACACACAAACTGAAACAGTGCAAATTCAACATTTAAACCAGTCGTCTAGACTAGTGGACTTTTAGGAATGCAATTACAACATTAATGAAACAAAATCAACACAATTAAAATTACCAGCTTCAACCGTCTATCAACTCTCAATGAAGAATAAAATGTCTACTAGATATTTGAATAAAGGTATCTTTTATTTTTTGGTCAGATAACATATACATTATTTGACAAGAAATAAGAAATATTAATTACAGGAAATCTTCCACTAAGATTAACTGGAACCCACTACTAATTGTTGGCATTTGATGCCACATTTTCCTACCCTAAGATGACAAAGTCATGAATGCATTTAGAAAAGCAACTTCAACTTTAGGGTGTTTACTTTTGGGGACAGTTTAAATCCATCCAACTTCGGGAAAAGTTTTTGGAAGACTTCACAAGCGTAGCACAAAGTGGGAGGGTATGCCAGTGGGAGGGTATATCAGTCCCAATAGCAGCGAGCAGGCTTTTGCTGTACTGTTGCACCCTGCCACAATGATTGTCATCGGGACTACCTCTTGCTCTGTGTGTGATCCTGTAACGTCTGGACTCGGAGCAGAAACATTCCTGCTATAAGCTACAGTGCACATGCGCCGTGTGTGCATTTCAAAACGCTACATATTTAGAGTAAAGTTTCTGTAGTATTTTTTGGTTTATGTACATACTGCTATTAAACATTTCAATAGTATAAGGAAATCTAAGTAAAACTTACTCTTTCCCCAAAATTAATGTATTATATTAAAACAAAAAAGTTTAGTTTTATTTCACAAACTCTAGTTTTTACTATAGCTTAAAAATACGGAGTAGAAATTATGGCAAATACTCTTCAGTGGCAAATACTTTTTTAGTGTACAAAAGGAGTAAAGAAATGGTTCCTTACAGAATCGTCGTGGTGGAGAACATCCCAGATGACTTCTCTCTCCACATGGATGGCAGGCATCACATTCCTCTTTCTGTTGCCTTCCAAACATTACTGGAACAAGCAAAACTCTCAGTGGAGGTGGTGTCATCTGTCTGGGATTTAAATGCTTGGGATGTGGAGCCAACATCCAGTGCAGCAGCACAGGTATGTATCTTTATGCAGAAAGTAATCTTTAATTTTTAAGTGTCCTAACAGAGCAAACCCAATTACTGTTTAATTAAAAACCTGTGTCATATTTTTAATGAGGTTACAGCTGCTTAGATGTGAGTGTTGCCCTTTTGGAAGACTGAAACATTACTGAAATCCTTGCTTACAGCAGGATAGAACATTTTTTTCTCTTCCTCAGGGTCAGCTTCTGTTCCAGAGACTGCTCAGGCTGAAATCTCGTGGGGTTAAACTGAAGATTGCTAGTAGTCTGACAAACTCTTCTGAGCTGAAATCTTTGGCAGCACACAGTGAGTTACTGTCACATTCTGATCTTATAATGTCTATTTCTTATACTACTGTGACAAATGATGACTGTGGCTTATGTCATCACCCAGCAATCTGCAGCCATTTCCTACTTTTTAAACTTTTTTGCTGTTATGTAGAGAGTTTGGAAAAATGGTGCTACATGCACCGAACTTAGTTTGTCTTGGAGCAAACTGAGGTTCATATTGCAGTGCCTTGCAAATTATGGTGGAAAAATGATTAATGGTTTTCTACCTTTTAAAAATAATCAGAATCAATTTTTTTTTGCCAAGTAGGTTTGCACTTATTTGACTTGGTGTTGATGATGCAGAAAAATTAGATATATATACAGAATACTAAATCTATAGGTATATACAATATAAAACATGCAATATACTATATATAGTATATAGCTATTCACTATATACACAGTTAGCTACGCTTTAAATGTAACAGAGGAGGTCTGGAGATGCTACGTTGGTTTAGCTTCTAGGTCCTGAACAGCGGAGGGAGAAAGGCTGTGTCAAGTGTCACGGGGGTCGTTGGGCCTTGTTGATAAGGTTGGTAGCGGATGGAAAGAAACTGTTCTTGTACCATGAGGTTTTGGTTCAGATGGCCTCCTGCCAGAGGAAAGTGACTGAAATAGTTTTTGGCTGGGAGTACGAGAGATCAGCCACAATGTTATCTGCAGGCCCCAGAGTCCTGGAGGCATACAGATCCTGGAGAGATGGAAGATTGCAGCCAATCACCTTCTCTGCAGACCGGATGACCCGCTGCAGTCTGCCCTTGTCCTTAATGGTGGCAACAGTTTACCAGATGGTGATGAAGGAGGTGAGGATGGACTCAATGATTGAGGAGTAGAACTGCACCGTCATTGTCCTGGGCAGGTTGAATTTTTGTTCAGCTGCTTTGCTGGGCTTTCTTGGTGAGGGATGGAGTTGATGTTCAGCTCTCACGTTAGGTCCAGCGCGATGATAGTTCCAAAGAAGCGGAATGACTCCACAGTGTCAACTGTGGAGTTCTTCCTGAAGTCCACAACCATCTTCTCTGTTTTTAAAGCGTTGAGCTCCAGATTGTTCTCCCTGCACCAGGTCGTCGGATGGTCACCCTCCCACCTGTAGGCGGACTCGTCACCATCAGAGACAAAGCTCTAAAATGTCCAATTGATTAAAATCTGATACACCTAAACGAAATCCAGTGCAACCAATTTCTCTCAGATATGTTGTGTGTGTGTGAGACTTTGTCTCGTAGCGAATCCGCCTGCTGTGTGATGCATTCAGAGCTTTGTTAAAGATCATTAGGGAAAAGCATTTAAACCAAGGAACACAGCAGATAGTTAAGGGACAAAAATCTACCATTCTGGCATTATTGGTTCTGTTCAGTTTTCACTTTGGGTTTTCAGTCAGGCTTCGATTTATGTTATTCTGTTTTTTACCGTTAAATGTTATATCATTTTTTAATTACTTCCTCTCCTGTTTAGTTTTGTTTAAGTTAGTCTTATTCCTTATTCTTAGTTTTATTTTATTATTTACAGTTATCTTTAGGTTATATTTCCCAGTTACTATTCATTGCCCTGGTGTCACCTTCTGGATTTTCTCTGCTCACCTTTTCCCACTCAGATCTTTACTTCAATCTTTGTCCTGTTAGTCTCTTCTCAAGCATATATCAAACCCTCCTCTGCAGTTTGTCTTTGCTGGTTTGTCGTCTTTATTTCATGTCCGCATCAGCTCCTGTCAGCCACCTCCCGTGTTCCCTGTTCTAGGCCTTTTGTTCATTGCCTGATTACTTGTGGATTTATAATACCTCTGACTTCATCATTAAATGTACAAGAACTCGCCTCTGCCTCCGCTTCTGCATTTTGGGTCCATCTGCTAACTTCTAAACATCCTGACAATAAGAAGATTAGGTGAAACGACAAAAGTAGGGTAAAAATTCAAATATACCAAAAAATTACCATCCCACCACAGTCTGACAAGCCATAGAAGTGGTGACCATAAGTCAGATAAGTAGATGTGTGTGTGTGTGTGTATATATATATATATATATATATATATATATATACAGTGGTGTGAAAAAGTGTTTGCCCCCTTCCTCATTTCCTGTTTTTTTTGCATGTTTGTCACACTTAATGGTTTCGGAACATCAAACCAATTTAAACAATAGTCAAGGACAACACAAGTAAACACAAAATACAATTTGTAAATGAAGGTGTTTATTATCAAAGGAGAAAAAAAAATCCAAACCATCATGGCCCTGTGTGAAAAAGTGATTGCCCCCCTCATTAAAATATATTATAACTGTGGTTTTAAACAGCTGAGTTAAATTTTTCTAGCCACACCCAGGCCTGATTATTGCCACACCTGTTTTCAATCAAGACATCACTTAAATAGGAGCTGCCTGACACAGTAAAGTCCACCAAAAGATCCTTAAAAGCTACCCATCATGCCAAAGATCCAAAGAAATCCAGGAACAATTGAGAAAGAAAATAATTAAGATCTATCAGTCTGGAAAGGGTTAAAAAGCCATTTTCAAAGCTTTGGGAATCCAGCGAACCACAGTGAGAGTCATTATCCACAAATGGTGAAGACATGGAACAGTGGTGCACCTTTCCAGGTGTGGCCGGCCACCCAAAATTACCCCAAGAGCACAGAGACGACTCATCCAAGAGGTCACAAAAGACTCCACAACAGAGTCCAAAGAACTGCAGGCCTCACTTGCCTCAGTTAAGGTCAGCATTCATGCCTCCACCATCAGAAAAGACTGGGCATAAATGGCCTGCATGGCAGGGTTCCAAGAAGAAAACCACTGCTGAGCAAAAACAACATTAAAGCTCGTCTCAATTTTTCCAAAACACATCTTGATGATCCCAAAGACTTTTGGGAAAACATTCTGTGGACCGATGAGACAAAAGTGGAACTCTTTGGATGGTGTGTGTCCCATTACATTTGACGTAAAAGGAACACTGCATTTCAGAAAAAGAACATTATACAACAGTAAAATATGGAGGTGGTAGTGTGATGGTCTGGGGCTGTTTTGCTGCGTCAGGACCTGGAAGACTTGCTGTGATAAATGAAACTATGAATTCTGCTGTCTACCAAAAGATCTTGAAGGAGAATATCCGACCATCTGTTTGTGAACTCAAGCTGAAACGAACTTGGGTTCTGCAGCAGGACAATGATCCTAAACACACCAGTAAGTGCACCACTGAATGGCTGAAGAAAAACAAAATGAAGACTTTGGAGTGGCCTAGCCAAAGTCCTGACCTAAATCCTATTGAGATGTTGTGGTATGACCTTAAAAAGGCCGTTCATGCTGGAAAACCCTCTAATGTAACTGAATTAGAACAATTCTGCAAAGATGAGTGGGCCAAAATCCCTCCAGAGCACTGTAAAAGACTCATTGCAAGTTATCACAAACCCTTGGTTGCAGTTGTTGCTGCTAAGGGTGGCCCAACCAGTTATTAGGGTTTAGGGGGCAATCACTTTTTCACACAGCGCCATGATGGTTTGGATTTTTTTCTCCTTTAATAATAAACACTTTCATCTACAAATTGCATTTTGTGTTTACTTGTGTTGTCCTTGACTATTGTTTAAATTGGTTTGATGTTCCGAAAAACTTAAGTGTGACAAACATGCGAAAAAACAGGAAATGAGAAAGGGGGCAAACACTTTTTCACACCACTGTATATATATATATATATATATATATATATATATATATATATATATATATATATATATATATATATATATATATATATATATATATATATATATATATATATATATATATATATACAAATAGTAAACCATGAGTCAGTTATTTGCCACTTCAGAATTTCCACTACTTTATGCTGGGCTATTACAAAACAATAAAGGTTTGTATTAACAGAAAAAGTATGTAAAAATTCAAAGGACTTAAGGGGGAAAGCCGTTTTTTTTTCTACATTGGGCCCTTGATTTTATTATCAGATCATGTTCTACTCACCCATATGAGTTGTGTGTCATTTGAAGCTGTTCTGAAGATATTCGGTTTTGTGATCCAAGTAACGTCTTCCTATGGGGACTTTAAGGCACAAACTAAACTGTTCATAATTTATTCGGATGATGTCGTACACACTCCGCCTTGTTTTAAAAAAATACAAATATAAAAAAATATACTTGCGGATGTCTGGGGGACAGTGATTCACCTATATGTTATGAATGATGGCGTACCATAAAGAACAAATTATGAACAGTTTAGTTCGTGCCTTCAAGTCGTTGCCCATAGGAAGACGTTACTTGGATATAACCTAACGGAATATCTTCAGAACAGCCCCAAATGACACAAAACTCACATGGGTGAGTAGAACATGACGTAATGACGTAAAATCAAGGGCCCAATGTAAAAGAAAAACGGCGTTGCCCTTTAAATGCTTTAGCATGTTATTGTGCATATCAGCTGACTGGTCTCCTCATTTATCATAAGTCAAAAAACACGTCAGGGAGCACAGCTGGTGAGCATGTTTCCACCTTTCTCGTCTCATAATACTGTTACAATTTTCCCAGTAAAACTGCTTCTCCCTCCACTGTCTGTAGATGCACAGGTTCATTTTGTAAACATGACAGCTTTGACTAAAGGAGGTCTACACTCCTCATTCTGGATAGTGGATCGGACGCACATTTACATTGGAAGCGCTGAAATGGACTGGAGGTCGCTGTCTAAGGTAACAACATCCATCAGCTGAGCTTGCTTTTTATTAGCTTCTGAGTTGTTCAAGTCTTGCAGTCAAACAGAAAATCTATTGAAATTCAGATCTACACTATATCTGCATCTTTTAAAGGGGCTTCTAATGCCGTCTCTTTTTATTTATCTTGTAATTCAAAGTAGAGGAAAGACCATTAAATATTAATAAGGTAAAACTGTAACACTGAACTGATTATCGGGCTCTTTTGATGTGTCAGCGCTGTATGGAGCAAGAACCAGAGCTGGGTGTAATAAAATAAGCAGCCAGAGGGGAGGAAAACAGACAGGTATAAATGTGAGAGAATATACATTTGGTGTACAGGAGAAACCCGTTGATCAAGGAGAGGGAAAACAGGAAGCATCGGGCAAAAATAAATGTAAATAGAAAGGTCTTTTTGTGTTTCTTTTGGAGGCACATATGATTTGAAATGAACCCACAACAAAGCTTTGATGCTCAGTGATTGACCATGCAAGTGCAGATGAAGAACTAATGTGTCTAGGTTTCATTTTTAGAAACAGCACAGTGTCATAGAATAAATAATTCCATTGATGAACAAACAATAAGAGGCAGCCAGTAAACTTAACAGTTTAGATTAGGGGTCTCCAACCCTATTCTTTAAGATCTAATATCCACTGTCTTCCTGCAGGTTTTAGATACTTTCCCTTCTCCAACACAGCTAATTCAAACGAATGGCTCGTTACTAGGCCTTTCCCAAACTTGATGGCTTAGTGAAGTAGTAACTCTGTCATTTGAATTTACTGTGTTTAAGCAAGGATGCATCTAAAATCTGCAGGGCAGAACATAGAGCCGATGATTTTGAGGGGTTTTACTGGTTTGGTGCACATAGCTGTGTCTTAACAAAATGCCAGGTAAGGAAGACATTAGCATTAACCTTGGTCACCAACTGACCTAAGGAATTATCACTTCAGTTGCCGACCATTTTAATGTAATATTCTAATAGCGAATAGATTTTTTTAGAACCTTTTTTTAGTGCTTCGATCCTTTTATTATTTAAGGTAGCTGCAAATAATCCCAATAGTAGAATATAGTAGATATTTTTGCAAACTCACCCAAGGCGAACCATGCAAAGCTCAGAGATTAGCATTAAAATAAGAGGTTCATGTCAGATATAGCGGGGTTGGTTGATGATAAAATTGACCTAAGTTCATTCAAATAAAAGCTGAGCATGATGAGCTCAAAAGAGTTGGCAGAAGAAGGTCTGAGAGACTAATGCAATAAGACTTAGAATTAAAGCTACAGCGGAATTTAGTTAAAGACTGTCTGTCGGGCAGAGGAGAGGTTTGGCTATAAAGCTCAGTAACATGATTGGAGAAAACTAAACAAATCACTGCTAATGTTTAATTCTAGCTGCCAGACAGGATTTGGACTTGTTTAATGAACACTGGACGACAGAAATCTGTCTAAAAAATTGTATTTATTATCCCAAAATAGTTTAACATTGATTACACAGCAGTTGATCTCAAACTGAATGACAGAAAATAAAAAAATCATCAGGCCGTTGAGGTCCAGTAAAAGTCCAAACCTAAACTAGGACATAAGCTATGCAAGAAAAATAGCAACAAAAAAATTGTAAACCTAAAAAGAAAGAAGAAAAAAAATCAAAGTTGTGGAGAAGAGCGAGAGAAACCACAACAACAACAACTGAAAGCTGTTTTAGAGATTGCTACATTAAAAGGTTGGTTCTGCAATCTATTTTATGATGGAGTGTACTTTATTTTCCTGTGACGATACTCAAGATATGTAGTTGTTCCTCATTCTGTCTAACCTTTAGAAAGGGTGTACACTAGAGACACCAACTTTTTTTCTGCATCATTTTTTTTTCTCTTTTTCCTGTCACACCCCAAAGAGGAAAGAACTTGGAGTGGTTGTGTATAACTGCAGCTGTCTCGCCCTGGACCTCCACAGAGTTTTCTCATTTTACTGGCAGCTTCACGACAGGGACTATATCCCCTCCATCTGGTCGAAGAGAGTTACAGCCCTCTATGGAAAACACCAGGCCCTGGAGCTGCAGCTTAATGCAACGCCGGCTACAGCTTACTTGTCTGTAAGGGGCTCTATATTGATGAAAAGAAGATTTATTATTTGTTTATATCCTTAGAGGTTACATTTCATTTATTATCCTGGTCTAACTTTTCTCAAACTTAACCACTCCTATACCTGTCTACACATATAGAAAGTATACATCTATATATATATATATATATATATATATATATATATATATATATATATATATATATATATATATATATATATACACACTTCCTGGCCAAAAAAAAGGTTCATTCACTCTAATACTTTGTTGGACCGCCTTTAGCTTTGATTACGGCACGCATTCGCTGTGGCATTGTTTCGATAAGCTTCTGCAATGTCAAAAGATTTATTTCCATCCAGTGTTGCATTAATTTTTCATCAAGATCTTGCATTGATGATGGTAGAGTCTGACCGCTGCGCAAAGCCCTCTCTAGCACGTCCCAAAGATTCTCAATGGGGTTGAGGTCTGGACTCTGTGGTGGCCAATCCATGTGTGAAAATGATGTGTCATGCTCCCTGAACCAGTCTTTCACAATCTGAGCCCGATGAATCCTGGCATTGTCATCTTGGAATATGCCTGTGCCATCAGGGAAGAAAAAGTCCATTGATGGAATAACCTGGTCATTCAGTATATTCAGGTAGTCAGTTGACCTCATTCTTTGAGCACATACTGTTGCTGAACCTAGACCTGACCAACTGCAGCAATCCCAGATCATAACACCGCCCCCACAGGCTTGTACAGTAGGCACTAGGCATGGTGGGTGCATCACTTCACCTGCCTCTCTTCTTACCCTGATTCGCCCATCACTCTGGAACAGGGTAAATCTGGACTCATCAGACCACATGACCTTCTTCCATTGCTCCACAGTCCAATCTTTATGCTCCCTAGCAAATTGAAGCCTTTTTTTCCGGTTAGCCTCACTGATTAGTGGTTTTCTTACGGCTACACAGCTGTTCATTCCCAATCCCTTGAGTTCCCTTCGCATTGTGCGTGTGGAAATGCTCTTACTTTCAGTATTAAACATAGCCCTGAGTTCTACTGTTGTTTTTCTTCGATTTGATCTCACCAAACGTTTAAGTGATCGCCGATCACGATCATTCAGGATTTTTTTCCGGCCACATTTCTTCCTTGAAGATGATGGGTCCCCACTATCCTTCCAGTTTTTAATAATGAGTTGGACAGTTCTTAACCCAATTTTAGTAGTTTCTGCAATCTCTTTAGATGTTTTCTCTGCTTGATGCATGCCAATGATTTGACCCTTCTCAAACAGACTAACATCTTTTCCACGACCACGGGATGTGTCTTTCAACATGGTTGTTTAGGAAATGAGAAGCAAGTCATTGCACCAGTTGGGGTTAAATAACTTTTTGCCAGCAAAAGGATAATCTCCCATGCAGTAATTATCCAATAGGAGGCTCCTACCTATTTGCTTAGTTGAATCCAGGTGGCGACATTTTTTTTGGCCAGGCAGTGTGTATATATATATATATATATATATATATATATATATATATATATATATATATATATATATATATATATATATATATATATATATATATACACACACACACACACACACACTCACACACACACATCTGACACAATGATAGAAAAAATAAATTCTCCTTTCTCACCCTTTTGAAAAAGCTTGTAATCTCATTCAGACAATAGCTGGTTAAATTAAGCATACATACAAAGGGCAAAATACATTTTTTCAGGACTAGTGAAAAATGCTATTTCCAATTACAATTTAATGATTTTATGTAACTCAGGTTCATATAAAAGATCACACATACAGCAAGAACAAATAGAGAGGGACACTGCAGGAAACAGCCAGATGCAATGCAAAACAATAAAGCAGAACACTGTACCAGCAGAACACATACAGTGATACAATACCACACAATAAGATGAAATATAATGAGATACAAAATAATTCCAATGCATATACTGAATATTCATACATATTAAAACCGTGGAATAAATATCTTAAAGAAATAGACCACTGCACAGAACTCCATGATCTGTTATTATATACTGCATTACAGCACTTTATCTTACACTTCCATAAAATGCAATACAATTTAGTGCAACACAATCTTGTGTGGTACGTATGATGTAATGTCTATAATGACATGCCAAACAACAAAATACACAGCAATGCACTATGGTGCAGCATGGTATTCCATAATAAATATATGGTTACACATTTTGCCATATAAATAGTCCCCATGGAGAAGAGGTTGTTTCCCTGGTGCCATTTTTTGGCCCCGATACCAATATCTGCTATCTACCTTTGTGAAGCAGGAAAAAGACTAATACAAAGTGAATCCAGTAGAATTTTTTTTTGCCTACCTGGAATGGGTGACAATAGTTGAATAAACCTTTGGGTCTCATAAAGGTATTGGTGCCCTATTTGTTGGAATACACCGATACCGATAACACCATTTTAGTGCTGGATCGGGGTCCGCCCGATACTGGTATCGGTGCAACACTAGAAGAGGTTAAAGTCTATTAATGTGATGCTGGAGACCAAGGGTTCCATCAGGAAGGAAATCCAGTGTAAAAACTTTAGCAAGTCTTAGAGCCAGTTGTAATGAGTTGCTGTGGAGGAGGTGAAAGGAAATAAACAATACTAATGTAAGGTAATGTAAAATTAAACAGTATGATACTATGTGATACAGTTTTGTAAGACATGATACTGACAATGTGATTAAGATTTGTAATACACAATATTTTATGTTGTGAACAGTGTTGGTCACTATTGGATAAATTACTTTATTTTGTTTGGTAACAGAGTAATCGAATTACTTTTATTTTCAGGAACGTTACTTAAATTCTAAAATGCTACAGTTGTATTTAAAGTTACAATAACAAGGAAGTAAGTTAAACTATATATCATCAAAATAACGGCATAGTTAACGTTCTATAATAAATAGTTTCTTTGGTAGGGCTGTGACTGAGTTATTTACAAAGTTACTTATTGGAAAAAGTAACTTGTAACTGGCTGTTGCACTGTATATATATATGTGATAAAATACGCTATCGATCTCTACTTGGATTTGTTTCTTATCTAAATTAAGGGCTGTTTTCACAAAGGATTAATACAGAGAACACAAAATACATTTTACAACAGAAGCATGATCCATCAATACAAGAAATATTCCAAATTCCCTATTAAAGAGAGAAAAAGAACATGGTTCAAGAAGAGTTAATATAAAAAAAATGTCATTGCATGGATCTACTTTACTATAAGTCTTAAGAGAAATATAGCCTTACACAACTCATTCAACCTAAATCAAAGGCCTTTATTGCACAAGGATTCAAGTACACACATCCAGTTCAAAAAGGGTAGTCCCTGAATACACCGAATCCAATTCTGTCTTTACTTTATAACCGATTAATAGTGCTACGACTTTTATCACTAAATTTAGACCTACCTTAATTCACTGCATAATATGTGGATAGATACAAACTCTTCACTGTTTTTTTGACTCCATAAGAAATAAAAATTATTATATTTATCCTGTTTGTGACTGCCTTTATCAAACCGTTCATTACAACCTAACAACACGTGCACACAGGAGATGATTTATCTTGTCAATATCCCACTGAGCTACATCCTGACTCTGACTATCTAAGTAATATAATCTAATTTGACTGTGATTATTCTGGCTTCTCTCCAAGCTATACAAACCTTATCAGTTGTATTTAGCACAGCATTTATCCCATAGAAGCTAATGGAGCCATGCTGTCACAGGACTCTGGATGCTCCAGATGCCTCTTTAGCCCTGCTTCCTCTAATAATAATCCCTGGCTACAGAAGGGGACATTGTTGGTTTCCTGCCAATTTCTCTATTCGAGAAATAAAAAAAAAAAAAACAGTTTAGTTCATAAGTCTCATAGCCCACACTAAGACTAGAATAAAAACACAGAAACAAAAAAATAATGTTTAGATAGTTCTTTTAACGCTGACCTGGATAATCTTGAATTCTTCTGTAATGTTTAGATGTGTGTATGTCAAAGTGCTGCATCCTTTCTGCAGACCTCCCCTGAACTCTTCTGCCCCAAAGATCGCACCAGAGATTTAGACGCCATCTATCAAGTCATCCAGAGCGCAAAGACGTTTATCTACATTTCTGTGACCGATTATCTCCCTTTGTTAGAAAGGAGTTCCAGAGGAACTTTTGTCACAAGGTATGTAAACTTGGAAAAGCTTTGAAATTCAGATTATTGTCTTATTTTTTTTTAGTAGTTATGAATCTGGTTTGTGTTTGAGCATCTTCTTTAAAACACATAGGTTATTAGATGACTTATTCGAGGGATGATTTGTTTCCAAAACTGTCTGCAGATACTGGTCAACTATCGATGAACTGATCAGAGAAGCTGTGATGCTCCGGAGAGTCAAGGTCCGCCTGCTCATAAGCTTCTGGAAGAAAACTCATCCCCTTACCTTTAATTTCGTGACCTCACTGAAATCTCTCTGCATGCAGCTTCACAACTGTTCCCTGGAGGTGGTAGGTGTATGCAGGTGTATGCTGCAACCTATTCATTCTACCTTTTTTCCAATTTTTCCTTGACTGAATAAAATCAAATTTATTTCCTGTAATCACAGAAGTTTTTCAGCCACAAGGAGCAGAATGATGACTTTCAACTGGGACTCAATCATAACAAGTACATGGTGACCGACAATGCTGTATACCTTGGTAGGTTATGTGAAAGATTTTTTTTTTGTGGATACTACTTGTAAATCAAATGCAAAACATTATATATATAGAGGGGAATACTAAAAGAAGAGACAATAACATTTCAGACGGGTCTTAATCATTTAGTTGCATGTTCTCCCTGTGCATGTTTGGGTTCTCTCCTGGTATTTTTGCTTCCCCTGACATTCCTAAAACATGACTGTTAGGTTAATTTGCATTGCTAAAGTTTTCCTTAGTTGTGTCTGCATTGTTGTGTGTCTCTGCATTGCCGTGCAACAGTCAAGGGTGCACCCCGCCTAACACCCATAGCCCGCTGGAGATAGGCACTGCCCCCACCACAACCCTTAATAAATAATTGTGGATGGATGTAAAAAAAAAAAAAATGCAAAACAAAAATTCGGTTGGTTTGAATTATCACCTTAAACCCCTATAAAACTCCATAAAATATGTGAAAATGTGGAAAAGTTCAAGCTATAAAATTACAATCGCTCTATAATGTGTTTACAGTTTGTAAGCTTTCAAATTTTTTCTTTACATATCCTACAAAAATGTATACTGATTATTTCATAAATCAGTATGGGGGATTTGAAACAGCCTGGAGCAGGCAAAACAACTGAGATATAGGGTATGAATTTTAACAAGAGATACATTAAAGTATTAATGAATCTATGTAAAATATTCAAATTTTTTTCTGATGTTGTAAAAAGAACATGTTTATTATAATAAGAAATATTACAGATAAGCTAACTTATATATTACAGATAAGCTACTTAAGCTAAATCTCCCCTCCATTTCGTCCACAGGAAACCATGACTGGGTCGGGAGCGACTTTGCAATAAATGCAGGAGTTGGACTGGTTGTCAGAATGAAGGACAGTGCCAAAGACAGAGGAGCCACAATCCTAGAACATATTAAATCTTCATTTGAGAGAGACTGGAGATCACGTTATGCAAAGAACCAACCAAGGAGCAAAGATCAGCAGGGAAAATACAAACTCTTGCAGTGGTCTAAAAATCACTGGGAAACCAAGGAGGAGCATGAGTGGAACGAACCTTTATAAGTTAAGAATGTGCAATAAAACACATTCAGTTAAATGCTGTATATGCTGAGCACTGCAGAATTAAAATGTACATGTACACTTATGGAAGTGTAAATCCATACTAATAGACCTTATTGTAACTTTGTTACATTAATGTAAAACATTCAATCAAAATGTATCTTTGACACAGCTGCAAAATGCAAGAGTGGCAGCTAATATATGTACTCAGTGAGTTATAAGCTGGGATGTTAGAATGTACTTCTGCATGATGGATGCAATCAATATTCAACTGCACAACAGTATATATGCAAGCAACATCATAAGAAGAATGTGTGCTGTTTCTGAAGCCCAGTAAACTGACCAACTATATTCGATTTTCCTTAACGATCCATCATTTCCTTTCATTTTGTTTAGGTTTATACAGTTACACTGTTTGGGTGACCAAAGAATTAATCCTTTTTAATTTCACATCATGTAACCTCTAGGTGTAACCCATTGCATCCCTTAAATGACATCCACAGATTGACATGATTATTTCATACCATGAGAACCATCAGAATGAAAAAGGTTTCCCTTTGTCTGTCTTTTTTTTTTGTTTGTTTGGGGATGGCAGAAAACAAACATTGGGTTGAGGGGTAATACATTTTTTCACATATTATTGATGCACAATATCATATTCATGCGATCAGCATTGGCTGATATTAGCTTTAGAGCTAATTTGCTGATATTGATCCCTCCACCAGTACAATCCATTAATATATAATGCGCAGTTTGGGTGACAAACAATTGAGGGTTATGCAAGTGGGTCACATGCACACAACTAACTGTCACAAATTTCAGAAACAGATAGCTGAACTGGTATTTGCAATGACAGGAAAGATGGGAGAAAACCCACATATTGTCTGTAAGTATAGGAATAAACTGTGTCGGTTGTCGGCTAATTAAATTGTAAAATGCATAAGATAGCGAAAATTCCATGATAGTGCATATGGTGTCAAAATACCATAGGCTTTCATTTAAAAAACAGGACATGAAATAATAAGAATTTCCGTAGTTATGCATAATCTGAAATGCTGGTTTAAAAGAATGCCTACAATAGGATGGTTTTAAGGGCCCTTGACTAAGGGGTAAGGGGGGGATTGGGGTAAAAGAAGTAGAAAATATTCGCCCCGCTATATTTTTTAATTATAAAAAGAAAATACAGTAGTAAAATAAATACTGTTCATGTTCTCTCTAATTTTTCAGAAGTAAACAGTGAAACAAAGCATGAATATGTTGACACCATGTTTGTCGTAGTGATAATGAAAGCTTGTAAATAAGCAGCAGTGTGGTAAAAACATAAAAATGCAGCCATGTTTTAAAAAGGAATGGAAAGGAAGGAGAAAGAAGAGAGACGGAGAAGGCATCCGATACCCTGACCCAATTTTTCCCCCCTCTCGTTTTTTTCAGAAGTGTTTCTTAACTAAATAACTCAAATTAGCAATAGATTATTAACCCGTTGAGTAAAATAATATAGCTATCTGCTCGATACAACTACGTAGTTATTCTTCCTAACTGGCGGTGGGGAATCACATCAGTAAAGATGTTGTCAGAAACAGAGCATGATTGCAAGTTTTTCATTATTATTTTGTTGTCTTTCATTTTTAGTTTTCAAGAAAAAATAAATCAGGATTAATCTAGTATTTAATGAGCCTGTTGTGTGTCTGTAAATAACACAGAGGAACACCGAGCTGAGAATTGACCTTTATCAACCAGACCAGACTTAAGGAAACATCATAGTCCTCAGAGGGCTAACATCAGGTAAACCCTAGTAGATGTTTAGCAAGATATTTACATTAAATATAACTGTCCTTCTCCCATCTCCATCATATAAACAGATGATTCCCCCCCCGCAGTGGGGCGAGCATATCACTGTCTTTCACGAGGCCCCAAATTCCTGGTGGCCCCCTGATTAGAAGCAAGGAACAATACCAAGAAGAGACAGTTGAAGGACAAGGCTTAATGGCTCCCCCTTTACAATCTGCATTATGGTACTCAGTATTTTGTGATATAAGATTAATATTTAAGCAAAAAGTTAACAATATACTATACACCAGATACATACAAAGTATATATTAACATTAAAACACTAGTTGTGTGGTTTCTAATTGTGGTCACAAGATGGTGCCATCGTTTCACCAAACCACAGCCCCTTGCAGCAAAAGTTTGCTGCAGTAATTTCCTTTTTCCTTCACAGTGATTAATGTGGACCACTAAGAAACTTCATAATAATATTTCTCTCCTGTCTGTTTGGATAAGAGATTGGTTGTTTTGACGAGTGGGTTGGTCTCCATGGTAACAGATAAACGACCAGCTCGCTCTAACAGCACGTTTGCCGTAGAAACTTAAAAACAAAGAGGATACATTTTTATTATATACATATACATTTTTTTATTTGTAATAGTTTTGCTATTTTAGTTGCTGTTCGGTTGTTTAAATATCGTTGACATATCAGTGCGGATTGTCCCGGTGAGGAGGGTCGGGAGGGGGAGGAGAGGGGAGGATACAGACGGCAGATGCCTTTGCAGCAATCTGGCAGGAAGGATGTCTGTTTGTGTCTGGTTGTTGTTTTGGGATCAAATGCGCAAACCTTTATTATATATTAGTTATGATAAGAAAAATGCAACTCGTATGTTTCCCAAATGACATGGAGGGAACGACTCCAAATAAGCGTCGCAATCTAGATTGAAAGGAGCTGGACTTCCTGTTGGGATAAAACACAAGCCTTTTGGGACGATGGAGAGTGGAGTTTTCCTGGCTTCCTTGGATCAATTCATGCTGAGCCCCCTTGTCACTTGGGTAAGTAGCAATATAAAATTTTTTTTTTTTTTTTCCAGATAAAAAATATTAATTTGTAAATGGATATTATGAATGCTTTACTCTAATACTTTGATTTTGCCTATAAATCAAACATAAACATTATGAATACATTTTTTCATCTAATTATTGTCAGAATATTGAGGTAATGTATTTATATGAGTTGCATAATAATACAATAAATATATCATAAGTTTTTGAGTAACCAAGAAACCTTAAAATCTAGTTTAAACTTTATAAAAAGTTGATATAGTTTATATCCAGATTTAGTTAGACTATTTAAAAACTATAATATTTACGATTTATGCTGTGCCCCTTTGGCTAAAAAGCAGATTTAGTTTTGGCAGCTTCTATTATCTCTTTATAAATCACATATAGGCTACATACATTTTCAAATATATCAACTCGATAAATAATATCTGTGCACTGCAGACTGAAAGATGCAGGGGGGGCAAACCCTGATTGCTCTATTTAGTTTTAATTGTGCATAAAATAATTTAAGCATATGATAATAATATGACAATAATATTCACTCAAAAATACTTAGCAAGCCAACACTGAAGACAAATAAAATCAAATAAAACCACACAAATAAAAAGGGAAGAAATCTGAATTGAGCTACTCTAAATATACAATGTATTCCTGTTGTGTTTTCTTTTAAGGAACTGTGGACATTTGATGTATACAACACTCTGATTAGGTTTAACATCATGATCAGCATTGGCACCCTGGCCTATGGTTGGTTACACAGCTCGATATTCAGCAAACGAGTTCACATTCTGACAGCGTTGTATCAGAACCAGCATTCACTTACACACTCTAGATTCTGGCTATCATAAAGCACAAAGTCATCTCTCAAGCTTTAAAGGTCTGCTTGGGCTGAGTGGCCATCCTTGTCTGCCTGAGAATGAATCGCTGGTATATCTTAATTTATATGACATAGTTTGGTGTGCTTCCATCATTACAGGACAGGTCTCTTCTGGGCTATGAAGTGTTATATTTTCCTGTGCATTAAATAAACTGCAAAATGTTTAGTTCCTTAAATGTTTAGGAACTAGTTATCTTCAATATGTTCCTGGTTCTATTATTAAAATGGTTACATATTTTTCATTTAGACCTGCTTTTAGCCTGGATGTTTTTTCCAGCATGTTTCAATAGTTACTCTGTCTTGATTATTGCATATCAAATGTTTTAAACATTAAAAACTTTTTTTTGTGCTTCTCCTGCCTGTCTCGAGATAAAAATGCATTTTCAATCAGATCTTTGAGCTCAAATAGTCTTTTCTGTTAGATAAAAGTTATACAAAATTACATAAATAATATCTTTATTAAGTTGTCTGAACTACAGGAAATCATACTAAGGACCTGACCATACATGTCAGCCTTTTCTCCTCACATGCATCGGTGGGCCTTTGCGATCTAAGAAAGTTTGGCCAATTTACCTTCAGTCTTTCAGTGGTCTTTTATGTTGGATTGACCAGAGCAGACTGAGATCTTCCCAATCAATCAAACTTGCTTAAGTATTCACGTTTTCTTATTTGCCCCCAAAAAAATGGCACCCCAAAGTCACCATAAAATAAACTCTGTTGCTACTTAGGTCCCCCAAACCATCATGAGCCTCAGATAAACATGTGAGCCTATTGATAATGATAATAGACTTTACATTTTATTTACTAGAGTTTCTAGCAAGGTTTTGAGTTTGAGCCCCGACAAAGGGGTCTTTCTGCATAGAGTTAGCAAATTCTCCCACAGCATAGGCAGGTTTTCTCCAGGTACTTATTGGTTCTGTCTGCTAGATGGGGCCAAGAATCTATCAGAGATCTTTATTAAACTGCTGTTAGTAAAGCTGATGTTTTTAACAGGAATAAAGCCCCCATGTGATTTTTTCCTGAGACCCCACACAACCTTAATCCAGCAACGTGCTGCCACTTATAAATAATAAAGGATCCATTATTTTAAAAAATAATCGTTCCGATTTCTGGTCCAGTCTTCTCCTCTCTGGCCCAATAATGAGAGACATAATACTGCCGTGTTTGTGTGTTAGAGGGATTGGGTCTGCTTGGTAGAATGTTGCCACTGCTCTTATCGGATTGTCTTGGCCTGATATCCTGTTATGTTGGATGTCCCATTGAATCAAATTTGTTCTAATCAGATACTGGAGTTTGACAATCTGAACTTTTTCAGCTGGATACGGTAGCCTAGATCAATGAATCAGAGAAGCTGGCTGGGAGACAGACAGTGCATCCGAACCGTGAAAGAAAAGAAAGGATACATATAAAGGGAATATATTCCACTTGGATTTACTTGAAAATCCAGGAGAATGTATTTTTTTCATTTACAAGAAAAAGATAGAAGGCTCTAATCGCTCTGCTTAAATGTTATCTTAACTGTGGTGAAGCAGTTTAGAATTCGTAATTCATTTTTCATTGTCAACTATGGAGTCTCCTACAGGTATAGGGGAGGATGTTCTTTTTCGGGTTCGATAATTAAAATTAGTGGTCCCCCTAATTGTCAATCATTCTGGTGATATGTTTATGTAAGGCCGTCCTACGTGCTTGTTCCCATTTTCTCTTACCGGTGGTGAGTCTGACATGGTGGAAAAATTGCAAATCTTTTGGAAAGTAAGCTTGTATGAGCAATGCAAATAGCTATTTTTAACCAGAGCGTGCACAAGGAGAAATGGCCTCCTTCATGCTCTCGCACGTGTTTAACAGGCGTTCCCTCTTGGGAGAGGGTATAGAGTTGTGCATGAGCATTTTTATTTAAGAAAAGGAGAGGGCGGGTCGTTTTAAAAATCACCTGAAAATGTTAAGATAGAAAGATACAGCTATCAGTGGTCATACTAGTATGATTGATTGGTCTAAACTGAGTAATATTTCCTGTGGTATAATTTATTTCATAGGCAATACAAAACAGCAAAAGATATTATACCCATTATAAGCAATGATTCAAATATAATAATTTTTTTTATGCACCTTTTCGGTTATGCAGTTTCAACTCAGAACAATTGATTAATAATAATAATACATTTTATTTGTATTGCACTTTACATTTAAAAAAATCTCAAAGTGCTACAAAATTCATAGTTAAAACAAAACCGTATAATAAAAACAGTATACATAGTTAAAATGAGACATTACAGTAAAATAACATACGTAGTAAAAACAAAACAGTAAAATAACCATAAAACCACACAGATAAAATACTAACTAATGTTCATAGGCTTTTTTAAATAAAAATGTCTTGAGGCCTTTCTTGAACGCCTCCACACTCTGTGGGACCCTAAGGGACTCTGGGAGGCCATTCCAGAGTTGTGGGGCAACTGCCTGGAAGGCCCTATCTCCCATTGTGCAGAGCTTGACTCTTGGCATTACATCTAAAAAAAAAAAAAAATAATAATTTTTACACTATTTTTACTGGTTTAAAGGTAATCAAGTTTTTTTTATGCAAGTTTGGGGTTCAAAAAATAGTCTTAGAGCTTCTGTATCTCTGTTTTGTGAGCAGGTGAAGACATTTATTCCATCTGATGAGGGCATCCACTTGGACTTTTCTGACCTACTGGATGGAGTCATTTTGAACAAGATAATGGCTAAAATGTAAGTCATCTTATGAATGTCAATACCTTTAGATCACAGTTTCAAACTAGTAGCATCGTAAACATGTGCGTGAAATCGTGTACCTTTTCAGCATTGTAGATGTTTAGGAGAGGAAATGTAGCCTAATTCAGTTACTGATGGTGCAGGATCATTCTGCATGCTGACATCGACAGTACTGGTATTGTCCATCTGCAGAAATAAAGATGATCTTTGTTGTCAGCAACAGACTTTAAATATAACTTCCGTATTACCTACACATCAGTGTTTCTCAGAAAAAGTTAGAAATAGAATAAAAGTAATGCAGCAAGGCTGAGCACACTGGCTGCAGAAAAACAAACTAATTAGATCTGCCAAAACATAATGGACATCATTCACACTGTCAAGATGCTACTTAAGAGATTATGATTTACTGGCCTTCTGTTCTGGCAGTTTTACCCTCATCTTTTATCAAAAGCCCTAACTGACAGGGTTCATGTGTTTTGCCTTCATGTCTGAGCAAAGTAACGACTCAAAGAGAAAAAGAAGACTGCTCCTGATGACCTCACACTCCACTCATACCATTTTGCCAGCATTCATCCCACTCAACCCCCCTCATTGTCCAACCGCTTCTAGTGTAAAAAACAATGTTGCAAGGAAGGGAGGGGATGAGGCGGGATAATCCCTCGGATTGGGAGACCCTTTTGGGATTAGGACCTGCAGTTTAGTAGCAGTGGGACACAGATGGGAGAGAAGGGTCCAGCTAGAGGACAGACAGTGTGAAATGCAAGGTAAGCAGCCCAGGCATGAGCATACCGCTCTGCAAGAAAACTGTGATTCCAAATGACATGTTTTTGATCATTAAGGATTCATGCTCTCATTAACTCAACTGGAAGCTTCTCAGTACTCAATCCAGTATCACCAATTGCTAAACAGCAAATTCAGTGTGTGATGAAACATCTCCATTAGGCTCAAAACCACCCCAGTCGATGATGTCACACGAGCTAAAGTTGGGAATGAATGGGGACCTTAGTCATGTTTTTATGGAAGGCTCTGGGGCCAGATGCATAACAGCCTGCATTGTGCTTTTTTTCTGTTTGCAAACAGCAGATACTTTATCTCACTTAAAATTTTTGCTTCATATCTTTCTATTTTCAGAAATCCTTCAGCTGCACATCAGTCAGCAAATAAAGTCTGCAGAGATCCAGGTCAGAGGATCCAGAACCTGAACTGCCTTGTCCAACAAATCAGGGGCTATTATCTGGTGAGCTTTTAGATGTCTCCTGGTACCTTTTCTCTGTTACAAATGATATAAAGAACGTTATCTCGTAACATTTTTCTGAATTGGATCCTTACATGTCTCCAGTGCTATTCCAGCTTTACATTGGGGTGCCAGTTTTGTGGCTGTCTGGCCCAAATGGGCATGTTAAATGCTGTGTAATCGTCCCAGAAGATGGTTACAACACAGCAGTAAGATGAACAGAATACAGCTGTTGACTGATAGAGCTTTGATAGAGCACCTGTTTTAAAATGAGTTTGTGAATAATCTTGCTCTGGCACTCTTTTTATGTTCTCTCTGTGCATGCATGGGTTCTCTCCGATTCTTCGGTTTCCTACCTCAATTAAAAATATGACTGTTAGGTTTAAATTGTTGTAGAACTGTATATTGACTAGGAGTGTCTTGATCCAATATTAATATAATATATCGTTGGGACATAAACCAGAAACCTAAATATTGGGTTACATCAGTCGGCATCATATCGGGTCAATATGAGTATCAGCAAATTTTCAAAGCTGCAACATTGGTGATGCATTAGAACTGAAACAGTTGTAACATTATAACCATAAGGTTGACCTGAAATATTATTGAATATATCTCAAATTAAGCTCATACTTAGGTCAAAAGCAACACAGTGTTGCATTAAAGACTAAATAAAACCGCATCTTGCATTATAAAAACATTTTGTTCCTCTTTGAAAAGCCTTTGGTATTCTTGCCTTACCCTGGTCAGCAGTTATTCGGGCTGTTTGCAAAATAAGCTAACTATAGCAAAAGACAATTTTCTGCAGTGCTGCACCAGAAAAAAAACAAAGCTAGACTAACTTTAAAAGATATTTATTAGTTTGGTTTCTGCATTCATGTGAACCAAAAATATTGAATAATTCATCTATATGTCTAGAAATTGATCAAACCTGGCTTTCCCAAGACAAAATGCATCCTGTTTTAAAGTCTCTATCTTCTCCATCGTTTTCTTTTCTTTTCTTTTTTGCAGGATCATCTGAAACAGTTAATCATGATTCCTTTGCCAGATGTATTGCTGCTTGGCAGGACTCCCTATTGTGGTAGGCTTCTTAAAGACTCCTCACAAATTTTATGTTCTTCATATTCTGTTGGACCTTTGCAACATGGGTGGGATCTCAGTACCCCCTCTTTGTTTTACTGATGCTCAACACAAAAGATAACCTTGGGCTGCAAGCTGGATAGTCACAAGATCTGAGTTTTCAGTCTCGCAACTAATTAGAAATGATAACGCAGAACTCAACGTTATCATATAACTCAATTTGGAGAATTTTTTTTTTAAACAAGGTCATGCAATGAAATCATTGTATTTTTTGTTCTTAAAAGATGTATGTAACATTAAAACAGAATGTCCCTGCAGTGAACGGTAATTAATAGGACTCTGGATGCAGAGAATTGTAAAACCACAACAGTCAATATTTTTCCTTCCAGAACCATTTTATTCAATTGCACAATCAGTCTAATAAGTGCACTGGCTTGTTATAGCAAGAGTCTGGAAAATATTGACCCATATTCACCAGCCCAATCTCCACTCAGATGAACTCCATGGTAGAAATCTTTCCTACATGATCTGTAGAGGATTCAAACCGGATCATTTACTTTTTTTTTACTCTGCAGAACAAAGTTTGGAAGAAATGAAGAAGCTTCTGCTGTTACTGTTGGGTTGTGCAGTTCAGGTAATTTTGCTGTGGACACATTGGTACCTATGTGCTGTGTGTCATGATAAAGTCCTTTAGGAACTTAGTTCTTATTTCTTTGTTTGCAGTGTGAGAAAAAGGAGGAGTACATCGAGAGGATCCAGACACTTGACTTTGATACGAAAGCTGCAATAGCTGCACATATTCAGGAGGTATCGGATATTTACTCCTTCTTGTCTTAATCCATGTTGTCCATTTCTCGCTTCTCTTACTGACTGTTCCTCTCTTGATGAAAAGCTGACCCACAGTCAGGAAAATGTGCTGGATCTGCAGTGGCTGGACACCGGTGACGTTCAGCCAGAGGAGATGGAAACTGTTCTTAGGAACTTGACAACACACCTTCACTGCGTTCTGGACCAAAGAGACAACCATCTGGAGGTACAGCTTTACTTGAATGTTTTCTCTATAAGTTACTCTATATCGCTTTGTAAAGATGCACAGAAGAATCAGGCAGTGACAAAGTAAATTTTAGTTTGACTGACACTGCGATTAGAATGTCTATTTGGATCCTAAAAAACAGATTTTTTTCCTATCAACCTGAATGACAAAATGCTGGTAGCCTTTGGGAAATATTATGAGTTAAAGTTAGTTAGAAAAAAACAGCAAAAGTCTTCTACAGACATATAGGGACTGATTTTCATAAGTTTTGCATGTCTTAAAAAAGGTGAAAATGTGTCTGTAGATGCAGAGCAGATATTCAAAGAATGGGATGTGTGTTTGTTTTTTGGCAGACTCCACGTGTAAAGCAGTGGCTGGAGTCCAGTCCCTTCGTCAACATGCAGATGATATTCTAATGACCAAACCACGCAAATCCATATCTATCTATTAAATTAAAAACACATTCCCATAGGGGAAAAAAACTTTTATGCTGTTCAAGAGATTTTTAACCTTAATTAAACTTATTATCCAAATAGAATGAATACATCTGGTCATATTGATTGTGCTCATTTTAAACAACACCCACTCTAGAATTTTACACTGCTCAAAAAAACTAAAGGGAACACTCAAATAAATGATCCTAGATCTGAATCAATTACATATTCTCATTGAATACTTTGTTCTGTACAAAGTTTAATGTGCTGACAACAAAATGACACAATAATCATCATTTTGGAAATCATATTTACATAAATCAATGGAGGCCTGGATTTGGGGTCACACACAAAATTGTCTGTGACCTCCATGTGCCTGTATGACCTCCATACACAACGCTTGGGCATGCTCCTGATGATGTGATGGATGGTCTCCTGAGGGATCTACTCCGATCTAGACTAAAACTAAACCCTGTACAGTCTGTGGTCTAATATGACATTGGTCTATAGATCTAGACATGATGTCCCAGTTGTGTTCAATCGGATTTAGGTCTGGGGAACGTACGGGCCAGTCCATAGCTTCAATGCCTTCATCTTTCAAGAACTGCTGACACACTCTAGCCACATGAGGTCTACCATTGTCCTTCTTTAGGCGGAATCCAGGGCCAACCGCACCAGCATATGCTCTTACAAAGGGTCTGAGGATCTCATCGCTGTACCTAATGGCAGTCATTCTACCTCTTGCGAGCTCACGGAGGGCTGTGCAGCCCTCCAAAGAAATGCCACCCCACACCATTACTGACCCACTGCCAAACTAGTCATGCTGAAGGATGTTGCAGACAGCAGATCACTCTCCACAGTGTCTCCAGACTCTGTCATGTCTGTCACATGTGTTGAGTGTAAACCTGCTTTGATCTGGGAAGCACACTGGGTGCTAGTGGTGAATTTGTCAATCCTGGTGTTCTCTGGCAAATGACAAGCGTACTGCAGGGTGTTAGGCTGTGAGCAAAACCCCAATCTGTGGACATCAGGCCCTCATACTATCTTTATGGAGTTGGTTTCTAACCGTTTGAGCAGACAAATGCACATTTGTTGCCTCCTGGATTTTGCAGGGCTCTGACAGTGCTCCTCCTGTTCCTCCTTGAACAAAGGCTTAGGTAGCAATCCTGTTGCTACGTCGTTGCCCTCCTCCAGCCTCTTCTATGTCTCCTATGTCTCCTGTTTCCTCATTGCGCCTTCAGCCTCTGGACACTACACTGACAGTCACAGCAAACCTTCTAGCGACAGCTAGCATTGACATGCCATCCTGCAGGAGCTGCACTACCTGAGGCACATATGTGGGTTGTAGAGTCTGTTTCATGCTACCACGAGTGTGAAAGCACCACTAACATTCAAAAGTGACCCAAATTCATCAACCAGAAAGTATAGGTACTGAGAAGTGGTCTGTCCTCCCCACCTGCAGAACCACTCCTTCATTGAGTGTATCTTGCTAGTTGCCAATAATTCCACCTGTTGTCTATTCCATTTGCACAACATGTAAAATTGACTGTCAGTGTTACTTCCCAAGTTATTATCACCTTCTCTACTTTTCCATAAATGGTTAGTACCCCTTTGCTGCAAGAAGAATAATGATACTTTTTCTGAATGCTCTTAAAAAGAGGTCTTAAAATAAATCAGGACTGGCTAAAATTCATATTGGTCATCTTTAAAAATCAAACTGTTACGCCCCCAAGGTCTAGGGGTCTTGGGGAAGCAACATAAATAATGTCTGGAGTAGTTCGGGGGAAGTTAAAAATTATTTATTACAAAAAAAGATGGTTAAACAGTCCCAAAACACAATATAGCTTAACTCAGTTAAAACAAAACAAAAAATGTAAGGGCAAACAGATTCAAGATTGGCCAAGAGCAAATAAAATTACAAACTGCCAAAAACCAGTCAGACTAAGTTTTAACACAAAAAACAAACCAAATGAAAAGACAAAGGGAGCACCAAACCTCCCAAACACAAGCTACTAGCATGAACAAGTCCACCTAAAGCAGACTAAGAAAAGTACATACAAAGCCAGGGCAAAGAGCTCTTTCTTCCCAAAAACAGATGCAAAACAAGATGGGGGAACAGCTTAACAAAAACCCTCCTAATAGCTGTCCCCAAACTGAAAGCTTTTCAGGAGCCTTTTATAAGGTGCAGGTGGGCCTCATCAGCACCCCGATTGGCTTGACACTCTTCTGCTGGTCCAATCATGTCACTGCAGTCCTCAGGCAGCCACCAAGGGAGTTCTGTCAGAGCTGAACCTGCATAAGAAAAAGCCTGCACAGTCTTAAAAGGCCAGGGGCCGTAACACAAACAAAATAACAGATCTGTTCAAAAATCTTTGCTCACTGTTGAGACTTTCAATCCAAATTACCTAAAATACAAAATTAGCATGAAATTACTAATTCTTTATCAACTTTTCTATATAACTTAAAGGTACATATATTTAACAAACAGTTGAAAACTGAGGTGCAATGTTTTTTAACAGCCCGAATTCTATTCCCTTCATCTCTGCAGGCAATAGTGGAACTAATGCAGGAAAGAGAAGGAACTGTTACCTTGCTCAGCAGCCCATCCAGCCCGCAGTCTGCAAGCTGTTCCCCAAGCATTCAGCAGCAGCAGACAGGGATGCAGCACCTGGCAGTGGAGCTGGCTGACTCTAAGGCAAAGATCAGACGACTTAGACAAGAAGTGTAAGTAAGCCAGAGGTAAAAAAAATTAAAGATCTATTTTGACATACCGTATTTTCACGACCATAAGGCTAAAAGGCGCACTCTCAGTTATGTGTCCCATTTCTGTATTTAACACACACATAAGGCGCACCGGACTATAGGGCGCGTCTTTTATATACAGGTACATGTCCTCTACTACCTTTAAATACCTCTACTGCATATTTAAAAATACAGCGGGGGCAAAACTGAGTATGATTGTGCTTTATTCATGTATTTATTACAAAGTATTAATCAAACCTGGGAGCTGGCCGTGAGACAGACACATCGCAGATGACACAGCGCTGTGATCACTCCTAAATTAACTTAAAATCCTGAAACCTGCCGACGGAATTTGTTCGCTTTTATTACCGGTATCCTGGTGCCTGCAGTTTAAATTATTTAGATGAAAAACACCTGCCAGCCTCCGTGGTAAACCCGGAGGCTGCCCAGCCTAGAGGCTGCTGATGAAGGGATTTCTACTGTCGGTGCACCGCTGGTATGTGGGGGTCTGAGCGCCTCCGACAGAAATAGATAATCTGGATGAACTGACTGCAATTATGAAGTTTTCAGGTGGCCTTTCTCACTTAAAAACATATTAAAACTACTTTATTCCCACTGATCACAGCAAATATAGCTGCAAGATTTAGATTATTTAGATGAAAAAACACCTGCCAGCCACCGCGGTGAAGAGGAGGAGACCCGGCCCAGAGGCTGCTGTTGAATTAAGTTTTCAGGTAGAAAAATAGAGCGGGAGCAAAACTGAGTATGATTGTGCTTTATTCATGTATTTATTACAAAGTATTAATCAAACCCATCAAAGTCATCATCCTCTGTTTCTGAATTAAACAGCTGCGCTAAATCAGACATGCCAGTTTCCCCTTCTTCGCTGTCAGTCACTTTCCGTGCAGCGCAGCTCCTCAGAAATAATGCCGGCTTTTGCAAAAGCTGGAACAACAGAGCCAGCAGACACGTTAGTCCAAGCATCTACAATCCATCCGCAAACTGTGGCGTAACTTGCCCGGCGCTGCCTTCCACTTATCCTGAAACTGTGGTCTCCGTCTGTCATCCATCGCTCCCACGCCGCTCGCAGCCTTACTTTGAACGGCCGCTTCACACCGATGTCGAGCGGTTGAAGTTCCTTTGTCAGACCCGGTGAGCACAGCGTTCATTTGATTCACCTTTTTTTTCACATCGGCTGTGGGATGGGCACACAGCGATGGTGATGCGTGGAAAAAAACCACCTGGTCTCCTCACATACACCTCCCTCAGCTACGCTTTCATCATCTCCTCATCCATCCAGCCTTTTTCATTTGCGTTAATGTCATCAGAGCGCTGTGTCTGTCTCGCTGTCAGCTCCCAGATCAGCTTCTCTGATTGGTTGATGCGGCGCGTCCAGCAGCAAAACTTCAATTTTTCCATCTCGAGCAGCAGCGCGTTGGCGGTGCGTCAGATGCTTAAAGGCTGCGGGACCTTTTGCTGCACCTATACGCGCGTCAACCATTGACTTTGCATGTAAACTCGCTGCTTCTGCTGCACCTGCTGGGTCCTGTTCACACCGATGTTGAGCGGTTGAACAGCGAGCACAGCGTTAATTTGTTTCCCCATGTTTTTCACATCAGCTGTGAGATGGGCACGCATGGAGTTACATATTAACAGCGATGGTGATGAGTGGAAAAAAAACACCTGGTCTCCTTACATTCAGCCACTCTTTCATCATCTCCTCAATGAGGTGGTCTCAAAAGTCGCAGTTACAACACACATAGGGCGCACCGCACCAAAGGGCGCACAGCACATTTTGAGGGAAAAAAAAGACGTTTAAGTGCGCCTTATAGTCGTGAAAATACTGTAAATAACTCTTAATATAAGGATTCTAAACAGCTGAACCAGAACAAGAGAGAGGCAGTTTTAGAACTGTGTTTAGAGGCCACTCTGTCTGTTACAGATTTGTTTTTATTACAACAAATACAGAATTAAACTGTAAAAAAATAAATAAATAAGTTCTGCACTTTCCATTAATAAATTAAAAAAATCTCCACCCCAGTTTTCAGTCAGTTCGATTTAGCTCATTCAGATAAACAAATGAATAAAGATTAAAAATAAAAATAAAAACTACAATGTCTCATAACATAGAACAACTGGAAAAGAGGAAACTATTCCCACTGAATGAAACATACGCTTTTTGGAGCTAACTGGGTTTTAGCAGTGTGCACAGGTGGTTAAGAATATTAGGAGTGGAACAGAAGAGGCGCTCTTAGGGGCTGTTTCACCTGCATGAATTAGACAGATGAAAATCACTTGGAAAAATTTTACATATCACCCAATCTTAGTACAGTGTAGACTGGAACTAAAAGACCTGAGTGGGCTGGGAGGTTAATACACTGACAACAAATCTGTTATTAATTGAGGTACTGATCCATTCGATTATTTATAGACTAATAGAAAGATTTTAAAGACTGTTCTCTGAGCTACAGGGTGTAAGTGGAAGGACTTCAGAAATGGACTGATGTGTTCTACTTTCTTAGTTCTAGTGAGAACTCGGGCTGCAGAATTTTGGATCAGCTGCATGGACTTTTTAGACAAACTAATGAAAACACTGTTGCAGTAATCAATTCTACTAAAGACAAATTCATGCATGTGTTTTCCTCTTGGACATTAATGCTTTAATCATAGAGATATTCTTCAGGTGATAAAAGGCTGACTTAGTAACTGCCTTTGAAGGTTTGATCTTTCTATCAAGATTATGATTTCTCAATATTTCTCTAATCAGTAGTTTCTTGTTGTAGTAGCTGAAGCTGTGAGCCAACTTTGGATCATATATTGATCTGTTCTAAGCATCTAGCTGTGTGTAGTCTGCATATTTATGGTAACAGGTGTTATTTGCTATAGTCTTAGCTAAAGGAAGCATGTAGATTCTGATTAGGAAGAACCCAGCATGTGATTTTGCTGGAGTCTTAGTTAAGGTTCCCTACTGATACATATAAGTCAGTGTCTTTCATGTAGGATTTAAACCAGTCAAGTGCTGTACAAGGAAATTATCAATAGTATCAAATAAAAGGATCCTTTCACCAGAGTATCATAATCTCACACCCACAACATATGCGGTATTTATTTTGAACTTATAAAAGTCTATGAAGAAAAATCAACTAAATCATTTTATTGTATTATTTACTTTCTATGTTGACCAGAAACTGTTAGATCGATATACCTGAAATTTCTACTTACCTTAAATGTAGACATGGGAGCCTGCAATGTAGCCAATTTCTTTTAGTAGCTTGTAAAAATAGGACTCCATTATTTAAAGGGAATCACCTTCATAAATGTAGCAATGGCTTCAAAAAAAATACCTACTTGTCTTAACTTTCCCACATTTGCATTTAAAGCAGTTAGTAAATTAAAATGACTCAAAACTGCAAGAAATAATAATGAAGATACAGCATCTATAAGCAGAAGATCACAAGAAGAACACAATATCACTCATTAGAGGATTAGACTGCATACCTAGGTGACAATATATGTTGATTACACTGTATACTATTGAGCTAGCTATCATTCAGGCTCATATTTTCACAGAACTGTAGCTGTGGCCAAATGTATATAATTGAAGTGCTGAAAGTAACGCTTCTCTAAACTCATCTTTTTATGGCCATTTGCTGATTATTTGCAGAATAGCAAAGATACTGTGACCTTTCAATAAACAGATAACTGACATATATTAGTTGTTTAAGCCACTATAACACAAGTAGAATCTTATTTCCACATTTCAGCTAAACAGATCAATTTTCTGTTCATTATTTGATGCATCTCCAATCACTTTTTCTTTATTTTTTATCTTGAACCAGTAATTAATGAGCAGTAAAATCCCCGTTCTGTTGGAGCTGCTGGTCCAGAGTGAATGAGGCAGAGATTGCAGGATAAGAGATGCCCTGCAGAGTTTGGCCCACATTGCTGCCTGCTTGGCAGGTTATATTGCAGTGCACTATGACTGACCCACATTTGCTGTCTATTTCAGTGGATACCACACACACACACACACACACACACATATAGAGTTGCGTATTAACCCCGATCCAATCCAGGTCTCAATTCCACCAGTTCCCTCCATCCAGTTGTCTTTTCCGTATTATCCTCTCTTGTTGGTGGGATAATGCATCCAGCTCTACATCCAGCTGCCTCTGAGCAAATAAGAAAATATCAAAAAGTGATCTCAGGCACATGTTTACTTTGTCCTTTTAATGAATTGCTAATACATTTAGCCAAATTTAGTGTGTTTGATATAATCTCTTTAAAATAACACATTATCTGTCTTTTTGAAAAAGTTTGGTTTTCATGGTCTAAGCCTGTCTTTGTTATTTTCTCTTCTGTGGTTTAACAACAGTGAGGAGAAGAGCGAGCAGATACTTGACTGCAGACATGAGCTGGAAAACATGGAGAGTGAACTGAAGAGGATTCAGCAGGAGGTAGGAAGTCACTGAAGACTAAGACGTGACAGCTTACAAGTTACTTCTTGCACATTTACCACAAAGAATGACAAGCCGCAGATTAGATGTTACACAACTGGGCAGGAATAAGCTCTAAAAACTGAAGAGAGAGTAAAAAAACCCCACAATAGCTGGAGTATGTCAAACTGAAAACCATGCGAGAAGGTGAATGTTTCTTTAACTTTGCATGTGTGTGCTGGAATCTTATCTCTTTTTTTTTTACACTCACATTGAATCATTAAATAGTTGTAACAAGGCCCATCTTAACAGGGAATTTCACATTCTTAAGGGAGCCCTGTTAATTTTCTAGAAGGTTAAGAATAGAAAGAACGCCACCACCACATACAGTAGACCATATAGAGAAAATAAATTCTCACTGAAATAAACCCTTAACTTACTGTGCAGAATCGCTCAAAACAATTGAATATTCCACCAACAATCTTACACTTTAAAAACCTTGTTTCTGAGAATAAAAAAAAAGTCCTTATAAAGCTCAGAATTGTAACTTCTTCTGATTAATTGTGCAACTTCAGCAAACCAGACAGCAACATCTCTCCTCTCAATCCCCCTACCAATCCCCCTACCATGAGCAAGATACTTATTGACTGGTTTGGACGCATAACAAAATACACTACTCAAAAAAAGTAAAGGAACACTTTGTAATCAGAGTACCGCATCAAGTTAATAAAACTTCTGGGATATTAATTTGGTCAGGTAAGTAGCAGAGGGGGTTGTTAATCAGTTTTAGCTTCTTTGGTGTTAATGAAAATAACAACAGGTGCTCTAGAGGAGCAACAACGAGACGACCATCAAAACAGGAATGGTTTTACAGGTGGAGGCCACTGACATTTTTTCCCCTCCTCATCTTTTCTGACTCTTTTTCACCAGTTTTACATTTGGCTATGGTCACTGTCACTACTGTTAGCATGAGGCGCTACCTGGTCCCTACAGAGGTTGCACAGGCAGTCCAACTCCTCCAGGATGGCACATCAATACGTGACATTGCCAGAAGGTTTACTGTGTCTACCACCACAACCTCAAGAGCATGGAGGAGATTCCAGGAGAGAGGCAGTTACTCCAGGAGAGCTGGACAGGGCCATAGAAGGTCTACAACCCATCAGTAGGACCTGTATCTGCTCCTTTGTGCAAGGAGGAAGGTATATTGAGAGTTGGTGGATGACTCGGCAGGGCAGTAATGCCAGAAGAAATTAAACATCCTGTAATTCTGGCTAAAGACTTTCACATCTCCAACCTAATCCTTCAACATATTCATTCTGGGGTGGGTCATGGGGGTCGTAACCACATGTTGTCTAAACTGCCTCAAAAATACTGGATTCCTGGAGTCACAGTACTAATCATAAAAACTGTGGCTAAATGTATTGTGTGTCGGCGCATAATGCTTCGCCAGGACAACAGCAAATGGCAGACTTGCCTCTATATGGAGTAATGTCTGATGAACCACCATTTCCATACACTGGAATTGAGTACTTTGGACATTTTCCAGTCAAATGTGGAAGAACTATAATGAAAATCTATGGTGTAATATTCATATGTTTAGCCTCATGAGCTAGTCATATTGAAATTGCATCATCACTGGAGACAGACTCTTTTATCAATGCCCTTCGTCGTTTTATTGCCAGACGTGTATAAGTAAAAGAACTGTGATCCAACAACGGCACCAATTTTGTGAGAGCTCAATGTTAGGAAAGAGACAATAAAGGACTGGTATCAAAGTCAAATACACAATACACTGCTGGAAAAGAGTATTAAATGGAGGTTCCATCCGTCAACAGGCTCACATCGTGGAGGTATATGGGAAAGGCTTATAAGATCTGTGAGAAAAGTTCTTAATTCAACTTTAAATGTGTCTGAACTCCAGACCCATCACAAAGGCTTCTAAAGATCCATATTACCTTGAAGCACTTACTCCAAGCCACCTGTTGCTTCCTAATATGGCACCATTACTTCCACCAGGATGTTTTCAAAACAATGACATATATGCTCACAGCAGATGGAGGCAATGTATGTCAGATCTTTTTTGGAAAAGATGGATTATGGAATGTCTTCCACAACTCCAACAAAGACAGACGTGGTGCAACCCAAAATTAGATTTTATGCCAGGAGACATTGTGATCATAGTGAATGACTCTGTGCCAAGGAATTCCTGGATAACTGGAAAAATTGAAGAGATTATTCAGGACGAAAAAGGATTTGTTCATTATCTTCGGATCGAGACAAGGACTGGATTCTTAAATAGACCCATTAATAAAGTCTGTCTTTTACAGGAGACAGAGGACATTTAACCAGCTGGACTGACTAAGCCTTCTTGAAGTGAATTGCTCAAGTGATCTATGGACTATTAAATTCACGGATCAAGGGGATACGGATCAAGCCCTAGTATAAGGGGATTATGTATCACATCAAAATCCTTTATCAATTCTTATTATCTTTATTTATTCCAACAACAAACTGTGAGCTTTAGGATTGTTGAGCTGTTTGACTGATGCAAAGAAAATAATACAATATATTTTTTTGTTACTCTGTTTTACGATATCTATAAATTGCATTAGGAAGGAGGTTTTTTGAATTTCACATGGTAGAGTGAATATCCAGTTGTTTGTAAATGAAAAGGTGTATTTAATGTGTGTTCAATACTGGCTCTAAAAAGAAATGATGTGTGTGACCCTCAACCAGAACTCCCAGCTGCAAGTAGATGCCCGCGCTGCCCGTACCTACCGGGACGAGCTTGATGCCCTTAGAGAGCGAGCCATGAAGGCGGACAAGCTGGAGAGCGAAGTTGGCCGCTACAGGGAGCAGCTGCACAAGATGGAGTTCTATAAAGCCAAAGTGGAGGTGGAGGAAGATGAACTTGTTTCCAGCTTATGCTTTACTTTTATTTACACTGGTTTGAAAGAAACATGATGTTATGATCTAAGGTACAAAATGTTAAACTGAATAATTATATGAATCTCTTTTACATTTAACAGGAGCTAAAGGAGGACAACAGGGTCCTCCAAGAGACCAAGGAGGTGTTGGAGGATCAGCTGGAAGGCTGGAGGTCCCGAACAGATAAAATCCACCAGCTGGAGAAGCACAATCTGCTGCTAACGGCCCGCCTCCATGACATGGAGCAGGTTGGACATGTTTTATGTACAATTAGCAAGATCTTTTCAGTTTCCCCTGCTAAGAAAGGGATATTTGTCCAAAAATAATAAGAGGGTTATACAGAAGACTATTTTACAATCTCTATTCTTTTCATTTTTGTTGTGCGCTGACAATTGTTTACTCTAGGAGAAAGAAGCAGACATACAGAGGATGAAGGAGCTTCAGGAGGAGAACCTGGCTTTGTGTTTGGCACAGAGGAGGAGCATGGAAGAGTCGCAACATCTAGGCTGGGAGCTGGAGCAGCTCTCTAAAACGGCAGAAAACTCCCAAGGTGACGACAATCAGGGTCTCTGTTAGTGGGTGTTATATGGAGCAAATGTTATGAGATTTAGTCAGGATATTTTCAATGGGGTCTCTCAGATTGACTTCATTTTTATGTTAACCTTTAAATATCTATTTTAATAAACCTTTAATTTAAAAAAAAATTTTTCAATGCCATAAAATAAGTACAGAGAATCAATATTTAACCAGGCATTCCAGTGGTGCAGGTTGACAAACATAAGTGCTCCAGTACAAGGACACCAGCTTTCATATTTTGCTTCTTGAAGACGTTCTTCAGTGCTTCTGAAACGCCTCAAAGAACAACAGAATTCCAGTTTTCTCCTTTGATGTCGCTTAAAATTTAACCAGGCCGATTCCTCTCTGAACAAAAATGAAGCAACTTCCTCATTAATAGCTCCCTAGTAAATTTTAATTTCAGGAATAGCGAACCAAAGTCCCATTCAACCTCTGGGTAGCTTTTTTTTATATATATATAAATGAAAATTTGACTCAAACTTGAAAACTTCATTTAATCACAACATAGTTCTTCTTTTTGCCATTAATCAAAAGTAGGCTTCCGAGTCATTCAGGGCAGTTTAGATATTGTTTTGTGGGTTTACTTTTCCTGCAATTGCTCTACAGTATAATCCTTTGACTTATCAGTGTTAAATCCCTGATAATCAGTTTAAATAGCAATTTTCCTACATTTCCCATGATATATAATTTTGAAAATGTTCATTTACAGTGTAACCACTTGTTTATTTGAATTACTTGAAAAAAAACGGTTCCTTTATAAAACTTGACCGATAAGATAAAAGGCTAGTATCAATTATGTTTTTAGAGCCACAAAGTTACAAGCTGTGGTGTGTTTGTTTTAAAGAGCGGCAGACATTGAGCGAAGAGGTCGGAGAGAGAACCCAAAGTCAGATTTTAAAGCTGGAGAAGGAAAACCAAAGGCTCCTGAGGACTATTGAGGATCTGAGAGCTGCACTTCATAACGGATGCAGAAAGACCAAACACATTCAGCATTTAGCAGGCAACACCCACCAAAGTACATCATTAGAAGAGCAATCCTCAATGACGAAAATCTTCAGCTCAGTCACTGAAAACCCCTCCGATGCACAAAGGCTGCAGATCCAAAATGGAGATTCTAACTGCCGACAGCAACTCGTCACAAAAGAGCTGGAGGGAGGCCAAACTCAGATCCTTCTTGCAGATCTTGCAGACTGTGGCATTGAGAACGGGCACCTACAGGATCCAGACAAGGACAGAATATCACAGCTGGAAATCTTAGAAAATAACCATAATCAGTTCCATGGCTTTGTTAGACCATGTGATCCCTACCCAGGCTCGCAGAACGGAGGCCCATACCATGATAGCACTTCCACAGGTCTCCCAGGACGTTCCGCTACTAGCAAGCACACACAACGACTGGAGGTTAAATGTAGGGGTCTGGACACGCTTAACCAGCAGCTACAAACTTCTCTCTACAATAGCGGTATGTTCAGTAACGTCACCTTATGTAGTCACATAGCCAATCAAAACAAGTGTTTAAAGTTTGTTTTTTACTTTTCTCTTTTTAGAACGTAAAGTTCAGCATTTAGAAGCTGAGGTTCAAGAGCTGGAAGCAGAGAACCATGCACTCCAGGGATCATTTGAAAAACTTCGGATCTCAGCAAGACATCTAGAGCAGCTGGAAACTGAGAAACAGAACCTGGAGCATGAAACCACCTCACTGGAGAGAGACAAACGGCAACTAGAGAAAGAAAATCGGAGGCTTAAACAGCAGGTAGAAATCACAAATTATATTTGTTAATACAATGCTAACAAAAAAATAATTTATAAAAATACAGTGGTCCTCTTCTGAAAATAGTTGCAATTTTTCATCTTTCCCAGGCTGAAATTCAGGAAGCCAACTTAGACAGCCGCAATGCTTGCATTGCAAGCTTGGAGAGAGAAATGCGTTTGCTAGTGAAGGAGGTGGAAGGGTTAAGAGAAACGTCTGAGAGAGTGAAAAGCTTGGAGAGAGAAAACAGAGAGCTGACCAAACAAGCTGCTATCGACCAGAAGACCCTGGCAACCCTCAGAGAGGTGAAGACAACATATTCTATTAGACAGTACAAGAAATCCTGACAGGAAGACAAAACAAATCTGAATGTGAACATTTCATTACTGTTATCTATGAAATAATTAATATGCTTTAAACCTTATCATATGTTATAACATCTGACTTTAAAATATTGTATTGAATTGTAATGTGTTCAACCAATGCAAAAAAAATGCAGGATGATCTCAGTGGGATATGGCATGGTTTCACGTTTTTTATCAATATAAACCTCATTGTCAAGGCTCAGAAAAAATAACCCAGTATTCAGGCAAACAGATAGTATGATATAGTGTTTAAATAAAGAGACGGATTTACAGTGAAAAGCTAGGGCGTCTAATGCAGGAACCTCTGCATGAACCTCTGCAGGTTAGTGACCACGATAATCTGCTGGAGGAAGATTATGTACGTGTGAGTCACTAACCTGGTCTTAAAGTGCAGTCCATGCTCAGAGGACAAAGTTGGTTCCAGCCGGTCAGCTTACGACAAGACGTGGCGGACGCTGCCCAGAGAGTCGCAGACGTTGAAGCCCATGGGACCGGTGAACAACCATGAGATCAGATCTCAGCAGACAAAGGAAGGCAGGATCATCCTAAGGGGAAAAGCAAAAGCCGGTGTCAAGAAGGTACACAGGAGTTTGGGCCAGAACAGACAGAGATCCGAATAGGTACCAAAGGGAAATCCAGGACGGTGTCAGAAAGCAGTTCCAGGTTTGGTAAACAGACACAATCCAGCAGGAGTTGGAAGACAGGTCAGGCAAACAGATCAGAACAGGAACAGGCAGCCTCAGGACTTTCTTGTAAATTAAGGTCAAATGAAAATAAATCCAACTGTTCTATGAAGGTGCCAGACATTTAGTGAAGAATAATAATGAACAAAAATCATTATGAAGATCAAGGAACCCAGAAGATGGGTCAAAAAGAAAATATATATAAGTTTAAAGCTGCTTTAGCCTCTAAGGCAATATCCATATTACAGTTCTGCACTGTGTTGTGTTGGTCTGCCAAATCCAAGTAAAGTACATTAAAGTTGTTCTGCAATGTGACTAAATGTGACTATTACCTGTAGTTGTTTTCCAAGGCAGCATTGATTAAAATTATATCCCACCTCAGGAGCTGGTTAGCGAGAAGCTAAAAACTCAGCAGAGAGACAGGGACCTGGAGAAACTGGCCCTTGAGCTGGAGATGAAAGTCCCTATCCTGGAAAGCATACAGCTGGAAGCACCAGATAGCAGGTGCATAAAAACTATTCGCAGGAACATCTACATTTTCAGCATTTTTTTTTTATGTTCAGACTTTATTTCAGTTTATGCTATTCTCCTGAGATAGAGTCAAGATGCTAGAATCAGATCTGGAGTTTTCCCTGAAGAGGTCCCTGCAAATTAAAGACGACAAGATGGCTGCTCTGGAGGCTCGTCTGCAGGAATCCTCCTTTCTAAACCAGCAGCTTCAAAAAGAGCTGAAAACTGTAAGTGACGTCAAATATCTCAGATCTTTGTGTATTAAATTTTGAACAATTCAGATTTAATCAAAACAGTCTAAATGTTCTGTAAAATTAAATATTTAGCTTTTCTTAATGTAGCAAAAAAAGTCCAGTCCTCCCCTTAAGTTTACCAGCAATTTCTTTTAGTGGGTATCAGTGCTACATGTTTGTACCACTGTAAAACCTAATTTTTAGTGTACTAAAATATTTTAAGTTAACAGAGCTCAATTCACATCAACTTGTTGAACTAATCTTAAATAAGTAAAGTAAACTGCAGGACCATGAGGATTGCACGTATTTAAGTTGAGTCCATCCAAAAAAAGTGTTCATAGCGATGTCACCTTTCGATCCTTCGATGTCGACTCTTCCTGTCATTGTGAAGCAGAATTCACCAAGCGTTAGATGGTTCACTCACTAATAAGGAACCTGAGGCAGGCTCAGACTGCTGAGATCAACATCAGATTGTGACCTCTATGCTAAACTATTTGGCAGTAGGCGTGGACAGAAATACAACACTGTAAGTATGGTTACTGTTACAATCATTGGCATTTTAGATAAAGAAATGTTTTTGTCCATCAGTATGCACCAAAGTTTTTGTTTCACCCAGTTTAAGTTCTGTAGTAAGTATTCTTTAAAGAATCTTTGCTATCGAAATATTAATCAATTAATCATTAAAAAACTGACTGATTAATCTATGAGCAAAATGATTGTTAGGTGCAGCTCTAAGTAATACATTATGCTAAAAATTGCACTCTGGGTAGCTATAAACTCTATAAAGTGAGACAAATGTTGTCTAAATGGGCAGAAATTTTAAGTTAGCGGAGCTAAACAAGTTCATAATGGACTCAGTCCTCAGTCAACTAACCACATTGTTTTACTAAAAGTAACTTCCGAGATTTACAAGCATAATTTCTCTTATCATTTTGTAACTGGTTTTAATAAATCTTTAGTTACCTGGACTTAAAAAGAAGCTATACACATTAACTTAAAGTTGAAATACTTAAAATTAAAATAAATGACAAAAATATATTTTTGCTTACATAAAAAAGTGATTAAGGTGACTCCAGTTTTTAGTATTAATCAGTTTCCTTGTAAGTTTTAATTTCAGTGAACCTATCCAGGTTTGCGGTGGACATTATAACAGAGAATTCCTTCTAGAGAATTAGCTGATTATCATTTGAGCTTTAAACCTCTCAAATGTGACAGGTGAAGCTGAACTATGAGGCCCTGCAACAGCGGCAGGAGGAAGAGCAGACGGCATTAAGATCCAGCCCTCCAGCACAGACCAACAAGGCTATGACCGAGTGGCTGCGTGAAAGCCAAGAAGCGACCAGAGAGCTGCTGAGGCTCAAAGACCACCTCATTGAAGTCGAGAGAAGTGTAGGTAGTTTGTTTCTGTCAATAAATGGGATAGATGCTGTGGTATTACGGTTATCAAGGCCAATGGCTGCCCTTTCTGAATCTGATTCTGCCAGAGGTCTTTTACAGTAAAAAAAAAGGTCTCCTCTCTGTTATTAGAAATTGATCCATGCATGTTTAGGAAGATCAATGGTCCCACTGGGGTGTAGCTACCCCCGTTACGCAAACACACAAACCAGCGAAATTGTGGTAGCCTTCCACTCACCATGGCCTTAAATAGGTCAGAGCAGGATTGGAACATGACAGGATTGGCTGCACTTTATGGAAATTGGACAATTTGGGATTTAATCTGATTATAATCAATATAGTCCAACTACAAATAGATTGTGTCTAAAGGATAATGAAGTTTCATTGCTGTTTTAATTTTTTATTGTGCTTAAATGTGAACCAAAGTTGTTCTTTTTTATATATTCATCCATTGTTTTTTTAATGCTCAGCCTGAGTCTCACCTGACTGAACCACTAAAATCCACATGTTTATGACGGTAGGACAGAAACAAATAAGTTATTAGGTATGCCTCATATATCAGCTTTACAAGGTAAAGTATTTTCAGTGTGGTGGTCTTTTTTATTCTAAACAGCCAAGCGGATAGGAAGACATAAAATATTTATCATAAATCCGTAAATATTGACTTTTGCCCATAGCACATTTGTATATTATAATATTGTTATATTTTACATTTAGATTTAGATTTCACTCTGATATATATATATATATATATATATATATATATATATATATATATATATATATATATATATATATATATATATATATATATATATATATATATATATATATATATATATATATATATATATATATGGTAAGTATGTCAAACTTTTCACTTTTAGTAGCATTGCATTTGTTGTGTTTAGTGGCTAGTGAGTTATTTGACTAATACATTTAAAAAGATCTTAAAAAACTCTTTCATTTTTGAAACAAGGTGAACTTTGAGGAAAGAGATTAGTATCATTTTAAATACGGCTGTAACAATAAAATGTGGATGAAGTGCAGCTCTAAATATTTTCCGGATGCACTGTACAGCTACATTTCATTTTACTCTGTGATTCAAAAAGAGTATTTTTGAACTAGAGTATATTGAGGAATACCTGAGAAATCATTTCCTTTTTGTCTCTTTTGAAGAATGCTACTCTAGAGGCTGAGCGCCAGGCTGCGCAGGTCCAACAGAGACAACTGGAGAGTCAGTGTGACAGCCAGCAGGCTCAAATCCTCGCCCTGCAGAGGCAGGCTGCCTCCTTGCAAGAAAGCAACACAGCCCTGCAGACACTCAATGCAAACCTCCAGGTCCCATCTCAGAACTCCTTAGATAATGAAATAACTAAAACACTGGATGATAACATTTATCCATTGCCAGCAAAACCACACAAGCCATTTAGTCAACATTAACTTGAGTATTTCGCTCTGCAGGTAGAGAAGTCAACACTAAATTCACAGAGTGCCTCCCTCATGGCCCAGAACGCTCATCTGCAGCAACAAAAGTCAGGAATAGAAAGTGAGCGAGACACCGCTACACAGGAACGGGAAGAGCTGCGTGGTGCTCACGAGCAACTTCTGCGAGATCATGAGCGTCTGACGGTGCTGCACGAGCGACAAGCCATGGAGTATGAGGCTCTGATGGGTAAACATACCTGTCTGAAAAATGTCCACCGCACACTAGAGTTGGAGCATCGTACTTTGCAGGACAGGTCAGAGAGACCAATTATAATTAATAACAAAATACTGTAATTTTCATACACTTGGATTTTTTTTTACATTATGGTGTACTGCAAAGTTTCCTGGTCTGTACTTATGCACTTCTGTTGGGTGATATTTGAAGGAATAACAACTTGGTGCAGCAGAGAACTAAACTAGAGGAGCTGGAGAAAACCTTGAAGGAGGAGCAGATGAGGATCTCTCTGGATAAAGAACAGCATCAGTCAACAGAGGCTGAATGTTGCAGACTGCGTGATGAGAAGGACTGGTAAGAAAAATCAAGAGCATACACAGACCCCGGAGTATCCAACCAGCACTGATGTTGCTATGATTCTTTAACTAAAGGCTCAGCCGAATGTACCATCAGCTACAAAACGATAATGAGACACTGAAAGATGAACACAAGCTGCTCAAGAGCCAGCTGAACGAGGCCAACCTGAAGCACACCTGGCTGGAGGCCGACATCTCCAAACACAAAAAGGACTTTCAGGATCTCGACATCTCCTCCACAAAACTGGCCAACCAGTGTGAGGTGCAAGAAAAACACCATCTATGAATGGGCTTCTACAAGCTTTTAAATGAGTCCTCTATGATTATTTCATTGCTTTTAATCTACCAACCTTTGTATAACTAGATGTCAGTGAGCTAAAGATGTCTACTTATGGTGTTTAGTTGCTGAGTCAGCTCAAAGGGAACCTTGAGGAAGAAAATCGGCATCTCATCAGTCAAATCGAGACGCTAATGCTGCAGAACCGAACCTTGTTGGAGCAGAATATGGAAAGCAAGGATCTGTTTCATGTTGAAGAACGACAATACATGTAAGTAGCACAAAAAAAATAATAAATCTCCTAATTTGTTTGCCTCTAGGCCTCCTGTCTGGCAGTTCCAGCTTTAAAAATCCTTCTACAGATGTACTCACAATTAAGAAAAAATAATTAGCACATGTTCAAACGCAGCATCAAACATTAGCTTTGAATTAGTAGTTTGGCAATGAAAATGTTACTTACAGCAAAAGGAAAGATTCAATTATGAGTGACAGAAATACACAATAAAGAAATGTAAATAATATCTTAAAGATGTCTCCATATTTGCTCAGTGACAAGCTCAATGACTTGAGAAGGCAGAAGGAGAAACTGGAGGAGAAGATAATGGATCAGTATAAGTTCTATGAGCCCTCACCTCCTCGCAGGTAAGCACCATCTGCTACTGAAACATGCTCTGCAAGATACTTAGGTTAAACGTTATCAGAAGAAATGTTTGATTTTGGCAGCTTCTTGCTTTTTATTATTAGCTTAATATTTCAGTTTGTAATTTTGGAAGGTTTGCTTTCCATGGTTTATAGATCTGAATGATACATCTACCTGCAATCGTCATCTCAATATAAATGTGTGTAAATCACAGTCTCTCTGGACTGCTTAGATGCTTAGTTTCTCATAGTTTGCTATATTTCAAATATGGATTCAAAAACATTCAAGTTCAAGTAATTGGCAAATTGTGATGATGGAAAACATAAAGAAGATTAAGAAAAACATGGGTGCATGCCAGTGGGTGTTAACATTGCAATTATCAAGAGCAACACCACTATTACTGGTTGCCATTTAACATGCAATCAGGGCTATTACCCTGCCACCTTGTGTAACAGTTATGTTATGTGTAATCACAGACGTGGCAACTGGATAACTCAGAAACTGAAGAAGCTGATGAAATCCAGCAGCCGTGATAACGAGCCTGACACCCCACACGTGGTTGCGGCGGAGCACCACCTTTGCTCCAACGACAATAGCTCCTTCATCAGCTTTGATGGATCTGGATGTTCGGCCTCCACTTTAGCCAGAGACATTACCACACAGCAGCGTAGCAGCAGTGAGTATGTGGGTCTGAAACTCACCAGATCAGGCCTGCGATTGTCAGAGAGGATATTTCCCATTTTAAAGAATCAAACCACTGAAATCTGACTGTTAGTTATAGGAAAATTGTTATTATAGTTGTTATAACATTGTTATTGCTTTAGATATGAATAACGCTCACCTGAACATTTTCTCTCAGCATAAGTTGGTGTGTTTCAGATCAAGTAAATCTTGCATGCAATTTCCTGGAATACGGCTCATTTTTCTTAATGTGTGTGTGTGAGTGTGTGTTTGTGTGTGTGTGTGTGTGTGTGTTCTCTTCAATATTCCTAACTGTCCTGCTCTTGTCTCTTTTGTTGTTTATATCGATTTATTTCTACCCTCTGTCAACCTTTGGAATCCGTTTCCTCTCCTGCTTCCCTCCTGTCACCCATCCGCCATCTGTCTGTTGTGGTCACTCTGTTGCTTTGAAAAAGTCGCTCTGAAAAACTTTCCCCGTTTAAGGAACAGGCTAAAGGAGAGAGACAGAGTCAAGTCCATCTTCCGTCGTTCTTTGTGTAAGATAAAACAGTGTCTGCCGCCTGCTCTCATTTTAACCTGTCTCTGACTTGGCTTTTATAGCGATAATTTCAGAATTACCTTTTTTTCTTTATGCTACTCTGTCATCTTGTGCTTGATTATTGCACATGGTGCCTTGCAACACTTTATCACACTACATGCCTCCTGACATTGGATTGCTATTTATTTGTTAAACCATTAAAAGTTAGCAAAGAACTGTTAGGATGACGTTAAATGGCTTTTAATGTTTCATAACACAGCTGAAACATGAGGTGTGCATCATACTCAGCCCTCTTCTCTGTGTTATCTCTAAAAATATGTTATCCAGCAAGGGAGGCCACCATTATTTAAAAATTTAATTTGCAAAACAACATGTTGGCAAGCCCCACAGTTTCTGGGAGAACATCCTATGGACAAATGAGACAAAAATGTATCTTTTTAGCATGGCAAATCATCTCTATGTTTGTTTGTGGAAAAATGAAGCATATTAAAAAAAGAACACTGTCCCTACTAGGAAACATGGAGGAGGCTCTGTTATGCTTTGGGGCTGCTTTGCTTCATTTGAGTCAGAGTATCTTTCATTTGACTCAGAGTATCTTGAATCTCTGCAGGGTTCAATCAAATCTCAGACTATCAATGGATTTAAGAGAAATGTTCTGCTCAGTGTCAGGAAGCTTGGTCTCAGTCACAGGTCTTCAACAGGATATTGATTCAAAACACACAGCTAAAAAAAAGCCAAGAATCGCTATGATGAAAACATTTGACTATTCTGAAGTGGCCTCTTATGACTTCTGACCTAAGTCCTCCTGAAACCATGCTACCTGGAAAAGGCACCCTTCAAAGTCTGTTCATTAAGAGTGGGCCAGAATACCTGCAGAGAAGAGCAGAAGTATCACTGGCAGTTACATGAATTGTTTGATTGCAGTGATTGCCTCAAAATATTAAGTTAAGGGTACCATCATATCTGTCCAGGTCTGTTTTATGAGTTATTTTTTAGTAATTCATTTGAAACATACCAAACAAGCAATGTCTGATATTCATTTGATCATTCTCACATAAATTTTACCTATTAATTCTTTAGTCAGATTCAAATTATTTCTGTGACCTTTACGGATTTTTATTTCATTAAATTAGGGGCACCAACAATTTGGTCCAAGTGTGTATGCTAGAAGTACATGGGTCCGGTCATTCAAACATAAACATGGCATTTGGGGTTGCATATGAATTGTTATACATTTGCTTTGCCTAATACAGAAAATCCCAGCAATACAAAGAAGTTAGTCATTGTAACCCAAAACACTGCATAAAAGTTTCAGGTGTTGTGGATATTTTTGGGACATTCTCCAGAACTAGCAGTAATAAAGACATCACAGATCCTCTAGTCTCATTTCATTAAAACTTTACTCATTTTCTAAATAACTATAGCTTTGAGTGCCATTTATGTTTAGCAGCAGAGACTACTAACCATGATTTAATAGAACAGGAGAAAACAAAGAAATGCTGCATTGCAGGAACATTGTGCTGCTGCATGCCTTTGCCCTTCCAGGTGGCAGCTGCATCTAAATCACCTCTCAAAAGTTCTGTTCTTCTCATTTGATCAGAGGGCAAAACTGACCTAGCATGCATAACAGTTTGGCCTGTCTGTCCATTCCCCTCATCCACTCCTTACCACCCCTTCATCCTTCAATGTAGCCTTGAGCAGCTTATCCCACCCATTGACCTCATTTGAAGCAAGGCAGGACACTAATGTGGACAAAGGCCAAGAGAAGCTGCTGACCTCATCTCTCAGTACCTCCACATTGTCCATCCTCCATCATCATCACCCAACAACTTCTCCATTTGACCACCGCAACAAAACCCCTGACATTGGCCTACATGTTTCTGAGCAGTGGCTGACAGGTAGAGGAATCCAGAAACTGCTGTTGTGTCAGATTTAATTATAGAAGCTGAAACTGTAAATTGTGTTCTTGTTGCCTTGTGGTGATTTATTATTTTTGCTCCATACAGACAAAGATTCAAGTGGCAGCACTGTGCAATCTGGATGTGATGATGGCGACGGGATGCCAAACCATGGTAAAAACCTTCTTGATTCCTGTTTAGAGGATTCCGTCAGCCTGCAGATGTGCAGCCAGCTCAGGAATTAGACTAAATCCCTCAAACTGCAATCATGACCCTGTTTTGAATTAATCTCTTTGCTTATCATGGAAGCCATCAACTAGACAGAGGAAGCTCTACCCTGCTGCTCCCTGTTGGCCATTATAATTTACTTCGCCAATTTTTGAATATGGAACGCATTTAATGCTATGCTTTTTGATCACAGGACCGTCCAATTAACAGTAAAATTCCAACCACATTTCGAAACATCAACCAATATAAATCCCTAAATTACAGTGGAATAAGACATTTTAAACAAGTCACCTGAAACTGGTTAAATTCTTAGCAGAAAAGCCTTGGGTGTTAATGACTGCTTCAAACCTGTATGGTGAAACTAGTCACCTTTATTACTCAGATGGGATGTTGTTTAATTCTTCCACAGCATTTTACTTTAATTTGGAAGTTTATGCAGACATCTTCAATGCACTGCCATCTTAAGTTATTTCCATAAATCATAAGGTAGATCATAGTCAGGAAAATGAGTCGGCTTTATAGCAACTGTATTTTCTTTCTCTATAAATAGGTGAAGACAAATTACTAAGCTGTAGAGTTAGATAATTGTCTAGCTCAGAACTCTAGCCATGTTAAATCAGCAAGTTTTTAAAGGATGTCCCAGAATATTTCTCTAATCATCTTCCTTTCTACTGACGGACATTTACCAGTGCCTATAGCTAAAAAAAAAGCCAATATCATGAAGCTCTGACCCCTTTATAAGGATATTTTCTTTTCTTTTTTTCTTTTTTTTCTTGCATGTAGAACCATTTTTTAACCATGGTTTGCAATGACATCCCATCTTACCAAACTATACTCTTCCAATTGTTTATTGGGTTGTTCAAATGTTCTGCAGCTGAATTTAAACAAGCTACAACATGTTTTAACTTATTTTAGGGAGTCTGGTGCAGTGACAAATCATGTAGGTCACCTTAGTTGAGCGTATTAATTATTGTTTTATTTGAAAAAATGCACTTACTAGTTTCAGTGAGTTAATTAGCTCCCAAATAAGTCTTTGACAAGTCTTGTGGGGATCACCTTGTTGATGATGGTTTATTGTGAAATGTTCTGTATACTAATAGATTTTGTCCTAAGAAAACACTAAGTGGAACATTCAGAAATGTAGAAATATTGCTCAACGCCTGCGACCAAATCCGTCCTGTCACAGCTATTTATTCTGCCATCAAGAGCCAAAAAAGGTATAACATGTCATAAAGGAGAGGCATGTGTTCTTTCGATGTGTACAGTGCATAAAATTTCGCAATAATGTTATTAAAGTTATATAAGCAGAACAGTGTGTTTTTATAAGTGAATGTTGAAATCTAAGGTTTCATTTATACACCTGCAACTGGCCCTCTTGCTGATACCAAAAAGGCTTAATATAAAAACTATTTGAAACTTCACTCCTATCCGAATATTTTTCAACTCTATGGAGACCTTAGAGTCAATGACCTTCTTGTGAGACCCGTGTGTAAAAATACAAATTTTTTTAGGCCATCAGTCTGAACTGACCTGCTGCTGGTTGGTGGCATATATCAGCAATATTCCCGGTGTAGGTACCAGATCTACTCGGGTCCCCGCAGATCGGGTCCCCGTCAACATATGGCCATTCCACTCGGGAAAAACTGCATTTAAGGATCAAATCTCTTTTGGAGTCTCAGGATATTATTACCTATATTTGCTATTATTTTACATTGCATTCGTGATCTGAAGTAGCCAAAAGTAGAACACAATCATTGTCAGTCTTGAAGGAAAGTAAAAGAAAGTGCGCTCTAAGACTGAGCTCTGGCATTTAACAAGGTGACAAAAAAGTCTCAGCTTATTTTCATTGTTTTATTAAGATCTGAGGGCACTGGAGGACAAATGGGGCATCTTAAAAATGTCTTTCGTAGAGATTTTAGACAAATAAAACAGTTATTCTACTTGTAGAGAACTAACGGTTGTTGTTGACACAAAATTCAAAGTAGTGTAGCTTAATATGGCTAACTGACCGAGCTAAAAGCACAGCTAAAAGAGGCTAACCTGTTAGCTACTGAACGCAGCTAGTCACAAAGCTACCCTGCTCTTCCCCTTTACACCACGGTCTTGCAGTTACTTTGGTCACCGTAAACATTTTTTTTTTCAGTTTTGTTAACGATCAGGTAAAACTTCATCGATCGTTAGACATGCTACAAACACAACACAACACTACAGATGCTCCCGACTCTGTGTGGTATTATTATCGTTGTCTGGGCAACCACAATGTTTTACATCATATGGCAACGTTTCACCAATCATGTAGTGTAACATCACTGGCATGTGCAGGACCCGAGCAGATCTGACCACCCGAGCAGATCTGGTACCTACACCGGCTTTCTATGCCATCCTGTACTTCAGTTTCTTAAGTTTATCATTATACGTTCCATTTGTGCATCCAATTTATTACATGTAACTAGGGATTACCTGGGTTGTAACTGAAATGTGGTGCCATATCATAAGCCCAATAGAAATATATTGTCTAAGGAGTAAAATGTTTTGAATCAATTTATGATAATTTTATAAATTAATTAAAAGCTGTAACAGTTATTCTATCTATGTGAATTTCCAGGGATGGATGCAGTTCAAGTTCGAGCACGGAGTGAAAGCAGCGGCGAGTTGAGCCTGAGCCTAGAGAATGAGCCTTGGTCAAACGGCAGCAGTCCTGTCCAGAAGCCCCCCTCACCTAACTCCTCTTCCTATCAACCACCCAGTGATGTGTCCACCCCACAACCCCATTCACAGCTGCAGCAGCCTGCGGACCAAACCTCCACCATGCAAGCTGACAATAGCCTGAACTCAGATAGGTTGCAAAGGCAAAGAGATCCAGTGCTGTCTCAGGACTTCTGGCTCACAAGAGGCACAAAAACCATCCAAAGGGGGTGTCAGGGAAAAGGGTTTCGACGCTCATCAGACATATGCGGTACAGGAAAAACTAACTCAGAACTGAAAAGGTTAAGCTTGAAAGCTGAAACAACGCAAGCCTCTGCTTGTTCCCCAATCACAGTGCTGTATGTTCAGGGTAAATCATCCTCTATGTCTGGCTGCCTGAACTGCTTCTCGACCCCTCTCGTGAAAGAGGGACAATTGGGAGAGTTCAGGTGTCCTAGAAGTCTCCCCCGGGCCAGCAGTGTGATTTCTTCAGCAGAGGGTTCTTCTCGACGCTCGAGTGTCGGCAGTGAATGCAAGGGGACTTTCCAAACTGACCAAGTGCAGACTGTTGAAAAAAACTCTACGCTGGAGCAAATAGAGTTTCAGAAGGAAGAGCGAAACCCAGACTCAGGAAACAGGGAGCCGGAGTCCATTCCTCCTGCCAAACCTCCCCGGGATCCAGCAGTTATTGTACCAACAAAACACTATGAATCCAGTTTGCAGGAGCCATCCCTTGGTTCGTCTTTCACTTTTAACTCTGTGTTCTCAGACACAATCTTCAGTGATTCTGAACTCACCACTACAGCCATCCTAGATATGATTGACATGCGCACACATTTCTTCTGTCCTGATCCATCTTCAGGGAGTACCTCTCTCGTTGAGAGACAAGAAACTGCTGAGAAGACACCACAAACATTGCTTAGCTCTGAAAAAAAGGAAACCGAAGCAATATGCTAGATCTTACAGGAGGGCTCAAACAGCAGTGTCTCCTTGCAGTCACTAAACACATACATTCATGGTTACTTCAAAGTCATCAGGTTTATTTTTCCTAATGGATTTTCAGATATTTTTTTTTCCTTAATTCTTTTTTAAATTAGGCATAGCTAAAGTACGTTAAGACTATTTTTGTTTTGTTTTTTTATTGTATTTAGCACTATAGTTGTTTTTAATCTAGCACATTTATGTATTCAGGCAGTAGACTAGGAGCTAAGTGTTGTTCTGTTTATCTCGAGTCGTAAATCTGGAAAGATGATGAACCCAACTTAACATGCTTTCATTTGCCACTTGGAAAGACAATCACATTGAGCCATAGCAGCAGATTATAGTGTTCTCCACCACATTATTTTTGCAATACTGTTTAATTTTCACTAACAGGTGTTGCACAGCTTTCTGTGCCCCATTTATGTTATATGACATAATCCATCAGAAGCTCAAATACAAAACTTCTGCACCCTTTACAATGTTTTGAAGATGTTGTAGAAACATCTCATTATGCAGTTGAGGATGGTGAGAGTAATCGTTTTGTACTTATTTTTGACCCCCCGTAAAGCAGTGTTTGTACTGACAATAACTTAAAACACCGTTCTTTGATCTACTGGGCAATTTGATAGCAAAAAATATCTGCCAGTTGGAGGTTGTTCAGAACTACTTCAGATTAACTGGTTGTTCAAATCTCTTTTTGCCATAAATCACCTAGCTTAAAGCATCGAAAACAGCTTAGTGTCACTCCCTTTCCCTTCCACATTTCGTACATTTGAGCAAACATGGTGCTTCAAAGTGGGAGTGATTTCCAGTCATTTTGGGCCAGTTCGTATTTTATTGATTTGCTGTTTGAACACAGAATTAAATAGCTGATCTATTAGCTCAGTTTGGCAGCAATCTCTTCAGGGGTCTGGCGATAGCCAGTTGATGTTTAAAACGTAAATATCTTTTATTCCAGAGCTCTGTTTCGTCCAGGTTACTGTATTAAAGGTCCTAAAATATTGTACATTTTAAAAAAGAAAGCCCCTTGAGCATGTTTTTCTAAGTTTTGCTGGGAAATTCCTCTCAGATTAGCCAGACAGCGTGTACCAAAAACCTCCTTATTCAGCCCTCGTGTGGATGAGCTGTTTGGTTCCCCACACGCCATCCCCTGGAAGGCCACGCCCCCACAACCCGCTACCATGACATTAAGTTTGAGTTTGTAAAGGAAGTGGCTAGAGGAGCGGAATAATACATTAGATGAAGACCATAGCTTGGCGGATATGCTGCTACTCTGGATAGCTTATTTCCCCTTATGACATCATAAGGGACATGTTTTTTTCCCCCATTTGTGAACCTCATACACAGGTTTTGGACACATAACCTGTATAATGTGAATTCTGCATAATGGGAGACCCTTAAACCCAAAAAACTCAAAGTAAACTCCTGCTGTTAGATATTATTGATTTGGAGTTACAACACCCAGTTCCTTTGCTGTAATAAGGGACTTTTAGTCAGTACGAAACATCTTGCAGAAGCATCACCATTTCTCCTGAAATCAGACCAGTGGAAAACAAATAAAAGTTCAAAGTTGCAAAATGGGAATCCACAAAACCTCCAGCATCCCTCCAGCATTTTTAGAAAGTATTAAGATAAGGTAAAATTTAATATTTTTTGAGAGATTTGCATTTATTATTATTTATCTTTTTATTTGAAATAAAACATCTGCACTTGAAGAATAATGTGCAATAGCTAGAGTACATGTGTACGAAAACCTTTTGTTGACAGGTATCAACAAAGCGTTGAATTAATTAACTGCTTAAGAACCCAACTCATATTTCCAGGTTCCACGACTAAACAGAAAAGAACAATTTACACTTTCTGATTTTTATTTTTATTTATTGTAATTGTTATTTTATATAAATATTTTATTTTACCTTAACTTTTTGTGACTATCCTTTGAACTGATTTTTTTTTCTTCTTTTGTACAACCTCATTAAATGTTCTGTCTCCCTTCCTAAAGTATTACTTGCAACCTCTTATAACAGTTTATTTGTGATAAAATGTGCATCTGGATGGTATTTTCCTATAATAAAAACATAAAAATAGGTTACAAATTGGTGTTTTTACTCTCAAGTCCTCGTGTCCGCCCCCCCACATTCTGATTGGCTTTTACACCTCGCACGTGACCAAATGCGGAAGTGACCAATTCAAACGTAAAACCTACAGGTTCGTGGGTGTTTTTGTGTGGGGTACATCGCCGCTCGGCCAACTGGAGTGGTTACATAAACTCTATCGAACAACTCAGCGCTTGTTCCCGGGCTTTGGCACGATGCTGAACGCCGCCGCCGCAGAGAGGAACAAGGAACCTATCCTGTCGGTGCTTCGGGAGAGTGTAAACCATGAGAGAGCCCTGCAGGCTCTGGAGATATCTTCCGGCACCGGGCAGCATGTCGTTCACTTCGCAAAGGCTTTGAGGAATATAATTTGGCAACCTTCTGAGTATGACTGCCAGTCTCTAGTCAGGTAAGCACAGCTATATACTGTAATATGTGGGTTATAAATACCCTACAGGTGTTGTTCATGTATTATAGTCTATCTAATTGTTAAAACAAACCGCCAGTGAGTTTTGAAAAGTCATTTTCCGTTGATCTAATCGGTGCTTTGTGTATCATTGTAAATGTGTGCGTTCTACTTTCAGTATAGAAGCCTACAGAGCTCACTACCAGCTGCACAATGTGAAGCCTGCCATCCATCTGGATGCTTCCCAGCCCCACCAGTGCTGGGGGGGGATTCAGCCTGAAAGCCTTGACCTGGTCCTCAACATCAACATGATTCATATTTCTCCATTATCCTGCACTGAGGTCAGGCGGCTCAATTATTTTAGCTTCTTATGTCCATAAAATACAGAGATTGTTTAACACTCAATACATAGAAACTTTTTTTTTCTTCTTTTTTTTTTTATAACTAAGGCGTTTTGGATGTTGAATGATTAAGGCTGATGAGTATGGAGGATAACGGGTGCCTTTATACTATACTTTATACTACAATTCAGTTTATTTATATAGCGCCAATTCACAACACATATAAGCTACATTCACACTGCAGCCTGAAGTGACCCAAATCTGATTTTTTTGGACCATATGCAACCTGGATCTGATCTTTTAATGACAGTCTGAACAACACAGATCCAATTTGTTCCGATGCGACCCAGGCCACTTGGCTATTTGGTCCTGATTCTAATACGAATCTGATCTTTTCAAATATGTCTGAACGGCCAGGTCACATTCGTCCGACCTGAACACCATTAGTACCAGACAAATGGTGAATGAAGATGCGGAGAGCGATATTTATGTTTAACCATCTTGAGAAGATTGTGTTTTTTATGGTTATGAAAGATCGCTAGATGCGCTCCAGCGCTACCATCCACGTTTACTTCCGTAAACACAGAGCACACAGGCCTGTGACGTCATTGCCTGCTCTACTACGCAAGCGGGACACTTGTGTTGTATGACTGCAGTCATACAGTCCTGTAGACATACAGGTTGCATATATTTGGAAATGTCAACGGCAACACAAAAAAAAAAAAAAGGTATTTCACAAAAAAATCGTAAGGCCTGCAGTGTCAACATAGCCTTAATCAAGGCAGAGACAGTTCAACCAGATCGTACAGTCAGATTGATTCAAAGTTTTCTATCTAAGGAAAACCAGCTGATTTCTTGTAGCGACAGTGGGAAGGAAAACTGTATTTTTACACAGGAAGAAACATCCAGCAGAGCCAGGCTCAGTGTGAGCAGCCATCTGCCGAGGCCAACAGGGGTTCAATGAGTCTGAAGCAGAGATACAAAAGGCAACTGTCGACCGGGTCAATAGGCGGCCCCGTCCAGGAAACACAAAGCCAGGCAGACGAGCTCCGAGTCAGGTCCCATGTCAGAGGATGAAAGAGAGTACATGTGTTGCAAATTGGCGCTATATAAATAAACTGAATTGAATACATCCAGTTAGTCACAGTCAGAGAAAAAACAGGCAGATCTCCAACATCTATAAGCAATGGTGTTGATGGCAGCAGAACAGCTGATATTTTTCTACAAAATGGTCTCACAGTCAAACAGGAACAGACCAAATTTTAAGCTACTATAAGAAAAAACAGAGAGCATAATTTTAGAGATTGAACAAAAAAATTCTCCAGAGTCTGAGAATAGAGATAGCATGACGAAAAGAGGTCCATATGTCCTCCAGCAGTCTAACCATATAGCAACATAACTATTGAGATACCTCAGGATAACCTGAGCTACTCTATCTATAAGCTTTATCAAAAAGGAAAGTTTTAAGCCTAGTCTTAAAAGTAGACAGGGTGTCTGCCTCACAGACTAAAACTGGTAGTTGGTTCCACAGGAGAGGAGCCTGATAACTAAAATATCTGCCTCATGAAATTCTAGAAACCCCTTTGATATGGGATTTAAATGACAGGTGTAACTGAATAAATTGTGAAATAATGATTTAAATGCGTCTTTAATTTATTAAAACTGGAAATACAGAATTTATTTAATAAATATGTAATTAATTATATTGTCCGTAAATAAATATGATTTTTTCGTTCGAAAAAGGGAATATAATTATTTCATCATTTATTACTCTATTTCCTGTAAAATAACCTCACCCCCAGACAGATTTTGAAAACTTCCACCAAAGCAGGCAGTACTAAGATACACTGAGCGGAATGGCCAAGTGTGGGGACGAGTGGAGGGAGTTAATCGGTGGTGTGAACGGGATGAGGGAAAGCAGCAGTGAATCTAACATGACTACATAGTCCAAGTACCTAAAATAAAACACCACACTAACAGGTGAGGAAATGCTCACCTGAAAAATTCAATTCAACTCCTGGCTCCACATGAATTGAAGTTTGAGGGAAATGGTGTGTTCTTTTTATACTCTGAAGTTGAAGCAACACATAGAAGAGTGATTTTTTGTCAATGTTCTGGCTATAACCATGTGGGTTATAATGTCCATAGATGGACATCCACAAGCATAAAACTGAGTTCTACCACTTCTGAGATTACATCGCTCCCATTTCCAAACTCTGAGGTAAATCGGGAGCACTGTTATATCCAAGCACTTGGCTGGAATGGAGACATTTACTTTTGAACCAATAGGAAAGCTCAACAGCCACAGGAACTCTTCAAATCATATAGGTCAACACTAAGGCAGTTTTAGGCCAGATATTGCAAAATTTAACGAGTTAACCCCAAAAAGGTTACAATTTTCAAACTGACATAAAGATGGCACCCAAAAGGCCCCGTTTGTATGAGCAAAAACAACCATTTAGGGCTTATTTATTCTTGAAAATAGTAGCTATTCTTTTACATTTTCATGTTATATTATCTTATAGAAGTATTTCATGCTTTTTTTTTTTTACTGGAGAGGTTTGGTCTTTAGGCAGATTAAGACTTTAAAGGATGATTTATGGGTTTAAAGGGACATGGGGATTATTGGCTTCCATTTAAACTCCAGATGTAGGGCAGCTCTATGTCAAAAAACACACAGCTTTAGTATATGTTTTTTTTATCATTTCATTTTTATTGTCCTTTACTTCTTTCTCTTTTTTTTTTTTTTTACAAATTTAATGTACATGATTGATTCATTTGGGCTGTTTTTTGTTTTTCTGTTTAATTACGATGAAAATATAAGTTCTGATGAAAATCCCGTTATTGTCCCACAATGGGGAAATTCACTCTCTGCATTTGACCCCGCCCCTTGGGGAGCAGTGGGCTGCCATTGTGTGGCGCCCGGGAGCATTGTGGGGTTAAGGGTTTTGCTCAGGAACCCAGAGTGCAAGCTTTAGGGATCAAACCGGGTACTTGCACCCTTCTCAGAGCACAAGCACTGCTCAAACCACTACACCATCACTTTACAAATCAGTTAGGTGTAAGTCTGCGTTTAGGTTAAACTGTTTTTTTGTTTGGTTTTCTGAGCTCATAAGGTGATTAAGCCTCTCCATGTTTTATAATGGAACCCCGAAAATTACTCTAGAGTCACAATGGTAACACTAACAGAGGTTAGCAGTTTTGGTCTGCATCAGTTTAGCATCCAGGCTTTGCTTTGAGGTCTCGCCACAAAGAAAAAAAACTTTGTACCCAAATTCTCTTATCTGTGAGCCCTTTCCTATCTGACCCTTGTTTTTTCTTCCTTTCCTCCTTTAAAAAAGGGGTTATTAGCTTCGCCAAGCCATAGACCTCCAAATGAAAGATGCAGTGTGTGGCTGTTGACACCAATGGCCTTACATCAGGCTGCTGTAAAGCTGCACGTTTTACCACAGGTACAACTCGGGGCTTCGTTTGGATTCGCCCGTTTTATGGTGGAAGTTTAGAATTGTGAGATTTGCAGAGAAAAGAGGTATCGATGGGGTTTGAACTTCTCTCTACGTCCATTTCACCCACTGAACTATCGTTATTTATCTACGACAATGTAAACTCGGTTTTTCATTCTATGATCCCTTTAATAAGCCTTTATTTCTCCAAGAAAGTCACCACTGAGATTAACAACCTCTGTTTCAAAGGAGACCTGAATATAATATTGCAGTAGAAGAGAGGTTGTATTTAGTGTTTTAAATTGTGCATGGTATTTTTTTTATCTTTTAATAAACTGACCTGGTTTGGCTAAATGATTAAGTCACGAAAAGAATAAAGCTCCCCTTGAGCATATTTGCTTTGCAGCTCTTCAGATCCGAGTTCTCAGATATTAACTGGAGGCAGCTCTCCACAAGAAGGTTTTAGTGGTTTTCCATTTTCCTGCCTCCACTTCATGTGATGTAATTCCAGTAGCCTAAAGGCCTCACTGCTCTCATCTAGGGTCTATTCAAAGGGGCTGGAGTGCTGCTGAAGCCACAGGGTCTTCTGTTGACATACGGGGTAAGTGAAAAACATTTCATGCCTTTAGTAGAACCGCTCATGACCCCTAACGATTAATAAAGGTTTTTGGATACTCTCTCAGCCGTATGCAGTAAACGGACAGATCACCCCCCAAAGCAATGTGGACTTTGACTATAGTCTAAGGCAGAGGTAAGGTGGTCTGTTGTTTATTGAAATAAATGCACTTTCACTTTGTGATTAGCTTGTTGCAAAATGCATAATAAAAAGAAAGCTGTAAATTTCCTCCATTTAAACACTAATTTCAACCATTGTGTACCAAAGTATATTTCTTTGAAGTTGAGTTTTTTCTGTAATTATTCAATCAATAGTCACCTAAGACCACACAGAGACATACAGACCTCGTTGTTTCAAGGACTACAAGTGCTACAAAATGAACCACCATGCAGCCCAAATCTTTACCGCCTTATGTATAACTTAATTGTATTAAATTTGACAAACTTACATAATGTGTATAATTCAATTTATTTTGGCCTAAATACATCTGAAGAAAGTAATTATAACACATTTGAAGGCTTATGATTCTTGGCCAGAATCCATCAAAAACTATCCTCATTTCTCCCTTGCATTTCTGCATTCCTCTGCTTTTGCTTCATTGCTGTGGGGGTAAAAAATAATGCCATGGGAGATTAAGGAGCTCCAACTTTACCTTTCTATAAAATTATGCAAGTTGATTATGAGTTAAGCTGTAAAGCAGGAGGATTTTAGCTTTTAAACATCATGTATACTGCACGTGCACCACAGTAATGTAATTAATGAGCCTCCTACTTGGAGGTCACAGCAGTGAGCCAATAATGATTCTATAAAATCTCATGCAGTACTTGAGAATTTGATTTACTCAAACTGGTATGCTGGATTCTTGACCGACTTTCTTATTGTTTTACAATTATCAGACCACTTGGGGGCACTCATAGACAGAGCTTTGAAAGTTTGTTCCCACATGGTCAGTTTATATAAAGAAAATAAAAAACAGTTTAAGCATTAGTAAAGTAACATCACTGTTCATGGCATAGCAGGACTCTGAATGCCACGCTAATTATCTCAGTATACATGCACTGTTCAGAATAGAAGAACATTGGTTTGAAATTAAAAATGTATCACAAAAGTTACCAAACAATTAGCAAAAACAGATTACCTAAAGTCATACTTTAAAATCATTATTAGTCAGAATATTAAAAAAAATCCTCTTTAGTACTCTCTTCTCTCTCTATAGATTTGTCGCTTGTATCTAACCAACTGTAGTTTAGAAACAACTTTCTTAAAACATGTAGGGCTTGCTTTAACTTAATATTTAATCTCGCAGGAATCCAGAATGGGGCTTGAAGGATATCTCATTTCTCGATTCAGTGGCACAAAAAAATGGTTTATTCCTGGAGAAAATAGTAAGTATTTGCAGAATTGAAAGAAAGAAACTGAAAGCTAAATCAAATGTCTGTTTTTAAACTAAAAGAAAATGTTTTGGGTTTTTTTTGTTTTTGTTTTTAGGTGGAAATGCCAGCAAACAATAAATGTCTCCTGTTCAGAAAAGAGAGTTTGGTGTGAGCTGTCCAGGTGATCCTTCTAAGAAGCAGGGCGGTCTAAACACCTTAACTTCTACTTAAATCATCTAATTGTTGCCTGAATAACATATGTTGCCTGCATAACAAACACATGGGATCATAACAACTTGACACTCATTTATTTAATCTGGTATTATTTACGGCAAACTACTATCATGTATTGCACAGTTAAACCCTTACATCAATATGTACTGTTTCTACCCTAAGACTTAGCTGTTATATTAGTTACTAAGCATAAGTGCTATTTAGAAGTACATATTAGAAAATGTACATCACACAACAAAAGATGTGACTATACGAGCAATACACTCAAAAATGTTTTTAAGAGCACATAACATAAACAGACTACCGCTGATATGGAAGGGTCCTAATCCGGATGTTACAGAATTGATTTTAATCAGCATATCTTTTTTTATTTGTAATCAATGTAATGTTTAAAATAGCATTATAACTCTGCATAAATAGCTCACAATATCCTGAATGTAATAAAAACTCTCTTGGACTACCTACATCTGATCTCTTACTTTAAATAATATTGTGTAGTCACTTATATTCTTGAAGACTGTAATATCTGCAACTGTGTCCTATCATTCTCTACAATTTCTCACATGCTTTTTTATTGATGGCATCCCTGAGCCTGCGGAGCCTTCTTTCAGTTATGGCTTTCACGTAGCTGTCTGGCTGGATGATAGCCATGCCATCCTGCACCATACCCATCACCAACAAGGGGTTGTGCTCCATGGTGATGTTGGGACAGGGACAGCTCCAGTCGATCTTGATGATGGTCACCTCCAAGTTTTTAGTGTTGAAGAAAGTTAGGCCCATCTTTTCATCCCTCAGTACCTCGTCCAGGCTAAAGCGAGCCAAACCAGAATCGAGGTCCTCGATGAGCTCCATTAGCCGCCCAACGATGGCGAAGTCGCTGCGGCACAAGGTGGGCATCATTTTCCCCCTCATCCGACAAGTCCTGCATGGTTTCCGTTTGGCCTGCGGACAGTTTGCCTCACATTCCTTTTTAGTGCGAAAGCTATTGGCATTTCCCTGGCATCCGCCGTAAGCAAACGGCTGGCACTGTTTCATCAAGGAATTCCAGGCCCAGCGGGCCTCCCAGTTTTTGCACGGACCTTGAACCGCTGGCAGGGAGCAGATCCCCATTCCCTCTCTCTGACAGGACGCCTTGCATTCCTCGTACGTCTCAAAACGATTACGACTGTCGTCGCAGCCGCCACTGCTGAAGGTCATGCAGGAGCCCAGCTTGCTGTCGTAATACCAGTCCACGTGACGCTCCCCGCTGCAGACTTTAGTGTCAACCTCAGCCAGGCAGTCTGCTGGAGAGAACGGTCGCCCCATGGGCAACTCAGGATCCTCTGAAAAATCATCCGCTCGGCGGATAACAGACAGCGGGTAGTCTGCTTGGAGAACTCCGACAGAGTTCCTTGCGATACATGTGTATAGGCCGGTGTCCCAGACCTGGGCATTGTACACCACTAGCTGTCCAATGTTGGTTATGACTACATTCCCATACATCTGGTCTGGCCTCATGACTAGCCGCTCACGCCTTTCGCTCTGCTTCTCCCACGTCACATCAGGCCTTGGAACGCCGATCACATTGCAGTGAAAGCTAACTGTGCCTCCGACATAGATGGATTGATGGTGAGGGTTAGAGTACAGCGTTGGAGGCATTGGGTCCTCCTGGGAGGATGTGGGGGTTGGAGAAACTGTTGTATCTAGAGGAAAAGGACTCGTATGTGGACCAGCGAGGTAGAAACGGCAAGGGATCACAGTCAAAGTCACTCCCCTGATGCAGGCTTCTGCGTCCATGTAGCAGCGGTTGAAGTAAGTGAGGCCGTCCGACGCACAGGTAAAGTAGGGCTCTTTCTCACAGCGGTCCTGGCACTTACAGATGGGCTGTCCATCCCAGATGTCACAGGTCGCCCCCTGCTGGCTGCAGATGAAACCATCACAGGTTGCAATGGAGGAATTATCTCCACTGTCTCCTTCCTTCCCACCCGGCTGAGCAGGGGTGCCATCAGAGAAACGTGCAGAAACACAGCTATTGAGGCCACACACATTGGTGCAGCATTTCTCATGTTCTGCGCAGTCCTGAGCAGACAGAAAATTCAGATCAGCATTCAAAAAGCCAGTTTAATAGATTAAAAAAATATATATGTACAAATGTATGATAAGCAGATTTTCCATGCAAATAAAATGAAAATTAGCAACAGATAAAGCTACATTACTTTAAAACTTTACACAAAGGTCTACTGCTTAACACGTAAACGTGAATTTAGTGTTTTAAGAATTGTTTTTACCCTTGTGAAGCACAGGTCTATAATATAAAATATGCATCATGTTTTTTTTCATGGAATGTTCTAGAATGCTGTGCTACTTGCAGCCTCTCCTGTCTACAGAAACAAGTGGGTCTTTAGCATGACCACACAAAAAGTGAGGAAATAGGTAAAAATAAATGGCACAGTTCAAGCTTCATCTTTATTTTTTATTTTTTCTCTCAGAAAATAAAGTTGTACAAACATTTACTAATTTCTGTGTATATTTGGCTGCATCAGGCCCTTTTAACATATGTTTCAATTGCAGGACCTCCTATAGAAAAGTAGTAGCCTATTTTTTTTATGTCGTCAGTATTATTCAGTCAACTCAGTTTAAAGAAGTCTACATCTCACAGTTTCTGTTATGTTTACTGATATATTTTAAATAATCAAAATGTTATATAGATTTTTTATATAGCTAGAGAAATTCATGATTAATTGGTCTCTGTGAATTTTCCTTTCAATATCAGTATGTGTATGCCTAATTGTCCTTTGTGTGTCTGTGTTGTCCTGTTCTAATATACTTACCGGTACTTTAATAAAAATTATTGAAATTGAGATTTATTTTTTTAATTTATTGTGTTCATTCTTTATAGATTTTTATTTACTTGTTGCTCAGTTGTATCACTGATGTACAACACGCTGTGGTTAAGTAAAGTATTTAGTATGAAGCTAAATTACTGAAAAAAATTGTTTTTCTAGAGCTAAGACTAGACCTTTGTTTTTAAAATTTTCAGATATGCAAATAAGACTATATAAATTGTGTGATGCTTTTTTTTATTTTAATGTTTGTTGCTGAATTACTTGTTCAACAGAGGAATAGCAGCCATCAAATACTGACAGACCTGTTGGTGGTTTCTTGCTTCAGGAGGTGAAGCTGGAGGTCATTAGTTTTCAAAGGTGAATACTCATGGCCAAGCGCTAGTTATTCTCATTTAGTTTGGTTAGCCACACCTATACTGTATATGCATCTATGTCAGCTCATACTAAGAAGTATTTTTAAAGGCTGCACAATTAAACAGCATTGCAATATGAGTGTTTGCAGGGATGGAATTAATGAATTTTTTTTTGGATAAGAGTACATGTGCATCTGCACAAATAAAGCAACATGATCTGCACAATAAGTTGAATTCAAAGTGGAGATGCAAAATCACCATGTGCAGAAATGCAGTTTTAAAGATGATTTCCATTTAAGATGATGTGCAGCTCTAGTTTCTTTTCATTTGCAATTACCATGAATAGACATATGGGGCATGTATGAGGAATTCAACTTTCATAATCAGCATAATGGTTTTTGCGATTGCAGCACTAGTTGCCCCCACCTGATAATGGTAAAGTTGTCTAAAATGCTAAAGGTTGGAAGCCAACTTAGGATCCAATTTCCTGGTATGCTACCATACCACTCCCAAGTATTTAGTTCCTAAAGTGTTGTTTAAATAAATATGATCAGGATTATTTTTTTGACTATTTTGTCCCTAGACAGATCTCTATTCACCATCTGGTAATTTGTACTTGCAATGACAACTATTGTTATTAGCAGATTTAAAGGGACAACAAAATTAAGCCAATAATTTTGCGCCTTGACAAGGAACTTGGTGATTTAGCCCCAAATGTATTTGTACCTCAACCAGCTCAGGAAGCCTCGGAAGTGTTAATGGGTTAATATTTGGATTCTCCTTTCACTTCCCCTCGTTTGTGGGAGTAAAATGTCAGAGGAAAAAGCAGGCCTTTAACAAACCTTGGAATTTTTTCTTTTTTTCTATTGTGGAGCAGCAGCAGCGGAGCTAGATGGGGGGCCAGGGGTGGTCATGGCCACCCTTACCCAATCTGTGGCCACCCCTACCATTTTCTCCCTTTAATACAGACGGTATACTCTCAAATGGAATGGTCTAACTTATTTTACATTTTAATTTTCTATATTTAAACAATAACCTTACAACAAAAACAGTGTGGTTAATTATGCGCATCAATATACTAACATTAAAGATAAATATAGAAATCATGCTCCTTTCAGAACTAGATTTTGTGTCATATGGGGTAAAGAGAAAATTATGTCTCTGCAAGTTGTCTAGGATTCTTCAATAAAATCAGAGATAAATAACTACTTTAACAATAATCCATTTTAAGTAGATATTAGTACATGTAAATATTAATTTTATGCAGAACGATTATTAATAAAAGTAGGTAAGTAAGACGATTAATAAAATGTCGCCACAGAGCTCAAAACTGAAAGAATTTTGTCCACTACACCTTTAATTTTGATATATTTAAATATATGCGTCTATTTGTAAAATTGTCTTTATTTAGAAAATATGGATGTTGTTGTTTCCTTTTGGAACAGTGTAGATTGACCCTAAGTTTCTGGTGCCTATCCGCTTTTGGCCACCCCTCAGTATACATTGGTTATTGCCTGGCCACCCTTTTTTAAAATTTCCTGGCTACGCCTCTGTCAAGCAGCGCAAAAATGAATCAACTAAACGTTAATCTAGATTATAATCTCACTGCTTTCAGGGATCTCACCTCATCGACGCTGCATTCCCTCTCGCAGGTGCTTTGCGCATCAACCCAAAGATTAGAGTTCAGCTTGTTTGGACAAAATCCTTCGTGTTCAGCCGTGGATCCTGCCACACCACTTAGAGAAACATCCACACAACTACACATCAAAAGCACCCACAATAACACGCGCGTCCACGTCCACGGCACTTTGTTTTGCCTCCTTTTGTCTCTTGACAGCCCGAATTGCAAAAGTTGGAGAAATATCTCAGACATTGTGGCTGTTTTCAACCAGTAATTCCATCCCTCCAACGAACAAAAATAAATAAACAAAAAAGCGCGTGATGTTTGATGAGTTTTGGAATGAGCGCGTGCTAATTGGGCCGCTTTAAGATATGCTCCCCGGATAATTAAGGTCCACAGCGACAAAGAGGAGAACCCTGAGGGACAGGAGGAGGACGCAGACTGTCCACAGTGGGAGACAGAGGGGAGGCAGCAGCAGGCAGTGGGAATGGAGGTGGAGAGGGCAGCCCCCGCCCCCCCCCCCCCCCCCCCCCCCCCATGGCCGACCAGGGTCCGAAACTCTTATGAAGCAGCACCGAGAGCAACGCAACTGCACAAACATAGTAAAAACATCAAAGTCGGCTAATTGAGAAGAAAAAATGGGGCATATTTAGAGGAGAAACCCATTAACGTGATAATTACAAAGCATTTTCTTTATATATTTAAATATAGTGGATTATTGGTGTGATACGTAAATTTCTCATGATTTTCTTCCCAGCAGTGCAAAGGAGGCCAAACAGAGGGTGTGTCGCAGCGTGTCTTCCTTTGCGCCCTTTTCTTGTCTAGACATGGGGTCAGTTTAGCACCGAGGCCTCATTGACGCTTGGCTCAGAGATGCCTCGGCCAGGTGGGAAGGCGTAAAGAGCCTCATTTTCAGCAGGGTGTGACTCAGCTTTGTTATACCCCCCACCCACCCCCTCGGTTCCTTTGCAGGCCTCCTTCCTGCTCATCTTTTCATTGGCAGTGACCCTGCAACCTTTACGTGACTTCTGACCCCCTCCCCTCACCCCACCTCGGTTATCCCTCACTGGCCAATAGCTGCTAATCAATTCAGCTCCCCCTCACCCACAGGTTTAAAGCACTTTAACACCAGCAGCCCTGCACTGGACAAAGGGAAGGAGCATGGGCGTAGATTTGCATAGGGACCATAGGAACATGTCCCTACCAACAATTAGATGTGAATAACATGTTTATAATTTACAATAGCTGTTGCAGCAGTAGAGGAGTTCTGGATGGAGAATGTTGACAGACGAAAACATTTTTGGTCTAAAATGCAAAATGTTTATTTATTTATTTTTTTTACAATTTTGGTATAACCCTGCTGTAAGTGGGTCCGCTCTGTGAGCTAAAGACAAGTTTTAGAGCAGGCATCCCCAAAGGAGGGCCGCTGTCCTGCAGGTTTTAGAGGTTTCTCTGCTTTAGCACAGCTGATTATGACAATTGCAGTTCAACAAAAGCCTGTTAATCAGCTTTTAATTAAAATCAGCTGTAATGGACCAAGGAAAACTCTAAAACCAGCAGGACAGTGGCCCTCAAGGACTGACTTTTAGAGTCTCTATACTCCAGTTAACGATTAATAAATTACTAAATTTGTTGACATTTCAATAATCGATTATTCCTATTGTTTCAGGCAAAGATGAAATTCATGATATGGTTTAAATAGAGTACCTACAGCCTTGATGACTTGTAGACTGAAATTAATATTCTAAATACTCAGTGTCAGTTCCAGTGCACATGTAAATACAATAAATTTATTTGGCATCCTTTTAATCTATTATTTTTGCTTTGATTCATGATACAAAGAGAATATTTGAAAGATAAGAGTGGGGTTTACCTCTGCACAATTCTATATCTTCAAAAGAAAAAAACAGGATAAATGCACATATAACAGAAATATTTAGACTATATTTTGTTAAATAAGCACAGATTTGCTTTCTGTCTTAGTTGCTGGTAATTTCAAATGCAAACCTTTTTCAAAGTGGAAAAAAAACATAATTCCTCATTCAGCTGGTGATGCTTCAAACATCGATAAACAGCATCTAGTGTGTGTAGCGCTTATAAAATTTATACAAATGTAGCAAGAAATGCTGCTTTTCATAGCATAAAAAAAAAAACATGCATATTTTTGCACAGGACCAATGACATCAGATCAATAGTGTCCCTACCAAAGTTGAAATCAAACCTACGTCCTTGGGGAAGAGGGGGAAATGACTCCCCCAGTTCCCACAGTCAGGGGCTCTGATACATGTTTGAATTGGAGAGAAAATTATACATGAAATAAATAAAACCTGTCTCATCTTTTTATGTTTAAGTAATTTCAGTGACATCTGTCTAACATTTGGATCAATCATCTTGGCCTAAATGTGCAAATATGGTTCTGGAGCATTGTTCTGATCTCACACTTGCCATGAAGAGGAACCGTGGAAACATGAGAGCTGAAATAATTAAAACACCAACATTATCTGCTTGGTATTTGACTTTTAGATGGAGTAGATGATATTTTAGTTTCCATTTATATATTTCAGAAAAGATCACAGAAAACACTTTGCATGTTGTTTATGAAAAAAAAAATTACGTCATCTGTCACTTTCTGAAATGCCTTCAAATGAAATATGGGGAAATCTTAAAGAATGGAGTCTAGCAGGCATCATCGGCTGCTCTCTGGTTAAACAGTTTTAACTCTTTGTAGGGCAATCGGTGAAATACTTTGACAATCCCAATTTCAGGCCAATAGTGTTATTGGAATCCAGGACAAGAACTTATTAACTTTGTAACATTAAAAAATATGGATTTTTTTATGTCAAAAATTAATGTCAATGTAATAACAAACACAAACTTGGTTGAATATATTAAGAAAAATAACAAAAGTGCTTCTATAAGAAATTCATTAAAAAGTGTAAAAGAAACCTTTTCTGGTCCAACGTAACCTTAGAGGCATTAATGCCGATACTGGCACTTACATTTTTTGGTTTATAAAATTAAATGTAATTCTTAACTAGGCTTATTATCTTTTCAATTTGCTTTTTACCTTTCTTTTTTTTCTCCAGCTTAATTTACAGTTTGTTGTATATCAATTTAGGGCTCATCTAATTGGTCAAATGCCAAAATAAGATGTATAGCCACGTAGCAGTAACTTTGCTGAATGGCTGGATACAGATCTAGTGCTTCTAGAACTCACTGAAGCTCCATTTGTAAGGGGTAGGCAAGTGATCAAAAACAGTAACTTGTCCTATAATGGGTTAAAGTTATATTATCAAACTTGCTATAGCTGCCCCACCTCCACTTGTTGCTGTTCAGACAGCTGAAACAAACAATACCCTTTAAATTTACATAACAAAAACTTAATATATCGTACATCGGTTTCCTTACGGAAGGGTATGGAAATGATCCCCTGAATAAAGTGAATATGAATGAATCAGACCAGAGAAAAATACCAAACAGTGCACTAGTTTGTACAAGGTGTGTTTTTAATAAGAGCTGCGCAGAAATAAAAACCAACCATGCCTTTGATAGTTAAAAAAAAAAAGTAAATAAAAAAAGCCGGTCATATTTAGGAGGTTTAAAAAGTCAAGACATCATGTATTGGCAAGTGAACCAATGAGCGGTCCAAGATGAATTAATAGTTTTGAAAACCAGGAGCTGTAGTTTTTTTTTCTCTCCATTAAATTCCACTTCATTATCAAACATTAAAAATCAAACTCAGCTTTGAATAAATAGCACATCAGCTGTGAGTTTTTTTCCTGTACAGAAAGGCCACAAGACACATAATATTGAAGCACGTCTGCCAAAGCAAGACATAAAACATCAGAAGCTCTTTAACATGAAAGCCACCCATTTACAAACATACATGTATATATGTACACGTATAACTTCAAGTCTAGCTTTAAATACCAATAAACAATATTTTGCCTCACAGAAGGGAATCATCTGTAGTGTTAACTGGTGAGCGATAACCATTGATTCACATTAGTTGGTCCCCAGGAAATCATCCTTTACTTGATAGAGAACATTTAACCGAACATCCACAAGGTGGCATCGGTGAGCAAAAGGAGAACAGAAATCAGTCCCTCAGCCCAGCTTCACCCCCCATCATCAAATAAGTTCATTTCTTGATTCACCTCTGACTGGTGTGATCTCATCAGCCTCATGATCTCTTGGAGCAGCAGCTTCAATATCAGCAAAGTGGAGGGAAGATTCCACCGCCCTCTGTCACTATGAGATTTTACAGTTGCTCTTGGAGGAGGAGGAGGTGGACGATGACGAGGATGATGAGTACTTTGGTGGACTCTGAGGAGATTTAAAGGACTTTGAGCGTTTGAGACTGTTGGCTTTGCTTCCACCGCCACTGCCACCTGAAGCTGTGCTGTTAGCTACCGAGTACGAGCGTCCATGCATCATGACGGCGTTCATGCCATTGGCCATAGAGAAGGACTTAAGGTGGGATTTTATTGCAACGGGAAGCGGCAGCTTGTCGATGAGGTGCACTGGTGTGCAGGAGACAATCGATCTGCAGCAGAGATCCTGGAGGCTGAAGACTGTGAAAAAGATTAACTTGGATAAGAGTTTTTCCAAACAAGGTATTCAATTAGTTTGCCATAAGACTAGTAGTGTTTTCTAGATTAAATAAGAAAGCATCGTTCTGTTAGTAAGGCAAATGTGTGAGACTGTTTTCTGAACCATGTCAGAGTTTTCTTAACGCTTTTAATTTGGAAATTTTAGCCAGCAGAATAAAAACTTTGGACTTTACTTTTAAAGACAATAGAAAATAAAAACAGAAGCCTTTTTGTTTTTACTATTCTTATTTCAATTTTCCATTCTCCTCCAGTAAATGTTACTGACCCAATAGAGGCATACATCAGAGAACTTTTTTCACACTTAAAACCTTTTTCTCATTTAATTTTTTGTAAAAATTGTGGCAGTTTTGACTTACATAAACTTTCTCAATTTATATTCAAATAAAAAAAGTTGTAAATATAATCTGTATAAGAATTTTTTCTCTGCAAATATTCAATAATGTATTTTTTATTATGTTCATTTTGAAACAGAAAAAAATGCACACACAAAAAAAAAAAGCGGTTGACAGACTCACCTCTGTTGGGCCTCCAAAATTTCTCCATCCCGTGTCTCATTAGCACGATACGCGACAGCTCAGTGAAGGACTCGATAACGTTGAAGTTGCAGAGAGGGCTGACTTCAAAAAAGGTCATGCTGTTCTTTTCAGCGTAAGCCCTCGCCTGCTCCGTAGGCACTTGCCGCTTAAAGGCCAGGTGAAGCCGGTTCCCTACAAGGATCCTGGGAACGCCTGGAGCGTGCTGAAAGACAAAGGAAAAGCTGCTGTGACTCTGGGTTTCAGTCACTTCTACCTACTGAATGACTTCACTCATCTTCTAGGCATAGACTTCAAACCACATTAGGATAGTAAGGAAAAAACAATCTCTTGTGAAAAAAACAACAAAACAATTAAAGTAACAACCAAAGTCAGCAGCATCTTTTATTACATCACTGCAAGAGATCACCACAAAGTATTGTTTAAAGTTGAAAAAGAAAGAAAAATTATCCATAAGTTCAGTATAAGCATTGGTTAGTGCTTTGTGGAACCACTATCTAGTGCATTTCTTCCAGCTTTTGCTAATCTACAGACTGAAGATGTTCCCCGTTCTCTGTAGAGACGTAGCTAAAGCACAGTCCAGTTACAAATCAGAACACTTCAATGAACAGAAATTTAAGAAAAGGGAAAGCTTCATTATAAGGTCTATTAAAGGGTGCTGAATGCAAAAATACCAGAAGGCACTTCAGATTTTCATTTCTAAAACACCATTTTCTTCTTTACAAGTCTCTCTGCTTTGTGTAGGTGTGCTTTGATCCGTCGTGATAAATAATTCAATCATTTAGCTCAATCATTTCCGTGGACATGCTTGTTTCTATACCTTGCATCTCCATCTTTTTACTAGACTGAATGACTAAATACACCCACCAATCCTCTCCTTTCCTTAGAGTGAGAGCCACATGACTGAGGAGTAGCAAGTCAGAGAGAAATGCTAGTTGAAATTTGGGTAAACAGAAGGAATTGGTTTTAAATCAGAATTAGAAAGCTACAGTCTTGGAGCAATTTGGATTCAAACTGAACTACATTGTTATCATTTACCACAGTCAGTCCTGGGATAACTGATGAATTGTCATAAGATTTGTGAATTCACAAACTCCTGAAAATACATCTTGTCAGGAGCCAGCAGAAGTGTTCGCCTCGATACAGAAATGTTTTGGACCAGTGACACGTATAGTGAGATCGCATCAATTAGAGATGGAGGGCTGAAGCAAAACAAACATGGCTGCGCTAACAGCTGGAATACCCTCCAGTTCTTTTTGGAAGATGAGCAAAAGGAGGCAATTTTTTTACCTTTTTGGACAGGAAGATTATGTTGCATGTTTATGCGTTTCTCCCAACCGGATTTGGTAAAATTTTGATTCATCAGTTAACTCCATGAAACAAATAAAAAAAAGTGATTTGTCTCAGCTGCTACTGCTGCTGTGATTGGCTAAAAAAAAAATGACATGGGAGGCAGGTACTCAATCAGCTCGGAGAATACTACTGAATGTTCCTCCCTTTTGCGAGCACTTTCTACAGGAGGCTTCCCTGATCGATCTGTGTCGAATTCAGAATGAATTACACTTATCAATCTGGCTTATGCCACGTTTGGACGATTTATCATCCAGCAAAATTTCATCACAGACTTAAGTTTGCTTCAAAAAAGAAAAAGGCTCAAGGGAGGTGAATATCTCTGCAAGGGAATGCACAGTCAGTAACAGTAAGTTCGTTTTTCAGTCAACTGTGCATAGGTTAGGGTGATTACCTCATCAATTTCCCGGATCCAGCGATCAATCCCATCAAACGACCAGCCATTAGTGATGTCATATACAAGCAGGATGCCCTGACCAGAAAAGAAGTTCACATCAATAGTTTAGAGGATTTTACTGTGAATAAGGATGGACATAAGCTCCAACAGTTGTATCGGATAAAAATTGTCAAAAAGGTATTTTTTTTTATTACAACAAAAAAAAAAAGAAAAAAAAAAAAAAAGAAAATCTTAAAATTGGTTTGGATAAGTTTGACTGTTTTTTCTTTCCAAGTACTAACCAACACTCTTTATCTACATTACAAATTCTGTGTCACACCCCCATAACAATGGGATTTATCAATGGAAGTCCAAATGTCCAAGTTTCAAGAAAATTTAAACTGGAATGACCCTTAAAGTCTAAAATTCAAGTCAGAAACTTGGTTGCAACAGGATGGTACCCGAGTTCCGCATTCAAAATGAATGCTACTTGCATGAACGGTAGAGATTGACTGATGCAGAATTTTTTTAAGGCCAATCACAATTACTCTTACATAAGTCTATAAGATATAAAAAAAGAAGAAACAACAATATTAAAAACCAAAACATTAAGAATGGGTAGGAAATAGGGGGAGCAGCAATGTATGCACTGCTTGTGATCTTAAGGCATGCTACTAATTAAATTAATTAATTGGCAAATGCTTGCACATAGTAACTGATATAAAAACAAGAACTGGCCTAAACTATCAGCCCATGCATCGGTCATTCTCCAGTAAGCAGTAGTTAAGCTTTACTATTTTGACCATTTGCAGCAGCTCTTTATGTACTTTTCAAAATGCAGTTTTTCTCTACTTCAAATTGATCAAAAGGCACCGCCACACCTTGCAAATAATGATTTTCTATACATTTACATTAAAACAATGTAAAGCAGACACTAATCATAATCAGAATAATATTAAAATTCAATATATTTTGAAAACCAACACTACGCTCTCCTGCCTCTGGAAAAACTAGACGACTGTCCAACACTGTGTCCAACTTAGCAACTATTCAGCTGCCTCTAGCAACTTCTTTTCACTAGGGTTGTCACGATACTAAACTTTTCAACTCGATACCGATTTTAAGGAAAATATTCGATACTCGATACCATTTTCGATACCACAACAATAAAAACAAAGACTCCAAAATTCTAAAGAAATATTTTCATTAATAGATAAAATAAATAAATACAATAAATAATTAGAACAATATTTTGAGGTTGTTTGCTGTGCACAATATTAAGCAAGCTTGATAAAAAAACTTATAAAATTAAGTGTTCCTTCCTTGGCTATGCTTTGCACACATAGCAATGACACTAGCCAAACCAGTTAACAAGCAAAAATAATTCTCAGCAGCTGCACCTCTTACAAAAAAAAGGTCTGAAACTGAAAAGTGCACAGAATTATTCAATCACACAGTGTTCTGAAAGTGCATTTTCCTCTATTCTGCACTTTAGATGAATGACTGTTTAGTTGCCACGGATGGTGACACTGTATCGATACTTTTAAAAACGAGTATTGTATCCGGATACAACATTTCAGTATCGATACTTTTTTGAGTATCTATACTTTTGACAACTCTACTTTTCACTAAAGTAAGGAATTTATGTTAGATGGAAAAGCTTGATGTTCTGTATCATGGCACAGTTCTCTAAAGTTCTGAGAGAACAGTTACTTTTTTATTTTTAAAGCCCAAAACAATAAACTGCTGTCAGCCAGGTTGCGGACCGCGCTATTAGATTGCTACAATAGTGTGAATACAAAAAACATATATTTATTTTTAACTTTGTTTTGTATATTTGTGAATAAAGCTAGGGCTGCAACTAAATATAATTTGGCTCATCGATTATTCGGTCAAACATTTTTTGATTTATCAATTAAGGATCGCAAAGTATATGTTCTGGATAGAGCATACTGATAGAAAAGACTTTTTTTTTTCTTAAATGCAAAATGTTTAAATTTATTTACAATTTTTGTATAATTACTGCTCAAAGTGTGTTGCTCTGTCAGGTATAGTCAAGTTTTAAGAGTGTCAACACTCCAGTTAACAATCAATTACAAAATTAGTTGACCAATACTTTAATAATCAATTAATTATTTCAGCCCTAGTTAAAACCATGTTGTCGGAGATTACATCACCTTAACATAGTACAAGTTTGGAATGTAAACAACTATATACAGCTATATCCTTATTTACGAACACATAAGACATACAGAGCCACATGTTGGCCAATACACACAAGATTTTATGAATCAGACATGAATCCAAGCAAATGATGCCAGTTATGCCATAAAATGAGCATACGGGCTATTTGAACATGTATCTGATGCAATCAACTTGTTGGACATGTAACTTAATAAAGACACAGATTGAAACGTCTTTATATATTACCTGTGCTCCACGAGAGTAAGACCTGAAGATGGTGCAGAACCTGCCTTGCCCAGATGTATCCCTGTTAAAGATGTAGAACCGTGGATCTAAACAAAATGATGGAACCACAACAGACCGGTAATTTAATAAGTCTAGAACCTCACCATAGCTCCAGCTTCACTCGTCTTCCGTCCAGAAGAATAGTGGTGGTCTTGTAATCAATGCCTATGTGCGTACAAAAAATAGATGCAATTAGATTACCAATTTCACTCTAGGCAACCGACTATAAAGCACCCAATAACAGATATTTACCACTGCTGTAGGCGTATGGAGACTCAACAGATCCGTCCTGCAAACTCTCCAAGATTTCGCCTTTACCGACGTCACTGTCCCCCACCAGGAGAAATTTCAGGAGATAATCGTAGCTCTTGACTGGACTGGTTTGAGTTCCCATCATACCACGCATTGGATCAGGTTTACTGAGAGCTTTAGAAGCTCCCCAGGAACTATCAGTGGGCTCGGTGTTAAAGGACAACCCGAAGGGTCCCCAGAGAGTCAGCGGACGCCAGTAGACAGCTGTTTGACGTTAGCGCTGGCTAGCTAGTATTCCAATTAGTATCTAAATATTTATTTGTTTGCCTCTATTGCTTAAGCGTTATACATGATATTTCTTACCGAACTTAAATACACAAATATTATTCCAGGCGTCTAGTATTAGACTCTCGTTTTAGTCAGCGATCTAAACAACAACATTGGCTGCTAGCTTACCCGTTAGCTAGCCAGCGAAGATAAATGTTAGCGCTACATTATTTAAACAGCGGTAAAGTTAAAACTACCTCGTCTTCTCTAGCATTTAACTATACTAAATCAACCAACGATCTGTGTAAGCCGTGTTTTAATCAGAGAAAGAATAAAATGTTGAAGTCAAACCAAGGCCTCTCCGACAGTACCGACGCTGTGAGGGAACCGCAGGGCAGTGACGCCGATGCTTCTTCTTCTTCTTATGTTTTCTATTGGTGGGTGGCAATCGACTTAAGGTGCATTTAGCGCCACCTACCAGACCGGGGTGTGATCATCAATGATGTCAGAGGGAAGTTATTAATTAATACCTCAATGATATGCACCAATCTGCATATTATCTATCAATCTATATCCACACAAACTCACATATAAATGAGTATGTGTGTATATGCACATGCTAGTGACACCGTTTGCTAAGTCGTGTTCTTCTTCGCCTTCTTCTTAATTTTAATGGTGGTTGGCAGTGGATAAAAAAAAAAGATGCTCATAAAAATACAAAAACTTATCCTGTTTCCAATAAATAATGAAACAGACTCTTATATAGACGTATCATAAGCTTTTTTCCTTAAAATGTTTACCTGACTAAACTGCTCTTTTTCATGTCTAAGACTCTTTTTCAATTGTATTCTTTGAATATATTTCCTACAGGTACTATTGTTTCAGTTTCTTCAGAGACGTCAAATCTTCCTTTTTAATGTTTCCCTTATTAACTGTAACATTGAATTAAGTCCTGTATGTCCCAACCCTAGCCTAGTTATTATTCTTTACTGTATTCTATTCCTTCCTCAAGCTTCTCCACCTTCCTTTGTATTCTGTGAAGCCATCTTCCCTTTATTTCTTCTTCCCACTGTTTTTGCCATTTATCTTGAATCTTTCTTTTACCCTCTTAATATCCACCTCATTTTGGGAAATTCTTGCCTATTTTGCATACCCAAATGGAAAAGCAAATAACTTACGAACTGTAAGCCCAAATTACATGTGTGATACACCTTCTAATTTCTAAATATATACCTAAAAATTGGGTGAGTAAAACACGCAAGCTGCATCAGTTCAAACAAGACTCAAAGTTGTTTTTTTTATTCTCGAAAATAATAAGTCTTTTTTGAACAGCAGTTATAAAGACATGCTTGCTTGTTGTGGCTGCTTTGTCATGGTACATTTTGACATGCTGCTATATCTGTGTTAATTGTGCTTCGGTGCTCGCTATGTCCATAAAATAATCTAGTTAGTTGAATTGGGGGGAATCTAAGCTTTCCAATGGTGTCTAACATGTCTATATTGGTAAACATTTTACCAGTGTAATTTTCATGCATTCTGAGTTATTATTTGTAAACACTTTCAAACGTGGGTTTCGAGAGGTTGATAACAATTTTAACCTCTGATTTATTCATGTTCATTTTCATATCACTCTCATTCTGGTTTGTCGACTCTTTAACTTTCTTGTCAGCCTTTTCATTTCCTCTCACGCCTATATGCGCAATGTTGGGACACTCCTCCAGAGGTTTTGCACTTGTCATTTGCTTATATGTTGCTTTGGGTCTTTCTGACTGGGATGGGATTCTTTTTGCAGCTTCAGCATAACTTATTCCGAGCTCCAATTTCACGTTTTGTATCTCCAGATCTTTTGCTCACTTTACGACCTTGATATGCAGCAGTATGTTCTCCACCACAGTTACAGCATTTAATTTGAACTTCTTTACCACACTTTCCATATACGTACTCTCCAGCACACCTTCCAAATCATTGTTTTCCCTTATATACTTTGACTATACTGTATGACCACTTTTTTGGCATTTGAAGCTTTTCAGAGGTGGAGGATTGTACATTTTCACCTTTGTAGCTCATATATCCAATGAAAACCTTACTGGGTATCTGCTCTTCTTCAAATATGATCAACATCTCTAAGCTGTCACACCTTTCTCTATTTGTTGTTGTTTTTAACAATTTCACTTCTTTTACTTTTGCACCAATTATATTTTCTAGAATCTCTTGGTCAGTTACTTTTAGAGGAACTCCTTCAATGACACTCCTGCTAATCCTTTTGTTCTCTACCAAGCTCCACTGAAGCCTTTACCCCTTGACCTTGTTAATCCGTATAGCTTTGCCTTGTTGAGCGCTGTCTCTTCAGTTTATGAATGCGTCTCCACTATACAATATTTTGGCACCTTGGACTTCTACAAGTTTTTTTTTTTTTTATCATTTTCGGAACTTCATCAGATTCCAATCTGCAAAAGAGCCTCCCTGATTAAATATTGTGGATTTTGTAATAATTTTGTTTTTCTGTGGAATTTCTAGATTGTTCATCACTTGATTGTTCTGAATGAGACTCCCCTTCATTTGGTTTCTGCTTTTTCCACTTTTTCTCATTTTTTTTCCCAAATCTTTTTATTGAAAAGTCAGAGGTAGAAACAATAGATAGTCTTTATGGTTACAAAAGACTTTCCATTTTTCAGACTTTATACACATTCAGAAAAACCACACCCTCCCCCCACCCAGACTGGACCCAAAAGTAATTACAATAGTTGTGATTGTAATGAATCAAAAAACAAACCAAAAAAAAAAAAAAACACTGCACCGACAGTAGACTTCAGTTTTTGTTTGTTAAATGTGGGCAGGCATCAGAATAAACAAATTAAAACAGTAGGTGAATAGCTCGATCTGCATTCCAAGGTCCTCTTGTCCAACAAAGTAAGCTTTTGTGTATGCTCAGCTTTTTAATTGAAACCATAGAATCTTTCAATCTAATGCAATGTTGGAGGAAGTTCTCGGAGGCCACCAAAGTATGAGAGAAAGGGTTCACTTTTTCTAATTTTTTTACTCTATGCTATTCCAATCTTCTTTGTTTCCCTATTTCCTTCTTCCATCCCACAACAATCGCTTCCTGTTTCCTCACTAAGTGAAGTGGAGAAATGTTTTTTTTTTTTTTTTTTTTAGAAACATGCCGTTCTCGAACATGGACCTCCCATCAACCCGTTTACTACATCACTTCCCATACAATAATTTTAAATGGTAATGCAGCCATTTATTTTTCGAGATAAAAGCAGAATTTCATTAAATTCGATAATTTATTTTAAACAATATGATATAAGTTTAAATGTTAGAAAGACTTAGGATAATATACTTTAAAATAGAGAGAAAAAAACCATATCAAATTGTAAGAAGAACATAGGTGCTTCAAATGTATCAGTTGATCTTAAGTCTTTTAACAGCCTACAAATATGAGATGCATTTTTGTCATTAACACACAAAACACCAAAGACATGAGTGAACAAAGAGCAAGAAAACAATAAATCTCATAAGACATGTGTTATTATAAATTCCCTGCCCTTTGTATAAGTACAATGCAAAAGACAACACAAAACAAATTTACTCATTTCATCTATACTTTGAATCCCTTACCAAAATGAAGTAGTGTATGTCTAGTTCAGGCATCCCCAACCTCGGTCCTTGAGGCCCGCTGTCCTGCAGGTTTTAGAGGTTTCCCTGCTTTAGCACAGCTGATTATAATGATTGCAGTAGACCAAAAGCCTGTTAATCAGCTTTCAGTTAAAATCAGCTGTGCTAGAGCAAGGAAACCTCTAAAATCTGCAGGACAGCGGGCCTCGCATACCGAGGTTGGGGATGCCTGGTCTAGTTCATATTCTAAAGTATTGCCAGGTATACAAAAGTATGTATCCCAGGGTTACCAGCTCCCAGATGGAAGTATTCTGGCAATTTTACAAAAAAATATCTAGGTTACTTATTACTAATGATTCACTAAATGGTAGAAAGGTGATCCTGGGTGACTTTGAATCTTTTGAAAATCCTGCTATCCAAGTACAAGGCCCTGTCTGAGCCCTATTTGTGAATGTTTATAGGCCTCCAGAGCACCTACATTAATATATTGTAGGTGTAATAAAGAATTACGGGGACAAAAGGTGGCTTAGGCCCCTCCTACTGGACTGGCCATGGAGGTCACCTGGGGGGTGTAATGGTCGTAAGGAGATTCAGATGGGTCATTAACTTCCACCTATAATGACAATTTTTGCAGAGAAAACAACACATTCATTTGTTACTTCAAAGTTGGACTATTGTGATTGTCCACTATCAGGAAGTCGGTTGTTAAAAGCCCTCTGCTGATTAAAAAAAATGCTGCACCCAGAGTTCTGAAGAATTTAAAATACTCCCTCTCACATTTAAAGCCTTAATTGTTAAAGCCTGGCTTTATCTCATCATTCCTTATGTTCCTAACAGAGGACTTTGCTCTCAATCTGCAGGTTTACTAGTGATTCCTATTTCTAAAAGTAGAATGGGAAGCTTCTTTTAGTTAACAGGCTTCTCTCCTGTGGAACCAATAACCAGTTTTAGTCTGTAAGACAGACACCTTGTCTACTTTTAAGACTAGACTCCTCTCTCAGCTTTTTTTCTCACAGTAGCTTCATCTGGTCTGTTCCGGTTTGGCTGTGACACCATCCTGGAGAGAAATATCAGCTGTGCTGCTGCCACCAATGCCTTTTCTATAGAAGTTGGAGCTTGGCCTTTTTTTCAGTGTAGTCCTGTCTCTCTGACTGTGACTAACTGGATGTGCTCTCTTTCATCCTCTAACATGGGGGCTGGCTCGGAGCTTGTCTGCCTCGCTGCGTGTTTCCTGGATGGGGCCACCTGTGGAGCTCGTTTACAGGTGCCTTTTGTATTTCTGCTTCTTTTTGTATCTTTAATTCTGTCTCCTTGAACCTAAGCCGGCCTCTGCAGATGGCCACACACACTGAGCCTGATTCTGCTGGAGGTTTCTTTTTGTTAAAAGGGAGTTTTCCTTTTTCACCACTGTCGCTACATGCATGCTTTGCCAATTGGGGAATTGGCATTGTATAAATAAACTGAATTGAATTGAACTGAATCAAAATCATCCTCAACTATAAGTCAACTGGTCCAGTTTTAAGGGAAATGACATTACATTCCACTGCAGTGCAAATATCACAAGTTAGACTTTTTTTCCTTAAGGTGATGGGATCATCCAATATGCCCCTACCATAAATATTTATCTTATCTATTTTTGTTGATTGTTATACTCTTGCAAAGTCGGCTTTCATCCCAACTGGAAAGGAGGTACAGTATACAGAGTTCTTTAACTAAACCGCAGCTTCTGCATTTCTCCTCTAGATGGTATACTTCTTCAAGTCGTGTTCACTAGTACCCTGTTAAAGTGAGAAGTGATTAAATGCTGAGAGCTTTCTTTGGTGACAACCCTTTATGCATGTGTGGCTGTATTGTTCAGAGTGCAGTAGTCATCAAATGGGACATCTGGCTTCAGCCCTCCATAAAGAAAAAAGTGGTGCTGTGTTGCAGCAGGGGAGAAAGACTTTGGGCCTCACTTGGTCGCCTTGGGTTTTGTCTGGTCAATTTGACCATTCTTTTTGACAGGCTTGATTTTCTTTATTTAAATTGGCTGTTTCTTTAAAATAAATATTTGAAAATCAGTTAATTGTGACCCCTTTTTTTGTTATTATCCTGGCAGAGTCAGGTTGTGACATTTTTCATAAATGGCACTAACAGGGCAGAGGGCATGGAGGGTAATTAGGACCCCTAAAAATTCATTGCTCCCCATTGCCTCTCTTTTATAGTCTCAGATGTCATTTGCCCTTAAGTATTTCTTATAGATAGATAGATAGATAGATAGATAGATAGATAGATAGATAGATAGATAGATAGATAGATAGATAGATAGATAGATAGATAGATAGATAGATAGATAGATAGATAGATAGATAGATAGATAGATAGATAGATACTAAATTCATAACTTCCAAAAGGTGGATACATTTTAACAACAGGTAAAAGGGTATTTCTTACATTTAAATAGGGTGAAGAAAGGTTAAACAAATCAATTGGTAAAACATTTTATTAACATGCAACTACATTGGGGTTTATCTTAGTTATATATACTATTTACAAGCTTTCTAGTTTACATTTTAGCACAGTTGCAAACATTTATCAGACTTTTTTCTTAAATTTCTCTGGACCAGTCTCTATGACTTTTTTTTTTTTGCAGAATCAGGAAATAAAATTTGGAAATGCACTGTGCTTTGAAGCCAGCAGATATGACAAAACAAATGATGAAAAAATAAAATACATTAAAGATTGCTTTGTTTCAGCCCACCGAGGCACAGACTCAACGACAGACAGTCTTTCGTTATCAAGAGTATTTATATTGATTAAAATGAATTTGTTTGTTTGAGACAAATGACAAAAGTGGAAGTCTGACAGCACAATCCAAATTCCTCAGTGGTGACTCCAAGATGGTCCTGAAATTTAGTATGAGTGTCTTTGTTTTCCAGGAGAGAGCTTCAGCTGTTATTGAGCATAAATCAGCAACAGGCTGCATGCTACTAAACAGTTTGTGTTTGTTTTTCAAAACTGAGATAGATTGTCTTACAAAAATGTTTGTATGAACTACGGGATAAATGTTGCACCACCTATGCTGGTGGAGGTTCTCAGTCATCAAAGTCATAGGCATTCCAAAAAAAAAAATCCACTATACTTGGTTTCCAAGTTTGAAGATGTTTCGCTTCCCATCCTGACATCCCATTCCTGACATTTTGAATTGAAAACGCTTCCTGGATGAGAAGCGAAATATCCTCAAATTTCAGACTGGCCTTTCTGTCAAATTTGCTTTGTATCTCTGTTTGGCCCAACAATGGAGTAGCAACCTCTCCAATGTGTTCCCATTATTTTGACCATAGAATACTGGAGATGAAGTGGAAGAAGATTGATGGACTAACTGCACAACATTTTAAATGGATTTGGTGCTGCTTGTAGGTTGTGCAACGTATTCATGTATAAGCATGTGTGCATTTTTAATCATCTCCTGAAAATGCATGACAGCATTTTTATACGCACAGTCATCCTCCTTGAAGAGATGAAACAGGTTCACTGGCTTTGCTTTGGAGATTTCTTTTGGCAATTCTATCACCTGAGCCAAAGGGTTGCCAATCAGAACTTGGGGCAGGTGCTTCCTCTTAAGACTTTCTTCCACAAGGCTCAGCAGGTCTTGCAGCCTACAAGTAGCAAAGTTTGGTTGCCACTGTGATGGTTTTTTGGTCAACAGAAGGTGTATCAATGCAGTTTTGAAGTGGAAGTCCTTCAGGGCAGTCTTTCCTGTCAGTACTTTCTGTCTCCTATGAAGGAAGAAGGCAATTTCAAGGGTTTGATTATGACAGGAGTTTACAGGGAGTCCCTTAGCGAGATGTTCCAGGAGGCGGTCTTCGTAGATATATAGAGAGAGTGGCCAAAAAGTATCCCCTTTACTGGAGGACCAGGGCATGATGCAAAAATGAGCTTCATTGTTGAAATTGACCACTGGTTTCAAACTGAAGTAAATCTTCCTCCCCGACCTAAACCGAATCACCAGAGCGCCGGGAGCCTCGACATATCGGATGCTGAGCTCAAACTCATATTTATGTGAGATCTGTGCCCAGGCTTGTTTGATTGTGGCCTGAAACCACCTGGTGACCTTCGTCTGTGAGAGGAAAGGAGTGTTCTTAGAGCACAGAGGTCCATCAAAAGCATCTGTCAATTTGGTTTTTACTTTGTCACTCTCAGAGTGTAACAAGCAAACCATGTCATCTGCGTTGGCGGACTGGCAGGGGCAGCCATTTAGGATTTTCTCTTTTTTTAGCAGTTTTATTTGACCACAGACTTGCATGTCAAAAAGGGGGTCACTCACAAGGTTATTCCTGAGCGCACAGCAGAAGCTATATGGATCCAGTGGAGTGAAATAAACAATGATGTCATGCTCATTAATCGTCTTAAAGTCCTCAATTCCCATACTGCCATCATTGTCACAAATGCTCCTCATGGCTTCGAAGAGGTCATGTGCAAATCCTTCTAAAAAGTCCTTTTCCATCAACATTTTCTCAGTGGAGGCCTGAACAAATTTAACATAGAAGTTCTGCAAAGTTTCAACATCAGGCAGTGGTACTTTAGAAGGTCTGCAGGGGTAGATCCTGGTCCCTTCCAGATCTGTTTGGACATTTCTCTGCAGGTATTTCCGAAAGAAGCGCATAACAGAAATGATGGAGAATGTGTTCCAGATGTACCACAGATAATCACTCTCCCATTCGGCAAAATCCTTTTCTGAGGTTTCATTTTCTGTTTTGCTGTAGAGATTTGAAGCAGGTGATTCTTCTTCTTTTGAGCCAGTCATCGCTTCTTCTGGCTTCACATCACGTTCATGCAGACTGTCTTGCTCTGATATATCTTCTCCTTCTTCATGGCTGTTAATGTCTTCAGAGGGCTGGATGGTATCAGATTTACTTTTAATGTCTCCCTGCTGTATTTTATTATTAAAACTGTCACTTTTTGTGTCTTTTTCACCAACAGCGACATCTGAGTCCAACGTTTTATCTGTTTCATGTTGCTCAGACTGATTCCGTGTCTCAGAATTGTTATTTATATCACCAACAGGCCCTGTTAGTTTGGAGCTCTCTGATGATGTTTGATCTAGTTTCCCTTCTCCTTTCAGCTGCATGTCGTTGTGCCTTTGCAAATCAATGTTGACTGCATCATCCCATTCCTCCACCCCAGGATTGTCCCTGGGACACAGAAGAAGACCTGCAGCCACCAGAAACACTCGCAGCAGAGTTCCCTCCATCGTCTGTATTCTCTGTGAAGAAATTGTCAGGCCGTGTTCAGTTAATATTCAAATACAGAACTTAAAGGACATTGCAAAGTATTCATTCCCCTCAAACTTTTTATTACAAAAATAGATATTTTGTGTGGACGTTTAATTGTAAATTGAAAAGAAACTGATTACAGTGAATTTAAAAATGTTTTCCTTGAAGGTGAAAAAAAATGAAGAGTTTTGGTTTGTGTTTAGTTTCTCTGTGTTAATATTGATCAGAGCTACTTAAAAAGCTCTCCTTTAAATGTCTGGACTAATACTCCCCCCCCGTTCTTCACAGCGGGATCGCATCTCAAAAGACTTTGATCATCAATGTTGAAATCTTGCTTGAATCCCTATGCTTTGATCTAAACCAGAAAACTGTAGCTCTGGCTGTATATTTAGGACCATTAGGAGTCATTGTCCTGCTAAAAGATGAACCTTTGCCCCTGCCATATCTCTGTTAAAGTCTCTAACAGGTTTAATTCTACAACTACTCTGTCTTACCAAGAACTTTCTCACAGCATCATGATTACACCACCATGTTTTTGTTTGAGGGCATGATCTGTTTACGGTTTCTGACCAAGCATAGCATGTTTCATGTCATTCAAAAAGGTTAGCTTTAGCCTTTTTCAACAGAGGCACATTCTTTATGCTTGTCGTGCCTATGCATAATTTGCAGTAAACTCCAGAGAAAATTATTGACACTCGGCTAAGAATTTTTAAATGCAAGACCATCAGTGGTACTGTCAACTGACCATCTGGGACAATGATCTCTGAGGCTTCTTCAAAGTTTCTGTTGAACTCTTGGCTGCTTTTCTTATTATTTCAGTCCTTGTTTAGCCTATGAATGTATTTAGACAGTCCAATCTATTTGAGCTATGCCATTCTCTTTCCCTTTCCAGTTGATAGATAGAAGAAGGCTCCATGAGCAGCTCTAAAATAGGGTTTACATCCCAACCAAATTTCAAACTTTCTCCCTGAGCTTTTTTCTGTATTCTTTCTTCCTCACGATAATGTTTGTCCACTAATGTATTCTAAAAAAAAACCTGAGGCCTTCACATGATCAAATTAATCTCAAATTGACTCTGTTTGCTAATTAGCTGACTGTTCAGTAGATGATTGCACAGGATTTTATTTAGGGGTATCATAGTAAATGAATGTTGATAAAAATGAATATCATAGTTTTCAGATAATTGTTAAAATAAGTAAAAAAAGAGAAAAATAATCATTTTTTGCTGACCCAGATGAAATGCCCATTAATTTGGTATGTTATTAGACAACATGAGGAAAGTTTCAAGAGTTATACATATTTTTGTAAAACCCTTTAGGTTATTGCTAATTACACCCAAGATTTCTGAGATAAGGATGCTGCTGATACGTTTCGCATCAATGCAAAGCCAAACAGGGGGAAAAAAAGACTTCCTGAACAGGCTTAAGTACCTCTTAATTCTTAAATCTTAACCATTTATATTTTGTCTTTTGCAAAACATAAAAGCAAAACATTATCTTGTACAAAAAAAAAAAAAAAAAAAAAAAAGCAGCAAATAGAAAAAAAGCTGTACACACCTAAATGAGACAGTGTTTATCTCAGCAGTAGGATGTTCCGGTAATGAGTGAAAAGGTATTAAGGAGGAAACGACCGTATGCTGCCACTTGCTCTGAGAACGCTTCCTATTTCAGTTGATGGTTGCAACTTACTTCCTGCACAGCCCATGTGCTCTGCTGCGACACTTTCCTCTGCTATATGCACGAGTAAAAAAGTTTGAGCGCACTTCCTTAAACTGCATACTCATTTCATATGCAGAGACAAATGGACTGATACTTTTATATATGGCTAAAAACCTCCAAAATACGCTGTTCAAAAAGTCACATTTATTTCCATTTGTAGGTCAGGTAGGATCACCAAAATATAGATACCTTGTTTTAGTTTAGAAAAGTACATATTAATATCCCAATCCAAAGGTTGTGATTGTATGATCAAATAAAATTTTTATAAAAAAAAAAGCAACATTTCTTTACTTAGAGTGAAGGTTAATTTTTGTTGGACATTTCCAGATGTTTCTAAGTGCCAAATGTGGGAATGTCCAACTAGCATGCTGTCCAGGGAGCAGGCATGTCCTGTGTTCAAGAGATGAGCATGTCTGGGTTCAAAAAACACAACAGCAAAAGCTATGGACCTTGAGAGGACCAAAGCTGGTAGAGAAAGTCATTATCCAAACTGTTCCATAACAGCATGGGCCAAAAAGCAACATTAAAGCTCTCATATAATACCACATTTGAAAATAAAGAATATTAACAGTGAGCCCTCAAGAGCATGTTTTTTCCCTTTGTGCAGGAAAACCTTTCTCAGATTAGGTAGACAGCATGTACCTCCTCATTCAGTCATCTTGTAAATGAGGCTTTTTGGCTTTTCATGCCCTTGCCCTTCCACCTCAACAACTTGCAACCATGACAACCAATCAGAGTTCGAAATGATGGTTGTTCAAAGCACGAAATGATAGAAAAGTTGACAGCTGACCTTAATCAAGCGGCTGCTACAGACCGCTCTGAGCAGTTTATAATTAGCAAAAACATTTAACAGGGACTGACCAGATAATCACTCATTGGCATTAATTTACGATGTTAAAAACAATAATTCCCCTTTTTTATTTAATTTGAAATATGGACAATAACACAGTTGTCTCAAATAAAACAACTGCATTTCCATTCTACAGCCGCATTATGCTCTTCCGGTCTCCATGTGCCTTTGCACTGGGGCTTTCTTCTTCTTCATGTTTTTTTCTTTTTATTGCAAAGAACCAATAGTGCATTTATCCCACAAAATGCTATGGAGTGTTGAACTAAATAGCTGAATTATGTCTTTCCTTGTTTCTGTAAAAGTCTATATAAAACTCTTAAAATCCCCACATTTCTTACTCCAAGCCAGCGTGTCTCACTGCCCTGCTTTGACAGAGAGGCCAAAAAAAAAAAAAAAAAAGATGGAGGGATTCAGGATCTCTCACACCTGGATTTCATAAAGTATGCAAATCAGGCAATGACATAATCTAGCACCTTCAATCGCTTTTTAAAACGGCCACTTTGCTTCTGAGGAGTTAGCAACGTTGTTTCATCTGATGTATCTAATATATGTGTTTAGATAAAGGTGAATCCAAATATTAGATCTGGTGGTTTGCTACACTTAACCAAATAAATTACATCATGAGGAAATTAAATATCATGTAGTAATACCGGAAGCAGAATCTGAAGGTATTATGCAGAGAGTTATATTTTCGGCATAAATGGTCTTCCAAATAGACAATGATTCCAATCATAACACCATAGTGGTTACAAATAGGCTTGAGGCCAACAAAGTCAATATCCTCCTCCATTTTGATATTATGATATTAATCCCTCCCTCTTACAGGGATATGTGCCAAAGGCTTTTCAGGTTGCTGTAATTAAACCTTTACTTAAGAAACCGTCTCTTGACCAAGATGACTTGGTCAATTATAGACCTATATCCAATCATCTTTTCTTATGTAAAATTCTTGAGAAAGTGCTTGCCAAACAAGTGTGCGACTACTTACACCTTAATGAACCTTTAGAAGAGTTTCAGTCTGGCTTTAGAGCTCATCACTTATATCAGAAATATGATTGTTTATTATGTTCCTAACAGAGCACTTCGCTCTCAATCTGCAGGTTTACTAGTGGTTACTAGAATTTCTAAAAATAGAATGGGAGGCAGATATTTTAATTATCAACCTCCTCTTCTGTGGAATAAACTACCAGTTTTAGTTTGTGAGGCAGACACGCTGTCCACGTTTAAGGGTAGGCTTTAAGTTAAGGTTACTTATAGTTAGAGTGGCTCAGGTTATCCTGAGCTATGTCTGCAGTTATGCTACTATAGGCTTAGACTGCTGGGGGACATAGGGACATGTAGTTTCATTCTGCTTCATTCTATCTATTTTCTCCCACTCTGCAGAATTTCTTAGGTCAATCGCTAACATTATGCTCTCTCTGCTTTTTCTCATAGTAGCTTCATCTGGTCTGCTCCTGTTTGGCTGTGACTCCATTCTGGAGAGAAATATCAGCTGTGCTGCTGCCATCAAAATCTTTGTTTATAGAAGTTTGAGACCTGCCTGTTTTTCAGTGTATTCCTATTTCTCTGACTGAGACTGGCTGGATGTGCCCTCTTCATCCTCTCACATGTGAGCTGGCTTGGAGCTCGTCTGCCTGGCTGTGTGTTTCCTGGATGGGGGTGCCTGTGCAGCTGGTTCACAGTTGGCTTTTATATCTCTGCTTCTTTCTGTATGTCTGCTTCTGTCTCCTTGAACTCCAGTCGGTCTCGGCAGATGGCACTGAGTCTGGTTCTGCTAGAGATTTCTTCCTGTTAAAAGGGAGTTTTTCCTCTCCACTGTCACTATAAGCATGCTTAGTTTAAAGGACTGCCTTTGGATCAACTGGTTTTCCTTAGATGGAACACTTTGAATCAATTTGCCTGTGTGATCTGGTTGAATTGTAAAGTTCCTTGAGATGACGTGTTGTGAATTGGTGCTATATGCCAGTGAGTTGGCAGTGATTTTGGAAGAACAAGCAAACCCCAAAAGTTATTTCTAGTTCTGAGACAATTAAGGTTAAGTCAAATTTCTCTGTTGTTCGGCCATCCGGCAGGTAAATCATATTTTTGCTACTGATGGTCACCCTTATAGAGAAGCATTCTGATTTTATCTAAGACAGTAAGAAGAAAAGGGTATTGTTTGTTTTTACATATTTGTAAATGCCTATGTGATTAGGAAAACATCACAGGCCCTGTATTAAACAGGGAGGAGGGTGAAGACCTCTTAAGGCTTTAACAAATATATGTCACTGAATTGTACCAATACTATTTCAAAGTGTTTAGCATTCAAACATAAATGCACACATTTTACTGTTATTTAGTGGAGACAAATACAAACTTTTTTTTAACCAATCACAGGAGGTTTAGGAAGAAATAGTAACAGAGACTGTAGTTCATCATGACCTAAAAGTAAAATAATTATGGGGATTTTAGTAAAATAACCTTCATTTTATTGTAGTTATTTTCTGCTATTTTGTGTTCCAATTGTTTTATTTGTCTTACAAATGTTTTTGCTTTTATTCTGCTTTTATTTTTCTTCTACTTTATTTCTAATTCATATAAAGCACTTTGAATTGTCCATAGACAGAACTGTGCAAAACAAATAAAATGGCCTTGCCTTATTATTTAAAGCCTTACCAGCTTTTCAAACTTTTGCTAGAGGGTCAATAGAAAGGACCATGGTCCCTTTTTTTTTAGCATAAACAAATCTCTGAGTAAGCAAAAGCATTTCACTTGTATTGACAATAAGTATCAAGTTGCAGGATGAACTAAGTGTATGAAATGGCTAGTGTTCATAAACGGGAGCTAGTGTTCATATACCAGAGAGTGAACCACTGCCTTTTATCCTCTGGTGGGCTCCCAACTGGTTTGTCAAGCTTCAATTTAGTGCATGGGCTGAGCTTACTAAAGACGGATCTGTTTTTCACATTTTGCACAACCATTGCTTCTCCAAGCAAATGGAAACAGATTTATCCTTTACCCATGTGACTGCAACCAAATGTCCCTTCTAAAGCCACAGATATTTGAATGGTTTGAAAGCTTGTTTGCATGTACCGTCGCTACACAGGAACAATACAGGAAGTCTCACTGATCAGATAAAGTGGGAAAACTATGAAACATTATGATATATGGTATATTAAATAGATGTAACAAGTTAAAAAAAAGAGGCTGAACTAAACTATGTTAGTTTATCCAAGTTTTACCAGGTTTCCTTTTTTTGATACTGTAATTTTTTTCTCAAATCACTGTAAGACAGTGAAGGGAGGGGCAAAATGACAGGAGGTTTGGTCATTTTTAAATATCACGAAGGAAACACTCAGCCAGGTATGTGTGCTGCGTGCAAACAGAGCTACAGGTCACTTACTATGGACATTATGGTTATATGACCTGTTTTCATCTGTTTCTGCAAGGGTAAATAACAAGGTAAGTGAAATTAATTTCAAATCAGTATCTATGAATACATGTTCTTTCTACATATTCAACTAAATCTCAGTTTGTCTTAGTCTAGGGTATTGGATAAGAATTAAATTATAATCGCTTTGTAATTCTTTCTCATGAAACATCTTCTTACAGTCCTTTAAAAAGCTACCATGTATCTTGTATTATTTTATTCTGTTTTTAAATTGTGGTTACAAACCAATCTTTAAATATCATCAATTGTTTCTTCTTAATAGAAAATTGTCAAAGATTTAATAAAATCAAATTTGCAACCAAATATCATAAACTTTATAAGTCTGAAGACTGGTTGACAGAGCAGGCCACCTTGGTAGGTACATCTGTTCAATCATTCATAAACACATATTCTGAATCGGTCAATCATGTCAGAAATAAATATCGTGAAGTCGACTCGTAAAGTCTGTCTTTAAACTTAAGCATGGTTGTTGGTGCCAGAAACAAATTTCACAGGTTTACTATAATTGAACCATGGACAGATTAGTTTGATGATCATTGGTTTGGGTTGTAATAATTACATGGTTTGGTCAGAAAACAAGTTAAAAAAAATTAGGTCCACCCTGCCCAGTGTCAGTGCAAAAGCCTGATGGTATTGTATATAAAGATAAGGGAGATTGTTCTTGGCACACTTTAGGTCACTAAGTACTTGTTGAAATGCCACAGCTGATGTATACAGATCAATTCACTTTCTGGAACATGACAATGAGCTCACTGCAGGGTAATAGCTTCCACAATCACCAGATCAAATTTAAATATCTTTCAGATGTGATGAAACAAGGAGCTCTACATCATAGATGTGCATTAGTTTTGATTGATCGATTGACTTTATTGATCTCCCAGTGGAGAAATTTACTTGTTACATCGGCTTAAATAGTATATACTATATAACTATATATATATATATATAACTATATATATATATATATATAACTATATATATATATATATAACTATATATATAACTATATATATATATATATATATATATATATATAGTTACACTCTTACACTCTTTACATTGCTAATGTGGTAAATGACTATTCTAGCTGCAAATGTCTGGTTTTTGGTGCAATATTTACATAGGTGTATAGAGGCCCATTTCCAGCAACTATCACTTCAGTGTTCTAATGGTACAATGTGTTTGCTCATTGGCTCAGAAGGCTAATTGGTGATTAGAAAACCCTTGTGCAATCATGTTCACACTTCTGAAAACAGTTTAGCTCGTTGCAGAATCTACAAAACTGACCTTCCTTTGAGCAGATTGAGTTTCTGGAGTATTACATTTGTGGGTTCAATTAAATGCTAAAATGGCCAGAAAAAGAGAACTTTCATCTGAAACTTGACAGTCTATTCTTGATCTTAGAAAGGAAGGCTATTTCATGCGAGAAATTGCAAAGAAATTGAAGATTTCCTACAACATTGTATATTGCTCCTTTCAAAGGACAGCACAAACAGGCTACTGCGGGTACTATTTAATGAAGATGCCAGTTGGGGACCTGTGAGGCATCTGTTTCTCAAACTAGAGACTCTAATGTAATGATCTGCTTGCTCAGTTGTGCAACGCGGCCTCCCATTTTTTTTATCTACTCTGGTTAGAGCCTGTTTGTATATATGTGTGTGTGTATATATATATATATATATATATATATATATATATATATATATATATATATATATATATATATATATATATATATATATATATATATATATATTTATTTATTTATTTATTTATTTATATAAAAAATATGGCAACTGAAGTCTTTTTTTTAATAGCTAGATTATTATACAGGGTTGTTGCACAGGATATTTACATATATATATACATATATATATATAGATAGGTATTTATCTATATAGCTATTGAATTGGGTATCAAATATAAATAAACAGGTTATTGCACAGAGATGATGCTGCCAGCTAAAGATGACCAAACTCTTATAGGAATGGTTCTCACCCCGTGTCAAACAATTCCAAAGACTTTTGACGCTTTTGTTGGTCAAAATGTATCAAATTTAGTACTAGTATTGCATACATAATAATGCAGCTAGTGGGTACATACTGAGCATTTTTAAAGACCGTACTAAATACCCATTGAGACTGGACTCCAGAATTCCAGTTCTCAAGAGCTGGTGTCCTGTAATTTTTTAGGGTAAGTGCACATCTACAGTGTGCATGATACTGGCCCTTGAAGGATTTGATTTTGAGACCACTGCTTTGCAACTGCTATTTCAAAAGATGCTAAAACTTTTCTGTCCTTTATCTCCAAATGAGACATCTTTGTGTAGTAACACCTACCAAATACCAAACAGTTCTGCTTTTTTACACCATATTTTAACTGTTTTAAAAACCTTTTTCCAGAAATTTCACTCCCTCTAAGCCAAAGGCTCAACTACATCTTGCAAGATGGATAAGTTTCGTATGATGTTCCAGTTTCTCCAGTCCAACCAGGAGTCTTTTATGAATGGGATTTGTGGCATCATGGCACTAGCAAGTGCCCAGATGTACTCTACATTTGAGTTTAGCTGTCCCTGCATGCCAGAGTATAACTACACCTACGGTATCGGACTGCTGATCATCCCTCCCATATGGTTCTTCTTGTTGGGTTTTGTTATGAACAATAATGTATCGGTGCTCGCCGAAGAGTGGAAGAGACCAACTGGGCAAAGGACAAAAGATCCAACAATCCTGCGCTACATGTTTTGTTCAATTACCCAGAGATCTTTGATCGCTCCTGCGCTCTGGGTGTCAGTCACTCTCATGGACGGGAAGAGCTTTCTCTGTGCTTTTAGCATCAACTTGGATATTGAAAAGTTTGGGAATTCCAGCTTTATTAAAGGGATGTCAGAGACTGAGAGGATTCGACTCCTGGCCAGAATTCCCTGCCAAGACCTGTTTGAGGATAAGGAACTAAGAGTGGCAGCAACGCGTTACATCAAGTGTATATCACAGGTAAGTCTTTTTACTTCTTCTCAGAATAAAAACACAGAAATGAGAACTGTGAAATAATTTGGTAAACAAAACTTTCAATGATTAAAAAACAGCAAAGCTGTAATCATCATTCATATAAAACATATGAAGTAAAAATCTTATTTAACCCCTTAGAATGATTAAAAATCAGTTTACTAAAAGAAATTAAAACATTGTATTTCCAAAGTTAATTCCATTATTAAAAACAAAATATAGCTAAAATTTCAACTCCGGATGAAAATCTATGTACTGATCCTTCTTTTTCTGTGTGTATATTCAGTATTTTGGCCAATCCTTTCCTGGGTTGTTTACTAGTTTATGCTTTTGTAATTCTTTTTACTATATATTTTTTTTTTATGTTTGCTTCTTAGTGCATATTGTCTTAGTTTGCTTCAGTCTTACTTTATTTTTTGTTTTTGTGTGTCCTTTTTTTCTCTTTTCACGGTTCTTCAAGTCTCTGTTTACTCTAGCGACTTCAGCTGTTTTTTTCCTCCACCTCATCTTCATGTTATTCCTTCTGACTTGCTCATCTGGTTTGCCTCTCATTTCTCTGCTTCAGTATGTCTTCACCAGTTATCTCTGTTACTCACTTTCTTTTGTTAAATTGCCTCCTTGCTAATGCTCCTTCTTTTTATTCATTATAAAGTTCTTTCCTTTTTTAAATTCTTGTATTCATTATCATTATTAATCATTAAAGTCATAAAACCACATTTCCTTTCAGTGGACTTGGAGCAGTTTATACAAAATAGCTTTATTTCCCATGTCAAAACAGGCTCTAAGATGAGACAAAATTGATATAAGGTCGGTACAAATAGCCTGTTGAAGAGATTACAAAAAAACAAAAACACTGACAGCACAAAAAGACCGACACAATCCTGTTTTATAAAAAAGCTGTTCCTTTATCCTTGCATTTTCTATAAATGTAGCTTTATTATAAAAAATAAAAAAAACACACTATTAGAGTTACAATGCTCTTAAATGTTTGTAATTCTCACAGGAAGATCTGATTCTGTTTTCTTATGAGATTCCTTACTGGTTACATTTAAAGATTTTATGATGTTGTTTACTTCATAAGTCCCAAATGTGTTATACATGAAACACAGACCTATTCTAGCCCTGACATAAAACGCTGTTGTTTAGGTCTTTTAGTGGCCTCAGGGCAATTATGTAGACTCAGAGGTCATATATCTTGTAAAATAAATGTTTGAAATAGAAGAAAAACAGCTGGTGAGTCGTGAGCCTATGAGAAGCCTTTGGGTGTGTTTTTTCTTCTTGGACATTGTTATTTCCTCTTTAGCAATCTCATGACTCAGGATTACCAAGAAATCTGTATGAAGCACCAACACAGACTGCCATATTTTTTATCCACTTGTGCTTTGATTTATTAAAACACTGTAATATACAGTAGGAATAATGTAATAATCTTGTACTTCACAGGCCTGTGGGTGGATTTTTCTACTCATGATGACATTCACAGCTTTTCTCATCCGGGCAATCAGACCATGCTTCACCCAAGCCGCCTTTCTCAAAACCAAATACTGGTCCCATTACATCGATATTGAACGCAAGATGTTCGATGAGACGTGTAAGGAGCATGCCAAGAGCTTTGCCAAAGTGTGTATCCACCAGTACTTTGAAAACATCAGCGGAGAAATGCAGCGCTTCCACGGCCATCGCTCCGGCAAGGAGGAAAGCGGCGATGAAGAGGAGGACAAGAGAAGTGATGAAGACAAGCTGCTAGGCATTAGGGCCCAGGATGATATGAACAAGGTTTTGTGGAACTGGCACACGTGTAAGCCAGCGCTGGCTCTGAGAAAGGACCAGATGGATGAGGAAAACAATAGTAAGCTGAATGGAAAAATAAACGGAGCATTTAATGGGTTTGCATATGGACACACCCATGAGGCAGAAAAAAAGGAATGGGCAGTGTATTACAGTAAGGTTTGAAGGACACTGCGATAACACAGTTGCAAATAAGCTTGTAGACAGTTAATGAATTGTTCCTTCTACTTAGAAAATTGAAAGAAAAATGTATATGAAATACTCAAAGTACATAACCATTGCTTATTTTAATGCCATTTTTAAATATTCGGCTTTAATAGGACTTTCTTTTAATATTTTAAAGCAATTTTTGCCTAAATTTCCTTGAGATGTCTAACTGTTTTTTAAAACTTTCTTGGTTTTTTACCATGGTTCCCATCACTTTCATCATCATCTTCATCATTTTACTTCAGTGTCTCAGACCCTTTCAGAGAAATGTCTTTTGTTAAACTGCCTCACTCTGTACTATGAATTAATAACAAAAGCAAGGCTTTCAAATTCAAGGTATTTATTATGTTCTTTCAGCACCGAAAAGAAAACTAAACAAGATTAATTTTAATATGATCTGACTCATAAAGTGATCTCCAAAAAGCTGAAATCTCTGAAATGAGATTTGGTTTAAGAAAGAAACTGAGAGGCAGATATAGCATCTAACATATAAACATATTTTAACATGCCTAAATAACAATTTGATTATTTTTTTAAAACACATGACCAAAGACTCAGAAGGAACAAACTGCACATAAAGCTTTGCTCTTAGATCTATTTTTATTCCACATCAAAAGCAAAATTTTAACTCTGTTGTTAATTTCTACTGTACATAAAAGGAAACCTCTGCTTTATTAGACAAACTAATGCAAAGAGAAATTCTAGGCTTGAACAGTTATTTCAAAATCTCAAATTGACAGTAGAGAATATGGTGACAAAGTAACCATGTTTTATTTTCAGACTCCAAAATTAGACATTTAAGAAAACAGCAGTATGTCCAACAACATGAAGATATTTTTTTTCTTGACATTGCTCTAAAAAATAAAAGTTTTGGAGTCATTAATATTTAAATCTGATGAAAGGTTGAAATAGCAACAGTTTTGTCACAAAAAGCTTACAGTGTATGAAAAAAGTGTAAATTAAGAGATTAAATCTTTCTTTAGGTCTTCATTTGTCCTTTTTGCAATTACATTTTATCTGCTCAAAAAAATATTAAAAAAAACAGTGCAGGGAATTAGTGCAATAAAAGTAAAATTATATATATAGGTTTAAAACATAAAGGTACTAAAGAGTCTAGATTCTTGCTTGTCAGCAATTTCGCAATGCTCTTTTATTTGATAGTATAAAAAACAGTGTTTGTCCACTAATTTCTGTTGTCACATGTAAGCTTTGGTAATAGCTAAATATTGTATTAAATTTGCTTTGTGTGCAGAAAATATTATAGCTTATGCAAAAGTCATAGTAAGAGGGTCAGTATCCATTCTTAGCAGGGTTAGGTACCCCATATTTGTATCCATATAATGTTGTAAAATAAGAGACTTTCCACTGGAAGTTAGATGTCTGGTATTCAACATCAGGATATAATGAGCAGTTCATTTTTCCAGAATAATAAAACTATTTGACAATTAATGACAGTTTAGTTAGTAATTGTTCAATTTGAAACTTGGGTTTAGTACATATTACCACCATTTTGTTTTTGGGCATGACATAACATTTGTTAAAAGCTAATGTACTATTAAAGAGCCACTCTGACTATTTGTATCAACATTCTGTCCCAGAGAGAGTGTAGTGTAGGAGCAAAATAGCAAAGCGCTTCCATTGGAGCGAACTTTAGCCATAAGACGATAACTTGCCAAAATGAAGTTCTCTTACAGACAGAATTATAAAATTATGAGTCTCCTACATCTTCACCAGAAACTTTGTTTTGTTGAGTAGCTATCATTTGCCCTGATGGTTAAAATGGATGTAGGTTGGGGCTAGTAGAGGAGGTAGCAAGAGGCGTAGCTTATCACACTTCTTCTTTTGGTCTACAGACAGTGCTAGTAGCGCCACCTAGCGGTGACATTTCAATTATTACTCTTTTAAATTGCTTGCCAAAGTCTGCCACCTTGAAATCTAGGTTACCTATAACACCTAGAGTATAAACAAGAGAACGTTCTGCCTCCTTCACTGCTTTTTTAGCTCGTGGGGTTTTCGCTGTAGTTGATGTAATGAGCAGAAACACAGAACGCTTAAAGTGACATAAACATTAGCATCATATTAGGATTGAAAAACCTTTACAAACCAAAATTTGTCATAGTTTTATTTACAACACTCAAAAAGTGTTGGCGTTTGGTTCAAGAATGCTAGGATGCTAACTAGCTTCTAGCTTAGTTATCTTAACTTCCAGTTCAACTTTAGAACAAAGTAAAAATTAATGAAAAAATTTAAAAACAGGTGAAATTAATAATACCCAAGTTGTTTTGTTGAAAACAACTCGTTTGTTCCTAAATTGTTTGTTAACGATGGAACTTCATGTTAGTTTTCGTATTCTAATTTGATTTAATCTTTTCTTTTCAATGAAAGCAATAGCCACTAATTCATTTACCTCTAAACAGAATACATGTTAAAGTTAGAGGATTACTGTCCATTTGCCCCTTTTAACACAAATTTTTACTAACGAGCGTTTAATATTGTTTAACTAAAATAAGATTTGAAGGGAAACGTGTTAGGAAAGCAAGTACGTAGGAGCAAAGAGCTCTTACTTAAAACCTATTGAATAATTACCCAGCAGCAAATCTGAGCACTCCTAAAAACCAGAGAGACAGATATAGTGGTTTGATTTCAAGTACTGTGTCTGAAACAATACAAAGTAAAAAATGACATCAGCAACATATTTAGAAAAGAAATGCTGCACTAAATCGGTCTAGGAAAGCTTTAAAATGCACTTGCAAACAACTGAATTCTGTTATTCTACACTGAAAGGTTGTTAATAAGTGAGAATAATACCCAGAGGAAAAATGTATCACTCATGAGACATATTTGAGTTTCTCATCTCAGCCCCATTTTAGTTTCTGTTTTGTCTCGATTTTTTCTGCTGTGTTTCTCCTACTAGGATAAATAATGTGAAATGTTAGCAATATATAAAAAATATATAAATTTTTTTAATGCTTTGAAGAATATTTAGTTTAAGGCTTCCCAGAAAAGATTATGTAAATTGTAAGTAAAACCATCTTGACCAATTGATTTTCCTACTGACATTTCTTTTACAACAACATCTAATTCTTCTATATGTATTTCAGAGTCACATAATGTTTAGAATGTGGAGTGAATACTAGGAGTGTTGTGTGTAACACTATTCAAAATGGATATTGTAGCTGTGATGAGAGTAGACTGAGTTCATAGAGAGAGCTCTCAGATTTCTGTATGTCCGATCACAAAGAGAAACAAAAGTTGAGAAAGTCTGACAATGATGTTACAGCTTCTTGAAATTTGTGCAACTTGAAAGGATTGTAGAGAGTTTTTGCTTTGCGCTGTCAGAGCATAAACTGAACCTGGGATGAGATTAGATTCAGTTCATAGAAAGAGCTCTCTGACTTTTCTGCTTGGGATCACAAGGAAACACAAACGTGGAGGAATTCGGAGAATTATATCTGAGCTAAGATCTTTTATGAACCTTGAAAGGAGACTAAATCGAACTGTAGGACATCTTATTACTCCAGAGAAAATAACGGAGACACAGGAGAGATAAACCAACCTTAGTCTCATTGTTGTGTCACACATATCTCATAGTTGACAAGGAGAGGTACATGAAACATTTTGAGATCTTATTTCAGTTTTTCCTTTCCTCTGGGTCTCGAAATTCCCAGGAGTTGACATCCCTTACAAATCCACTTAAAGGCCAGATAGTACATTGTTTACCAATGTTGAAAAAAGAAAAAACAGCTTTATCTCAGTCTTCAGATAACAAGAAACAATAGTTAAGATGGGCAGAATGAGCAGTACCATGTTTTAAAGTATTTCGGCTCAAATGTCAAACCCCCTGTCAAGAACGGTGGTTGAGAACTGATGGTATGGGCTGGGTTAGCAGGCATATGATGTAAACACCTTGCCCAACCATTACTAAAGTATAAAATGTGAGATAATTTGCCCAACACAGAAAATTGTGTTTTTAAAAGGACAAAAATGACAAAGGCATAGCAAATCCAGTTCAGAATATAACTGTTGAAAGTGTCTATTCAAAGCTCAAAATTCAGAAGGCTTTAAGTGCTGTAATGGAACTTTAAAAGGCCGTGCTAAAACAAATGTATGCAAACCTCAATAAAAGCTATAATTCAACAACCTCTTTGAAAGGAAATTCTTCAAAGCAACTTTGATTGTGAAACTGACATAAGGTTTATGTAAACACAAAAGGTTTTGGCTGGCACAACATTTACAAGTCAAAATGAAAACAAGGTCAAGATTTGCATCTCATTTGCTCATCCTGTTTTATTGTTGGTGACTTTCTGATACAAATTCACACAGACAGAGTTTTTTTTTTTTCCATTTGTTCTTCTAGGAGTTTAAAAAACCTTTTTTACATGTCTACAGTTGCGGCTGAATATGTGTATCTTAGGAAACTCAAGAAGTTTCTGACTCACTGTTGTTCTCATGAACGCTATATTTCACAACAGTGTGTGCTGTCACTGAAACCACTAACCCATTGGTTTTCAACAGCAACAAATTGATTTTACAGCCACTTATCAACCAACAATGCATTCAATGTGTTCAGTTCTGTATATATGCATCTGTCCAATCAATCCAGCTGTCCTGTAGTACTCATGGGTAATACCACTGCCAAAATCATGCGCTGTAAAAAGTTGGTCAGTTGGACAAACTATTTGTGAAGGTGAAAAGGTAAAAATTTGTTTTAGCTTATTGGGCAAACAAATTATGTATTTAGTACATTAAACTCCATGACAAACAGTGTCAGTGGAAGTCAGTTGGTGGATTTAAAGGTTTCCCATTGCATCTGGGGCTAATCTTAAGCTCAGTTTGTCTTGGAAAACAAACAAAAGAAGTCTAAATGGACCGATCCATAAAAAATGCTATTTTATAGAAGGCCTTGGTAAACTGGTTCAGCGGGTGGCTTTATCTGGGAATAATGTTAAGCAGATTCAATTATTTCGAATTCTAAATCAGTTTATTTATATCGCAAAAATTTGAAACACATCTCAATGCCCTTTACAGAGTCAATTCAATGAAATCATAGTTAGAGATCAGTTTAAAAATGTCTATCTAGGGAAACCTAGTTTATTGAATTGGGCTATATGCTTACATGCACACAATTTCACAACAGATGAAAATTGATTTCAAGTTATATAGACATAATTTATTGAAATAAATTGTCAAAATAAAAATATGTCATGTAAACATGCCGTTTGGAATATTCTGATGACAGCCAGCAATAGTGGTGAACATGCACACTGCTTGCTTTTGCACTGCCTGAACTGGACATTCACAGCATCAGATGAGCTCTAAGCCAGTTTTCAGGACAGGAAGATGGAAAAGAGCCCACGCAGATAGTTCTAGTAAAAGCTCAGACAACAGACAAAAAGGACGAAACACTTAGGAACAGGACCAGCTGTATCATCTACAACATCAATTTGCTGACAGCAGCAGTCAAGCTTAGAATTCCCTACAGGACTGTGAAGAGAAAAAAAAAAAAAAGTCAAAAGATTGACCAAAATATAATTCAAAATTTGGGAAAGAAGCAGAATGTAGAAGAGTCCTCCAGCTGCCTAGACCATTAGCAGAATAACTGCCATTATTGCTAAGGATGACCTGAGCAACTCTAACTATATGCTTTATCATAAAGGAACATTTAAAGACTAGGTCAAACACAGATGATCCTGCTACCGTAACTAAATAACCCACCTCCATTCCTGCTTTTATATATTCTAGGAATCGATGGTAAATCTGGAAACTGAGACCAAAGTGCTCTATTAGTAACATCAAGTTTGTGAGAAGGAGAGTGTTAAATTCTATTTAAGATTTAAAAGGTGGAGACAATGAAGGGGAGCTCAAATGGGAGACATGTGATCTAGGAAATCTATAGCTACAGTGTTTTGGATCTTCTGAATGCTTTTAATTGCATTTTCTGGACTTCGTGATAGTGAAAAATTACAGTAATTCAAACTTCAAATAACAAATGTATTGACTAGTTTTTCAGCATCAGGATGAGTTTTATTTAGTAGTGCAGCTAAGCTATCTGCTACAGAAAGTAAAAAAAAAAAAAAAGTATTAACCAAAAGTGCTATAATTTTTTTTTACCTTGTGGCTACAATTAAGGCAGAACACTGATTCATGTTGTTTGGCCATTAAATTAAAGGTATAGTGGATGATTTTTGAAAAGACCTGCCCTCTCCACTTTAAAAAAAATAAAAAATAATGCACAGACACAACCCTGTACCCGCTCCCGAGAGGGTACACCAAATAAAAACACACGCAAGAGCGTGCACTAGCGCATTGCTTCTCATGCACACTCTGTTTAAAGGTTACTGTTTGCATTGCTCATACCAGCTTACTTTCCAAAAGAAGATTTCCATTATGTCAGACTCACCAACGGTAAGTGAAAATGGGGACAAGGACGTAGAATGGCATTATGTAAACAAATCACCAGAATGATTGACAATTAAGACGACCACTTATTTTGATGATCCACCTGGAAAAAGAACATCCTCCACCAATGTAACTTTAAAGCTAAAAACATTTCACACAATTGCAAGTAGAGGTGTGATGTTGCATTCATCTCATGATACAACTTCATTCATTACAAAACAATCCATTTCATCCTTGCTCAGTATAAGTATTTTAGACTTTGAACTTCTACTTCAGTTAGAGACCAAACCTACAAAGTCTCAGGATTTCACTATGGTTAGTTGACCCAAAAGCAGAGGCAGGGAAGCAGAGGTGAATCTGTTGTGGATTTAATAATGACTTAACAGAAAACAGAGGCTGGTTATCCAAAAATCCCAAAGGAAAACAAAGTCCAAACAAAAATGAAACCAGAAGTCCAAAAATCAAAAACATGAAAACAAGTCTAACGTACCAGAAACCATGGGGACATCAGGGGAATCACAAACATAACGAGGAAGGTACAGAGAGAAGGAGTTGGAGCATGTTAGACGGTGTTTGATGAGGACCCAGCAAAGGGGAACTGAAGAGAGAGGGCTTTTAAAGGAGACAGAGACAAAGAGGGGGCTAATGAAGAAACTGGGAGCAGCTGTGCACAGAACAAGAGGGAAAGAGCTAGGGAAGAAGGAGAACACAAGAGGGCAGCAGAGAGCAACAAATAGAAACCTGGAAGACTGGAAATAACAACACAATGTTAAATTACTAGGACAATAAAACATGGAGAAAAGAAAACTAAACACTCAAAAGAAAACATAACAGAACCCAGACTAGGACAGTAACTGGAAAAAACAAAGAACACAGCAAGGAGTAAAGCAAGACTGAATACTATAACAGAAACCTGACACTAAGAAACTATGATTTAAAAGAGACAGGAATCTGAAAAGTAGAATGAAACATTAGTGGCCAATGTTGCTGTGTTGAGTGCTAAAAAATAATTTGTATTCTCTATTTCAGACGTTCCCAAACTTTCCAGGTTCTGACCCACAAAATGGTTTAACTATATCGTTTCAGTATACAAACTCTTCTACAAATCCATTAAACATGTGTGTCATCATATACAACAACTAAAATAGTTGGTTTAAGAGATGTTTTTATACATTTGAGCAGTTTGACATAAATGTTTATTGTTTTGTTTAACTTGTGTACTGGATCCCAAGATCCTATTAGCCTACTGGTTGATCAAGAACCCCAGATGGAGTCACAACCTCAACTTTGAGAATTCATGCTCTATGTCACTCTTGCTTTTTGCTACTGAAACAGTGATTTTGATACCTATATCCAGCCAAGCAGTCCTGAGGAACCAGCTGAAGCTTTCAGGAGTGGGCATTCACCTGCCCTAGTGAGCACTGGACTATGTCACTGGCCAACTGCAGTATATGAAGATATCATTCTGTATCTTTTTTTTTTCCTTTTCAGGTGTTTTATTGTCATTACACTGTCACAAGTACAGAGCAATGAAATGAACAGAGAACTAATCTTTATAGGCCTGTAAATTCTCAGTCATCTGAGTCTTGGCAACCACAAATAGGCTTAAATTGGAAGGCAACCAGACTTATGCTTGGATTTTCTGAAGACATTTCATCAGCTATTCAGGAGTCTTTGTGAATTGTTTCAACTCACTTGAGTTCAATCTGTAGTTGGAGCATTGATGCATTTAAGCAGCATGAAGGCCCATCCTCCTAAGCATATTCCAAGTCAGATGCAAATCCAATAGCCATTCATCATTTTTCCGGATTGTTGGAGTCCTTTGTTGTGCATAGACTAAGCGATTGGCCTTTTAAAGCATGATGATAGTGCTTATGTAATTTATTTGAAAGGAGTTCCATGACTGAAATGTAAATGCTTGGAAGCTGAAACCTCCCCCCACTTTTCAGTAATGTATTTATCAACTGCAGATCGCTCTGGTGCAAGCCAACAGAATTGACAAAGACTCTGTGGATAGGTGTTGAAACGTCTCCAAAAAAACTGAGAGAAAGTCCAGTTGCCTTCCAACTAAAGTCTGTTTTGTGATTATCTTGAGATAGTGTGCTCTTACACTGGGTGTTCATCTGCACAATAAATTTGAGTGGAGTCACAGCACTGATGTTCTCTACAGAAAGGCCAGCACAGAGGACCCTTTCGACCCTGTGGTGGCATCTGCCCTTTTTTATGGTGCACTTTGTTGAAGCATCAGTTTATCTACTGCTGAGAGGAACAGATTATATTAATTCATCAGCAAGGCCTAGATGAGCTCTGCTTAAAGTACAGGTGAAGGAAGACAGAGGGATTTTAGCAACAATAACATGATTGTTGGGCAAGATCTCACCCAATGCATGAAGCTATTACAGAGCTGGGGAGCTCCTTCAGTGAATAACTAATGCTTTTTGTTAGAATTCCAGTTTGTATTGTCTGTTTTTGTGGTTGTTTGTGTGTTTTTCTCCCTCCACCACCAGGTGGCGCCCTGTCCTCGTTGGCTCTCCTACACACTTGCGGCTCATTGGATCATTACTGAGGAGTATTTGAGCAGTGGACTGTCACTACCTCAAGGCCAGAGTGTTTGCCAGTTTTGGGTACTCTAGCCAAACTAACATTAGCTGAGTCTAACCTAGCTTTGTTTCTCTGAGTCTAACGAGTTCTTTGTCTTTGTTCTCCGGCAGGAAGCTTTCCTGTGTTACTGGATACCTGGACCTTCTCCCCCCTGGAAGGAGTTCACACTGAACAGGGAAAACCTCCACATGTGCCGTTCAAGTTCCCATTGGAAATATGAGTGACAGTCTGCTCCATTACTCCTTTCGGGTCCAACGCTTGTCTACTTGCACTCTTTTAAAAAAGGAAAAAACAAAAACAAATGTGCTGTTAGCACATATAGTTTTTTTAATCATTTCTGTTCTTTAAGCTAGCCTGTTGATAATTTACAAACATTTGTTACTGTGCATGGAAATTACACATCTTCCACTGATGCTTTTTCTTTTCCTCCATCCGTTTATCCATCTGGGGATATTTTGACCATCTCTTCTCCAAAGCCCAGCAGCTGTCCTCTTCTGCAGCAGAGTGGCCACCAGGCCCACTGATGTAGGGGTGTGTCCCGTCTGTCGCTTTCAACCCTTGGTTTTCCTTTTTTATTTATATATAATATATATTATTTCATACTTCATACTGCCCTATTCAATTTTTATTGCTAAAGCGGCTCCACACATGATCCAAAGCAAAGTGTTTCTCATGAGACCAAAATAATATCTTTCTACTCTGACCTCTATTTCACACAAACTGCTTTGTTTTGGTTGTCAGGACATCAGCCATGCGCGTGTCATTGCCCCTTGACTTTGCTGTAGTGTCTCTCTTCCTCTCTCTCTCTCTCACACACACACATGCATGGAGGAGGAGGAGTGGTGGAGGGGTGGGTGAGCGCACACAGACGCATGTAGGCCGTTGTCCTGCTTGCAGGCGTCCCATTCGTCAACGTGAGGCTCATTCTCGCTGGCCTCTGCCTCCAGATTGGAGGATGAGGAAGCGAGGGAGGGCTGACGGAGGAGAGTTGCGAGGCAAAACTGCTGGTCACATGAGCACAGATCTGTTTACAAACCCAAGGCAGAGCAGCAAGAGAAGAGTGAGGGGAGGAAGGGGGGAAAGGCCAACTGCAGGCACCATTATGGACCCAAAAAGGAGGTAGAAGGGGGGAAGCCTGCCATGACAAAGCCAGCTGGAGGTGTGAGAGGCTGACAGACACACTCCGCCTTTGTCTCATATTTTTTTTTCCTCCCTGTCTTTCTTAATCGAAGGAGCAGATGGTTGGAGGGAGAGTAGGTTCCCCCACCCTACACACAAAACACACGCACATATCTTCTGATGAACACACAGCAGTTATAGAGGACTGTTGTTGACTGCATGGAGCTATCCTCATGTTGTTTGTTCTTGGAGGGGAGAACATCATCACCTTCATTTAGAAGGAACATCTACAGCAAGATCAGAGGACCAGAGGAGGAGGAAACCAGAGAAGTGGTGAGACTTGAGAAAATCAGATTTCGATTGATGTTGGATTATTGCTTTCACTGGGTTGAGGATTTGCCATTAAACGCTGGATGTCACTGTAACTGGCGAGAGGCAGGGGACAAGACTGCAAAGTGACGCAAAGTGAAGTCAAGGAGGCTGTTTCCCTTCTCTCTCTGTGAGTATTTCCTGTTTGCAAGCTGCTTGTGGTGTTTTTGACTGAGCTTTTCACATTTTTGCAAAAACATGTCCTCACTTGTTCACGAGGCCTCTGATTTTGTTTGTTCTCAACAACATTTCTATTCTGTTATGCTTTTCTTTCCTTTGGTGACATCATTCAGAAGCATATGAGGTCCTCAGATCCAAATCCTCCCCCCCTCAACTCAACACGGAGTGGTTAATCCAGATTTGGGGAATGCTGTGCAGCCCAGACTGCTGAGCCAACAATAAAAAAAAAAAAAGAAAACACACCTCTGAAGGATTTCTGGAATCTGAAAATCTCCCATGACTGGTTGGTGAAGGAACTAACCCAAAGATCCAGGTCAGGGTAGCTGGATCGGGACATTTGCAGAGTCTGAACTTCCAGAACCAATTCTTCTGGCGTTTCTCCAGTCCTTCTCCTGACTGGGCCTGAATTCACTGCTGCTGCCTTGGGAGTCAAATTTCATGCAACCATTCCAATGGTGTAACGGTAAGTGAGTGGATTTCACCGCCGACCATGACACACATGTAAGGTAGTTGCAAACTGTAAACTTAGTGAGGAGTTTCACATTTATTTAAAACTGGAGACAACGGTGGCTGTTTATACAGTATGTGTGTGATAAAGCTGGATTTTTAGACTTCTCTTAGTATATTTTTACTGTATTTAGACATGGGTGTTTAAAAAAACATTTTCCAAACCTCTATCCTTTCATTAAGATTTGCTATATGGGGTTGGAGTGACCGATCCAGTAATGACCCCCTCCCCCACTTGTTACTAACTACCACTGAAAAAAACTACCGTACCTTCCCTTTGCTTATTAACTCAGATAGTTGGTCAGCTGGAAATATCATCCAGCCTTGGCTTGGTTTGGGTCAATTCTGGATTATCATGGTTTAAAAAAAAAAAACTGGTTTCAAATCCTCTAAAATCATACCATATCAAACTATCACATCATTTCCATGGTATAACCTTTAATGTTACCTTAACATTCTAACACATTTGTCTCTTCGGAGCAAAAAGGTCTTATTCCCCATAAGTGCTGTAAAATTTTTAGATTTTGTTTTTTTCTCTCTCTAAATACTTTTCACTTCTTTTTATCCTCTAAAAATTCTTATAGATAAGTATTTACCTTGTTAAAACCCAATATAAATGCATAAGATAGCTTTTTTTTTTATTGAAATATTCTTAATTTAGTCACAAAATGACACAGAATTAAGAATTGCATCAGTTTATGTGAAGATAAACGTGAACCCATGAGCAGCAATTTAAAATAGCCAATCCATTTTTAGGTCAATTTTTAAAATCGACAAAGTTAAGTATCATTTTGGTAAAGTCTGACACTACGTTCTCTTGAGGGTCATTAAATGAAGATGAGATTATGATGCAATCCTGCCTCAATTTCCATCGTTACAAGAAGGACAATATGACAGGATATATATTGGAATGTGAAAAACAATCACAGGTGTGTTGTTGTATCTAGAAAAGATACAACTATAAGAAAGATTCAAAAGATTTAGCTATAAGAAGCCAGCAGCTTCTGTAGCGCTTGTGCGCTGAGAAAGTATCCGGTTCGGTCCCACCAGCCTCCACTCTGGGTTCCTGAGCAAAACCCTTAATCCCTGATTGCTCCCCGGGCGCCACACAATGGCAGCCCACTGCTTCCCAAGGGGATGTATCAATATGCAGAGAATGAATTTCCCCATTGTGAGAAAATAAAAGGGATTTATATTTATGTAAAATAAATAAGCTGGAAGACTGAACTAATCGTATTTCATTAGTTTCGTATACACTCACTGTATATATGCATATTTGTTTAGAACTGTATCATGTTTCACCTATAGCATGACCCTACTCAACCCAGTTCCCCAATAAATCCCCCTAAACCCCCACCACGGCAAACAGTTCGACCCATACCCCCTGCTGCCTTCAAGCTGGAACCATTCATTCAATGTAAAGAATGACACTCGGCCACTTATATGCTGGCAAACACCATCCTTTCCAACAAATTAATAGGAACACATGTGCTCTGTGGAAGTGGGGCTTCCTCCTCTTTGTTTTGACCAAATGGTGCTTTTCCCCCAGAGTCCATTGGGTTTAACACGCCCCCTTTCCCAGGCAGCAGATTCCTACCACATGGCCCCCTCTGTCCATCTCCCCCTCACACTCAGACACTGACAGGAGTGCGCTGCACCCTCACTCAGCCAGTCACCTCAGAAGATTTTGTGAAACAGATGGTGTCGTGACAGAAGTGCCGTCCATCCTCTATGTTTGTCTTGTTCACAGCCAATTAACGCTCGGTCCTGGGAGCACCTCAGTTGCCACCGCAGTGCCGGGTGCAGATCCCCCGACACACCTGTATATTATAGTTGAATACACCAATGCGACCTGATGACGGGAATCTGGTTTTAGTGTTCTAGGATATGAGTACTTCATAGGTGTATCGTCCTGATAGTACTATAAAGACTATCAGTACGCAGAGAATAAATATGAGCTGTTTATAAAGCATCACAGATTGTTTCTGCGTGTGCCAGTATAATCTATCTCTGGAGACAAGTTTTGTTTATTGTAGTATTGTTTTTGGAGGGCATCAACATGCTTTGGTAAATTTATTTAGAAACAAAATAAAAAAAAATTGTATGTCTTTTTTCTAAACAGCATAGATATTAACCTTAATATATCCTGATACTATGAGACCAGATGCAACCTTTTCAATGGACCATGTTGTCAAACTGGAAACCATCTGTGTCTGGATGGACAGCTGACATTTTTAATACTATGTTTGCAATAAATCCAAAGCATATAACTGCATATTGCATGTTTTTCTAACATAATGCAGCTGCAGGTTTTTGTAAATATAGAATATTTAATACGTTTGCTTCCTCTAAGATGGCGCTGCGCATGCAGCAGCCTGTTATGTTGGCTCTGTGCTCTCCTTTCAATGTGCAGTTACTATAACCTGTTTATTATATTTGATACCCAGTGCAATAGCTATATATATAAATACCTATCTATATAAAAACCCATGTTAATACCCTGTGCAATAACCCTGTGTAAGAATCCTGCTAAATAAGACTTCAGCTGTCATATATATATATATATATATATATATATATATATATATATATATATATATATATATATATATATATATATATATATATATATATATATATATATATATATATATATATATATATGTGGACACACTGTATATACCGTATATGTCCCATGCACCTTTTCCTCCTTTTGGCACCTTCTTCTTTTTGACTATTCAGCTGATGTAACGAGTAATTTTCTCCACTGTGAGATCAATAAAGTCCCAAAAAGTGGCATAACTTCTCTTATAAATGTAACTTTTGTTGTTAATACTTTTAAATATTCAGGTATACGTATTGTGGAAATCTTAGTGTCATTTGTGAAAACTGAAATGTCAATTATCTGTGATACAACATATTCATTACACTGTTTTTATCAACACTGGGAAGGTAGCAGCAGTTTTAAAACTAGTGTGCATATAAAAAAAAAAACATTTTTTTAGCAAGTAAAATGAAAGGTTTTGTTGCTAATGTAAAAAGATAAAGAAATTAAAAAATGCTTTGGTTTCATCAGCATGTAAGCTATCAAATTTCAAATGTGTGTATTTGCATACTCTGCCTGGCAGGATGCCTTTGTGGTTTGAGTTTTCATCGCTCTGAACACTACTGCAGCATGACGTCTGACATCTACCACCTCCCTCTCAACATCTATGTCATCGTGCTGGGCATCGGCCTCTTCGTCTTCATGCTCAGCCTCATCTTCTGCTGCTACCTTTTCAGGTAGGTGCATTATGCAGCAGATGGGAGGAAAATATAAACGAAAATAAATCACTACAAAAGTCCAAATGTGTGATTTATGGATAAAAATTAAAAAAGCGGATTATTTCAAAAGGCCATAACTATCTCAACCTCTGCTGAGGATAATAATATACTCCATAAAGTGAAAAAGATAATAGACATGAAAAAAAAATACTCTTTTACATTCATACAGATATGTCTTTAAGTAAAGCAGATCTAGCTTGTTTTTATGTGAAAACAATGCTGGCTAGAAAATGCAGGTGAATTTAAATCAACTTTACAAAATCAAGACCTTTCACCTCAGAACATTTAAATTGCTTCACATCCTTGTTGCTGGGTTTTTTCTCGCTTTCTGCTCATCTACTTTCAGCTGTCTGTGAAAACCACTAACTGACACCTGTCTGGCTCCAAAGAGCTAAAAAGGGCAAGTTGGTTTCAAATGTGATAAGCATAAGTATAAAAACATATTCAAACTGCATACATATCATTTCTGTGAGTACTTATTACCATTTGCAATAAGTACTCACAGAAATGAATACTTATGAGTACTAAGTTAATAAGTTTTATATTAATTTGGTTAAACTGAGCCAAGTTATGTCAGTATTGCACATGCAGTGCTCTGCAGGATTCTTGACACCCCTGTTTAGAAGGATAAAAAAATAATTTTTTAGTTCAGGTTAGTTTAAGATTTAATTTCACAATATTTAATTATTGATATAAAATAATCCCATGAGTAATAGAAGAATCTTTTTATTATAATTATTTATCTGTTTTACATTTATTGTCACCCCGAACATTCTAGTTTAATGATTCTCTCTAAAGCTGTTTAGCCATTTTATACATTTTTCTGGTAAACCAGAATGTCTCGGAATCTTATAATTGTTTATCTTAAATTTCCCTTTTTTGTCCTGTGATGTAAATATGACTAAATACATAAGAGTTCTATTATGGGAAATATAAGGGAAAGTGGCTTTCTGATCATGTAAAAAGGAACAATAAGATCAAGTAAGTCTGACCTGTGGGTGTTTTGGATGTTTGAAGTGTTGCAGCTTTCAGTTCTTGTCTTGGGGTCACTCTGCATAGTAGGGGGATGTTCTCCACATGCTTTTCTGGATCATTTCCAGGTACTCAGGCTTTCTCCCACAGTCCAAAACATGCATGTTGGGTTAATTGATTATTTGAACAGCCTGTATGTATGAATGCATTTGTGTAGATGGCTATTTTTCTCACAGTTGACCGGCAAAGTGGGGCCCTAAGTTTACCACTGTCTCTCACCCAGTAGCCTCTAGAGATAGGCCCCAGGTCTTTATGATAAAGCTTGGATAGGTGGGCATAAAATAAATGGACGGTTGGACCTAAACCAGGGAAGTTTGCTTGATCCCACTGGGAATTTACCTGGAGCTGTGAGTTCTGTTCAAATGAGACCTAGCGTAGGTTGTCATGGAGTCTAATCTGAAACAAAGCATTAATATATGGAGCATTTCCCCCTTCCCTCCAATAAAATACGTTCTTAAAACTGGATTTTTATTTTAGTTTTTCAAAATAAATGATGGATTCAGTTTAAAGGTTTGTACACATTTTTAAATGTGCCATCAGTTGCAGAGGGTGCTTCAGCTTTAGAGCTCAATTTTCAGAACTGGTCATTGTGATGTTATTGGCTTTTTTAATTTAGGTTTTTGCTGCTACTTTAAAGCTTTGAAGTCAGAAACTTGTGATTATTATCTTGTCTTTTTTGAAAGCAAGAGGTAACTATCTTTTTTTTTTTACATCAGGAGTCAGCTGCAGGCTCATATTTGAAATGTTTCCTGGGGGAAAACATTGCTGGCCCCAGAGTGTCTAAAATTGCACAAGTTTACTAATAAGAGAGGGTTGGTAAAAAGACGTAGGCCAAGACATGCAAGAAAATGCTTAATCATCTCTTAGAGATTTTTAGTAATTTACTAAAACCTGATGGGGAATTTGGAACAAGCACCTACTGGTCATTATGTTAGCTGTACCTAAAAGCTCTTTGAGCTCAACTTCATGTATACTTTTTCTTTAATTTCGAATCTATAAAAAAAAAACTGCTACCGGTAATAGTAACACTTTTTATTCCAGAGGAATCTTTTAAGAAATTACAATGTGATATAGCTAATTTCTCCAATTCTGATGTGTCCCATTCACACCTGCATTAAAAATGTGGCTGTAGGAATGGGACCATGTTCACCCTAAACTTGCCTTCTATTATGTCTGACTTCATGTGAGTTTTTAAAATGATGGCTAGTAAGAATCCTTTAAGCCTTCTGTGGAGGAATCCAAGTTGCAGGCGGTGGTCTGTTTTTGTTATTTCACAAAAAAATGTAGACGTTCCAGTTTGGAGACAGCATTATCTAGCTGTATCCTTCCAGGGCCTGCTTCAGAGTGGCTGCTTCATTGTTTCTTCAGACCCAGGCCTGGGTGGATTTGTTTATTAATTTGCTAAAGACGTGTAAAAATTTCCAAAGGTATAGTCTCACACTTGAAATTAGTATGAAAAAGAAATACTTTCTAAAAAAAGAATACCCTTTAGATAATCCATAGTTCTGTTTTATGCAAGTATTTCTTAATATCAGCCCATCAACTCTTTCTACAGGATTTAGGTCTGGCAATGAAATACAGCCATAGAAGGAGATTATTTTATGTAGATTTGGCCATATGTTTAGGTTAAGGTTATAATCCAGCTGAAAGAAAAATCCAACTGACCTGTTTTCAGATTTCTGGCAGGGGTCACCATGTTTTTCATTTTAAAGACTTTTTGATGTTATGGAATCTAACCAGGCTCCTAGGGTGTCTGGAAGGCAAATGGACCCAGAGCATTATAGGTCCTCTGTCATACTAAATAATGGGCATAGTTTGCTTTTCTACATATTCATCTTGTCCAGGAAATTGGGTCAAATAACTCCAGTAAAAATATCAGTAAGCTTAAAATGTTTCACAATTCCTCAGTGAAAAAAACAAAACGTTTCTTAAAGTTTGTCATACAGCTACACCTGGAGAATCTAACCAAATCAAATATCCCTGCATCCATATGAGTCCTCTAGATCCTCAGTTGACACAAATATCATCCACCATGCGCTCCTCTTCTTGACAAGCAGGATGATACTGGGGGAGAAAGCTGCATGCATAAGTGGATGGATTGCCTGACCAGTTGACACCCAACACCATCATTCCCTACATCTTTAATCGACACACCAGGGCTCTTGTCTTCAGCTCTTAACCTGATTAAAAAGCTTCGGAACCAACCCACATATTGAGGACTAGGCTTATGATTTAAATTCATTATACTTCTGCAATAACCTGTCATGTTTAGAAGCTGTTAGTCCCTTGATGCAGTTGTCACTCAGCAGACCGCAGTAGTATCCTCTCTGTGTCTCCCCCAGGTTAAAACAGCAAGGAACGAGGGAGCACTTCAGCTACAACGAGGTATGTCACAGCCATATCTGTCATTGTGTGGGGGACATATAAGCAGAGGATCGTGAGAGATGTTACATGCCTGGGGGGTACAGTATTTCCCATTAGGACACTTTACACCACTCTGTATAGATGAGCTTAATGCCAACTATGTATCAGTATCTACCCTCTGGTTTTTCCAAGTGTATGTTGTGCATTAACCTGGTTATAGGTTTCCTTTGTAAGGAAAATGTTCTTGGCTTTCTTTATTAAGTTTGTGGGTCGTCCATAACTGCATTAGGAGGAGGAACTGCAAGGTGGAGGAGAGCTTTAATGAAAATATCCAACATGCTCTCATTTTTCCTCACTGCAGGTGGTGCTGAAAGGAGCAAGCAAGAAGCTGAGCCTTCTTGGAGTGAGTCCCCTTTTCTCTAAAAGCTGTTTTTTGGTTGGTTTTGTTTCCACACTTGATTATATCAGGGATGTCGGATCATTTTTATATCAGGGAACTCCAGCATTATCCAATATTTGAAAGGACCAGCTCTTTGAAAGAAATTTTAAATTTCGTCATTTATTTCACAAAGAGCACAATACTCTGATTTTATAACTTTATTCCCATTTATTTAGAAGTTTAGTTACATGATAGACTTTAAAAGAAGACATGGCCCTATTATGACATGGCAATTTTTTCTGTCTCTTAAATGCTGGATAAATAAATTGCAGCCAGATCCAGCATGCAGGCCTTGAGTTTGAACCATTTGGCTTAGATGATCCATTAGAAGCTGGGAGGGTTTGTTTATTTGGTAAACTCAATCAGCTTTTCCTTTTAGACGATTAGCTGGTTAATGGTGCATTAGTTTGGGTGGAGATGTCTTTAAATAAGGTCAATGAGTGGGCCTGGAGAATCTGTTACTTCTAGAACAGAACAAACATCAGCACAATCACACCATTCTCCATTGTCTATGAATATATATACAATTATTAAAAAAGTCTGCTTATTTTAGTGATATATAGAAACAGACTGATGTTCTAAAGCTTTTATTTCTGCTAATGAAAACAAAACTTTTAGACAGGAGCATTACACCAGAACAAAAGTGTGTTTTGTAAAAAGGTATATTCTCTACCAACAAACAAGCCTCATCAAAATACTTATTTTTAAATATTCTAATATGACAGCATAAGGGTGGGTATGTTAATATAATTTCTGCTTAAGATCAGCTGGAAATACATTTTCTGCTCTATTTTTATACAAGCCTCCACAAGACTCTTTTTTAAGAATTTTGATAATAATAGCCATTTTTCCGTTCCGCAAGGATGAACCCATCTGTCACCTTAAGGTTATCATACTTTGGGGGATGATCATAACAGAAAAAAGTGACTAAAGCTCAGCTATTAATAGTGGAAGGAGTCCCCAACACATTTGACCAAGAATTTATTTTAATGCCAACTCTAAATATGCATCTATATATATCTCTGTGTGTTTGTGTGTATATATATATATATATATATATATATATATATATATATATATATATATAAACCTCTTTATGTGTCAAAATGGTGTTCTAGCTTTGAAACAAAACAAAAGCATAAGTTGCAAACTGTGACTTATTTGAGCAATAGAGATACATTTATTAGATTACTGTGAACTATCACTGGGAAAATGAGAACATAAATGGCTGCATTTGTCAGAAGAGGCCAAACCTGCAGTTTTAGAGCGACTAATGCTGGAGTCAACAGAGTACATGAAGCTCAGCTCTCTCTGCAAGTGCAAACATAGCTGCATAACAGCATTGTAGTATTTGAAGTCATAGAACCTGCAGAGCCGATTGTACCCGGAGCGTTTTTAGATGCATCTCCTTCTAAAAGGCAAGCTGGTAACAAAAATGATACGGGTTTTATTCAGTAAATCTGATGATATGTGGATAAATGAGTTTTGTAATATTAAACTACAGCTTCTAATGGAATATACAGAATTACAGTGCCTTAAAAAACATGTGCTTACCCCGTGTCTGTTAAATGTCACAGACGAGGTTAGCTGTGGTTTGAGAGCTTCGTCAGGTGGTTTTCACTTCTTTAAATGAGCAGCGAGCTTACAGATTGGGAGCTCACCCATGCAGCACCCAGGCTCTCATCCACACATCCCCACCATCATGCAGTCATGCATTCCTTCCTGTTCATCTTTTAACAAGCTTTTCTTCCTCATTCCACTCTACAGCTTTTTTCAACATGCATCATTTTTTATTGTGTTTTAGAACATAAAATAATCTCACTCCTTCTCTTTCCTTTTCATAACCTGTTTTAATCCTCATCATCCTTCTCAGTTTCTATTTATGCCATTTCTTTATCCTGCTAATCCATCTCAGCTCTTTACATTTTACTTGTACTTATCCTTCTCATTAATCTTTGCTTTTCATCCTCCCCTCATCCTTCATACGGACCATTTTAATTTCACTCAATTTTTTCAACAATTTTTATGAGCTATTTTAATCTTATTTGGAATCGATTTCCTTTCCACTAACCCTCCTGATTATTCCTCTTTACAATTTTTAAGTCACATTTTGCCAGGTAGATTGATCTTTAAGACGGTTTGTCTCATTTATGACTTATGATTAATCCACTCATACTCATTCTTCTTCTTCTGCACCTTGTTTACAACCTCATTGTCTCCATTCCTCCTTCCTAAGTTTTTACTCTTCTTACACATCTTTATTTCCAAATGGATGACATTTCATCCCATTAATTCCCTCAAAAGTCCCACTTATCCTTCTTATAAGCCATCTTCAACCCACCCTTTTCCCTGATTCATTTTCCTTATAAAGATCAGCAATAAATGTGTCATTGAAGTAATTGGGCTTCATTTTTTGTAGTCTTAGTGACCACTCAAAGTGTTGCACATATGCACTGAGGTTCCTTAAAAACTTCTATACATAGATGAGTAAGTAACTTGGAATTACATGCCTTGCAGACAATCATATGAAATCACAACCATATTGTTATAAGACAGTACCATTACCCACTTAGCCACAGGAAACATATTCAGATATATTTGGGGTCTGGATCTAATCAGACTCAGCCCAGTTTCCTCCATCTGTAAACCTTGGTTAGTCTGGCAGACTCCCACAGTACCTCAGAAAACCTGATATGAGACATAAAATGAAAAGAAATTTGTTCCCTTGGCACATTGAATGTTTTTGTCTTTATTATATCTTAAACTAACCCTCTCTGCGTCTGTTCATGCAGCAAACCTGTGCGGTGTGTCTGGAAGAGTTCAGGACCCGAGATGAACTGGGAGTGTGTCCATGCTCACACGCATTTCACAAGAAGTGAGTATTATTTGAGTCTTGAAGCTGATTCAGGAGCAGTTCGGTGTTGTTATAGCTCGTATCCGTTTGTGTTTTCATTCACTGAGAAATTCATGTGAGTTTGCTCCGAATCAGAAACTCCACCTGTGCTTTAGCAACCGATATAAGGCAGATTCTCATTTTCTTTAATATACTGCAAAGATTTAACTCTTTAAAGAATTTTATAAGATGAAACATCTATATGAATTTTATATGAGAAAAACTTAAATCCTATACTCTGTTTAATTTCTGCAGAACAGAATGCAAAAGTTTACCCTTTCAAACCACAGAACAAAAAGGTTAATCTCAATACCTTGTTAGAAATATTAGAAATATTAGAGGAAATTAAAATTAAATCATCTTTCAGGCAGATTTCTACATGGCTCTAAAACCTAAGCTTTATTTTTCAGACTAACAAAGTCCTATGATTTTTATTTAAACCTAATTCAATTTCACTGACTGAGGAATCTTTGAAATTGAAGATATTAGATTTTCTCTGGCATTTGCTTTAGAAGACACGAGGAGGACATGCAAAACTGCTTTCTACAAAAAACTAACTAAAACAGTGTGGTTAAAGGGGATTTGTTTGTAAAAATGTGAGTTTAAAATGTGTCTTAATCATAGCATGTTGTTATTACAATGTTAAAAATAATTTCTAAGGGTTTTCCCATCAGCAGAGGAGTTGTGTTAGCTCTGGGAAGGAAGAACACACTGAGCTTTATTAGAAACTTGTATATGTGCCTAAAAGGCAAAACATTTATCACGGCTATAAATATATCTTATCTGAGCTCTTAATGAGGCATTAAATCTGTTCATTTGTCATGTTAGGAATAATTTTTTCAACCAACAACTTTAGTGAACTAAGAAAAAATATTTCAAATATTATTAAGAGTATTTTCTTTAATCCACACAGGGACAAACGTAAACATATAAGTCTTAAATACATAGGGACACCAAAGCTATAATAAGAAAATTTTTCTGTTTTGTGCCACACCTCATCCACATACTTTTAAAGCAATCAGCAAATGTCTAGATTAGTTAAGGTTGAGACCTGGGTCATCTGTAAAACTATTGTGTGTTTGGGATCAGTATCCTGTTTAACTGTCCCATTGCATCTAACCCAAACTACTGCTCTCTGGTCAGAGTAAATCAGTGGAAAATGTCCAGGATCGACCCAGAAAGTACAAAGGTTCAAGGCTTTAATAACCCAGAAGATGGCTGAGGACCATAATGACTGTCTGCAGTGAATTTGTTTAATATCAAACTCAGAGGGCGCTGATAAAGCAAGATTCCCCCACCTTAAAAAGGCCTCTAAGGAAAAGCCAAATGCCTTCTGGTAATATATGTACATTTAAAGGAGAAAGACTGAATTGTCTGGCCAAAATTACAAAAAATAAATAAATAAATAAATTTGAAGGGGTCCAGATAATGCTTTCAGATCAGAGGACCTAACAATTATGAACTTCATTCATTATTGATGCCTTGATGTTTTCAGTGACACAGCCCTTTAGCACACTGCAGAAAAAAAAGCACTGAGGTTTTATGATTTGAGGAGGAAATATACATTTATAAACAGATTGGGGGGGGGACTGAATGTGGAAATGTTTGTATAAAATAAAAAGTTAATGCCAAATCCCAACGCAAAGTTTTGCATCACTTGTTTTTTTAGGTCTAGGTTAGGGGTCTGCAACCTGTGGCTCCAGAGGCAACAAGTGGCTCTTTGGGGCCTTTATAAAGGCTCCTAATGAACAATTACTATTGGATACCCGGTGCAATAACCTGTTTCTCTATATCTGACACCCAGTGCAATAACTATATATATATATATATATATATATATATATACATAAATACCCATGTAAACACCTTGTTTACATGGGTATTTATATTGCTCTGACAAAAAAGCTGTCATATGTGGACGCACTGTATACTGTATATATCCCATGCACCTTTTTCTTCCTTTGGTACATTCTTCTCCTTTGACTATTTGAGCTGATGAAACGAGTAAATTTCTCTACTGTGAGATCGATAAAGACAATCAATAATTTTAAAAAATAATTTAAAGAACCAATAATACTTTACATTTTTTAGATCTATTTTTTTTATTACCTTGGAAATGTTTTTAATCTTTTTTTGGAACATAATTTTCCACAAATTTCAATACCTAAACTAAATGGCAACAGATTTTCCTTTGTAAGATATTTAAATTATGTTGCATGTGTCAAATTTGCACCTCTATACTATTTTTATTTGGCTGGACTCAAATGGCTCTTTGGATTTAAAATGCTGCAGAATCCTGTTCTCCACTATGCATTCAAAACCAATTCCTTCACGTTCAGCAAAAACCTTCTTTCCTAAGCAATATGTGAATGTGTTATTGAAACCTCTGCTTTCATCTTTCCAGGTGCCTTCTCAAGTGGCTGGAGATCCGCAGCGTGTGCCCCATGTGCAACAAGCCCATCCTGCGGCTTCACTCCGACGCGCCCCAGGGCGCCGAGGGTCCCATGGACCCGGAGGAGGTGTGAGATAATTGAGTGCGGAAGAGAAAGATCTGCTTCCCCTTTCAGAAAACACCCACATTAAACACACTAAAGATGATGACCATCTCAGAAGGTAATGATCCTAAGCTGGCCAGTTAGGAACGACTTGCCTCTGCTGGGATTTAAGACATGGACAGCGGCAACATGTTTGGATTAGTCAGAGAGGACGCTGAATGAGTAGGATTATTTCCATATACAAAAAAAAAAGTTCCTAGTTCTGCTTCCATGTTACAGTGTAACACAGCTATTAAAAAAAATAATCACATAAAAACAATGGCGAGAGGAAAATGGATTATCAGAACCAGTAGAGCAGCACTGCCAGCGACAAACATCACCCGAGGCATGGAACTGGACATCCGAGCATCAGCCCGAATACCTCGACTTTCTCAGGGGTGTTTGTTACCAACACAGCCATTACAACCCATGTCAGTAACCATAGAAACCCAGTGCCACATATGCATCTTAAGTACTGCCAGTGTAGGTGAAACGCCCCAGCAGCCAGAGTTCGCCGTATCATCTGGCTGAAACAGAGACCAGCTGGAATTAAACCCAGACGACTTCAGTAGGAACAGGTTGTGTCCCCGTCCCCCTGGTCAATCAGAGACTCCTAGAAGACTAGTCCTGCCTGTATGTACTGTGTGGTAAAGTATCCCCTATACAATGTTATTTTGTATTTTAAATAAAGTGTCATGTAATGCAATCCTGTTGTGATTTATTAAAAAAAAAAAGTAGAAGAAAAAGAAAAAGCACAGCTTGATTATCTAGTTTATTTTACAAAATTTGGTTTAAAAAGCAGGTCCATCAAATGTATCATAAAGATCTGTTGGGCCTCAGAACCTGAATCAAACCTTCGGGCATCGACAGTCCAATATATCGCCATGGGAAGGGAGCAAAAGCTAAAATAATGTTGGTTCTAGGAGCTGTTCTACCCGAGGTGATCCCTGGTTTCTTCAATTTGAAGCATCTTTGCCTTTTGCTTCAACGAACTCCATAGCCTTATCTTTGACTGCCTGGATGCTCTGTGGGGTGCCGTGCTTCTTCTCATACTCCAGGTAGCGCTTGAAGAAAAACTTGATCTTTTTCACCGAAACGCTGAGGTGGATCACCCGATCAAAGAGGGCCCTGCAGAGGGAAATGATAGTTTTCTTTGCTTTAGAGCAGAAAATATACTAATGTAATCATATGATCATAAACTCACTTTATTCATTTTATCACAATAAGGAAACTCATTAAAACCAGGCTTGATTAAACACAGTGAGCACATAAATACTAGGGGGCACAGTGGATATTGAATCAAAGATTGGTTGTGCCAAAAGCAGCACAGGCATCGTAAAACAAAAAGACTAGGGCTTCAACTAACAATTATTTTGCAAATCAATTAATTGATTTTCTGTTGATTATTTTTTTCGATTAATCTATTAATAATCGGACAGCCAAATGTTCCTTAAAGAAGACTTTTTACAAAAGCAAACCGGGTGAAACTAAAACTTATTCATTTGTAGAGTTCTGGATAGACAGAAGGAAATGGGTTTTTCTTATATTAAAATGCAAAATGTTTATATTTTTTATCTATTTTTTATAATTTTTATATAATTACTGCTCTAAGTGGGTTGCTCTGTCAACTAAAGACACATTTTAGAGTCCCAACACTCCGGTTAACGATTAATCTATTAATTAGTTGACAATTATATATATTTATCTATTTGATTAATTGTTTCAGCCTAATTTAAACCCTTCACAAAAGCTGTGTTGTCAAAGTTCTTACTGAAAAGCAATAACGCTTTTCTTTCTTAAAACAAAGCACAGCAGAAGGGTTTTGGACATCAATACCCATTAACCAGGTTCTCGTTAGCATAGATTAAGTCCACCTGACATGGTTGGAGGGCGAGTCATAGATACATCCATGTGTGGTGACTCCTGTAGCTCTGCATCTCCTCCAAACCCTTGAACAGACTGTTCCTCCATCCTATTAAGGCTGTGGTTGTTCCTGTTGCTTGTGCAATATCATCAACCTTTTTCCTTCCACTCAACTTTCAATGAATAAGTCTGGACAGAGTACTCTGAACACAGAGGTTTTTTTAGCAATATGTGGAGCTTTGCCCTCTTTGTTGACATGTAAACGGCCGCCTGCTGGACAAAGGTTAGCCTAGCAGACCTCGTGATTATGTGGGCAACAATTAGACACGCTTTCAACCAGGAAAGGAATCTAAATTAAATATGTGCAGAGTGCATATCACTGTGCATAATGAGTCTAGATGATAAACCAATTTTGTATGTACTACAATAAATCAGAAGGAATCCAGCGAAAATTGTTAGCACCTGAGCTCCTGCTTACCTCACTTCCTTCTGTGATGCATATTTGACCATGAGGTCGATGAAAACGGACCACAGATCCGTACGTTTTGGATAGGTCGTCAGGACTTTGTCAAACATGACACGACCTTTCTCTGCGTCACCGAAGCGGAACTCCAGCTGAGCGAACTTGGTGATGATATCAACACCTAACGAGGAGACACCCAACATGTAAACAACATCACAACTGATCTGATTTTATCCGTTAAAATACTGAGGTTGTTTCTTTTGCTGTTTTTGTGCATTTGATCATAAAAGCATACAAAAAAACTAAGTTGGGCATTCTTACTTTCTTTGGGAGGAAGACTTTTCAGCGCCCTCTGCAGGAGAGCACTGGCAGCGTCGTTCTGGCCCTGCTGGAGCAGGAAAGTCCCGTAGCTTAACCACACCGCTTTATTCTGCCGGAAACGTTTCACCATCGTCTTGTACAGGCCTTCTGCCTCCTGGATCCAGACACGCACATCAGAATTAAGAGGAACAACCGTTTTTATGCCATTAAAATAAGATTGAAACCTGGATTTTGTTGGACTGGGCGTAGATATCGGCCAGCTGCTGGTACACAGGCATGGGCTCACAGAACTGCACAGCTCGCTCAAACACTTTCTTCAGACTCTCCTCTGTCCCGTACATGTTCTCCAGGTTTAGCAAGGCCACCCACACGTTCAGCTTCTCCTGCTCCTCCCTGGACCAACGTAAAGCAGAGTTTTAACCCCAAAGCAGTGTTCCCGGTGAAATCTGCCGGCCTCAGCGCTTTTAAACACCTGAAGGAGATGGTTTTCAGGGCCCTCTCGGCCACAGCTCGGGCCTGCTCGATCTGTGTGGCCTGCAGATGGTGGGCCATGTACTGGAGCCACAGCAGGGAGCTGTTGGGGGAGGCTAAAAGAAGTCGCTCGAAGGAGGCCTCATCCTGGGGCCGCAGGTTTGGGTCCATCAGCTCTGCTTCTCGTTGTAACAGGGCTTTCTCAGCAGACTTCTTCTCCTGTTCCAGCTCGTGGCGTGACTTCTTCTGGGGCTGGTCGACAGAGAAAGGTGTCCACAGAGAAAATGAGGTGAGACATATTCAGTTGGATGGGAGGAGACTGTTTCTTTCCCCTTTACTCATAAAAATCTGAAATGTGTGGCATACATTAGCACCCCGCTATACACTGATAATTTGCTAAAGGTCATTTGGATAAAATTAAGTGAATTTTATGAGCTCTTTAAAAAGGTACATGTCTCACTTATTTACACATCCATGAATTTAAAATACCATAGATCATTCTTTGCAAAATAGCTAAAGCTAAATCAGACACAGTGGCGAGTTGCTATACATACCCACACATTAACATTGATCTGACTCAATCCACTGTAGCTGTATATTTGGAGTAAACATCTCACCAGGTTAACCTCCACTAAATTCTAAAGTCTTTTGATCCTTTAAACCAGGATAACCCTGAATTTAACTCCATCTTCCCATCTACTCTGATCAATATCCATTAACCCAATGAAGAAACCCCACAGCATGACACAGACTCCACCATGTATTAGTCTTATCTGACTAGAACTCCTCATGTCTTTCGCAGCCTTCAGACTTTATAAGGTTTTCCATCAATAATGACCTCTTTCTTGCCGCTTATCTGTAAAAATTCGGTTTGTACCTGTAGAAATGAATCAATATAACCCCTGTAATGTTTTCGTTTGCATCTCCTTTAGGGGTACCTATTCAATTCCTGCTCCTGTCTTTGTGGTCAATGCCATTGTATAAACCAACCACTGAGGCCTTCACCAGGCAGCAGTGTTTGTGGTGATATTCAGTTACTTTCCTTCATTTACTTATAAAAATGACACAGCTTGCATTTGCTGTATTTTAGGAGTAACAGGCCACACCATTCAGATTTTAAGTCAAATGAACCTTGGGCTTGGTTCCTTCAAGTTCGCGATAATGTCCTACTTTATGTTGGTCTATCAGATAAAACCAACAGAAGTTTGAGATTTAATGCAAAGAATAATTTAGGTTGCTTATTACAGGGTTTCCACGGGTCATTAAAAATCATTAAAATTCATTAAATGTGTTTATTGTGGCTTTTATTATGCTTTCTTAGAAATAAATTTTTATGAAAACTATTTTGCACGATATATTTTGCAAAGACGTATGATTGATTGCAAGACGTATGTCTTTGCAATCAATGGGGGAAAATGCCAATTTCAACAAAAGTGGCTGGAAAACGAGGAATTCGGGGCATGGCTGCAGCCTGTTGGTGGCATTAAAATTATTTCTAAGAGCATTAAAAACATGAAATTAGACTTATTCATTCCTATATAAACCCTGTATTAAAGAGCATTCATTTTGTTTCCCTCACCTTATTGTTTCCATCCTGCTCTTCTCCGTCACTGGAGTCCCCGTCCTTTGGTTGTGACGCAGGCCTTAGGGAGCTCAGCCCCTCATCCCAAGAGAACCCTGCTGCCAGCTGCAACCTGGCTGGCCCTGCTGGGCTGGGAGCCACCTGCAGAGACGGACTTGTTTTGTCAGAGCTGAATTCATTGTAGAGCCATAAATAGCTTCAGAGGGTCACCTTACTTTAGAAGCATCGTTCTTTACATCCTCTTTATCATCATCCTCCTCCTCTTCTCTGAAGTAAACCTCAACTCCACTGTCATCGCCGTCGGTCTTTGATTTCTTTTTCTTCTTCTTCGGGATCTGGGGTTCCGTTTCCTTCCGTCATAGAAGTGAACAACACAAACTGATCAACCAAAAATCCTCAACAAGGCTATTACAGCTGTATGGTTCGACTCCTGCATTGTTAAAAGTCTAAATAAGCAATAATTGACAGTAGACAAGACAACAGCGGAAATAACGAGTAGCAGAGAGAATCAGAATATGTAAAGAAATTTGTTACCTGTTTGCTTTCAGAAAGCAGCCGCTTCTTTGTCTTTTTTGAGTTGCGTTTCTTTTCGTCCCCGACGAGACGCAGCGGCAGGCCGAGAGATTCTGGAAGCACATCTGGCTTCCCGGTGTCCGCAGGGAGAAGCGAGAGGTCAACCAACTGATCCTCCCTGTCGACACTGAGCGGACAAACAGCGGTTATACAAAAAAACACCACAGCCTAAAGGCCGAGCTTAGAGGCGGCGATACTAACCTGAGGATTTTAGTGGTGAGGAGGGTGTTGACCGGCAGGTGATCAGACAGGATACTGTGGTTGTTGACAAAGTATTGAGAGGACTGCTGAAGCTGGGCTCTCCCTGTGATGCTGCGTGACAGCCTGGAAAAAGAACAAGGATTTATCTCCAGGCTGTTTTTAAAGCTCTTACCGTAATTTTCGGACTATAAGCTGCAACTTTTTCTCCATTTTTCGATCTTGTGGCTTATATAACAATGCGGCTTATCTATGAACTTTTACAGCTAACGGCCACTAGGGTAATACAGTACCTAAATCTATGGATTTTACCATCCACCATGTTTACGTCAGATTTGCTTCAACAAAAGTAGCACATGCGGGAATGCGGACGTCCTCCGGAAGCAGACTCCGAGAAAGACGGACATTGCAAGCGCAAGACACTTTGTGTGACACCCTCATTATGGAAAACCAACGTTGAAATGCATATGATGCAGCTTTTAAGTTAAAGGCAGTCAATTTGGCAGTAAACGAAGGAAATAGAACCTCTGCACGTAACCTTGGAATCAACGGGTCAATGGTGAGACGTTGGAGATGCCAGCAGGAAGAATTGTCTCAATTCAATTGTGTTGAAATGTTAATAAATAGGAGCTTCCCCAAACAGTTGCCCTTTTCCCGACAATCCTCTCTGTGCACGAAGCATATGGTAATTAAACAAAAAACTGCGGCTTATATTCAGGTGCGGCATATAGTCCGAAAATTTGCTTGCACTGAGAGACAAAGCTGTCTAGAGGATCCCCAATTCTATCCTCTGTAGGCTCGGATATTCTATAACCAAATGACACAAAGCAGCAAACTAGTCCTCGTCAGACAAGGAACAAATTTAAATCCACTTCACCTTATAAAGACGCCCTGTTCACACACAGACTTCACATATCCTCGGACAATCTGGCCGTGCTGTAGCTGGTCCACAGACAGAACTTCTGGGTCCTTAGGCGACTTGGTCTTCTGCGGGTTCAGCCTGGAAATTCAGCAGGAATGAGCTATATGTTCTGGAAAACATTAGAAAAAACAACACGCGTTCTCCCAGTGACCGTTCTTACCTTGATGGACGGAGAGACAAGTGCCACTTTCCTTTCTCCACATCTAGAAGACAACACCTAAAGAGGCAACACTGGTTTAAAAGAGCAGCTGGGGGAGTTCAAAAGGTGCTGATGATGGGATGGAAAACCACAGTAACCCAAGTATTCACACCCTTTATATGTGATAGAGCGACCCAGATAAACCAATAGCTCTACGTTCAAATACATTTAACCACCTTTACAGTAGCAGCCGTTCAAAATAGCCCTTCACAGTCAAACACCAGCCGAATGGCAGCCCACTTCCCTGCAACTCCCAACAAAATCCCCTCCAACTTCCAGCCACTGGAATGACCCCCTCCTTCTCCTGGGCGTGCATATCTTTTTACTCTGACCCTTTCACTGAATTACAGCATCTGACCAGGAGAGGGCGCTTCTCTTTAGATTTTAATGTCTCCAGATCGTGACAGAAAGAATATTTTAGTACAAAGGTTGATGTTTAAAAAGGAATTGTAGGGGACCAGCCAAGGACCCATCAAGGAAAGTGGGGAAATTTTAGCTCTAATCTGTCAAAGACAGGAGCTACAGTTCTTTTTGGTGCGTGTTATTACTGCAGTGCCATTAAAACTAAATGATCATCTAACCTGATGAACTGATCCTTGTGGAAAGTCTCCAGTGGCTTTGGTCTGTAGGAATCACTGAGGTCAGTGACAGAAACGGTACCCGAAGCACCGAAAGGAAGCTTGACCAGGAGGCCGACTTGTGGCAGGACGCTGGTCACCATTCCTAACGTGATGCTGCCTTTCTCCAGTTTATGGATCCCTGGAGAAAAAGCAGGAGAGCAGTGAGAAGGAAAGAACATCACTGGTGATTCACAGAAAACACATAAACATTGACGGCATCTTCCACCTGTGAGTGAGAGCACAAAGCGATGAGGCCGCACGCTCACGTCTACCACTTTAGCACGGACCACCTGGCCCAGCTTGTACAGCTTTTCAGGGTGGCTGGCATCCTGAAAACCAGCAAAAAACAACAACTTTATTTCATATTTAATAGCTTAAACCAAAAATATAATCTCAATGTTTTAATTTACTAAAAACCTGACCATAAACAGAATCTGCATCGCTTACTTTAGGATCTGTGATCATGGACAGAAGGTCGACGGTCCCTGTGACGCAGGGGTCGGTGGTGATCTCCAGACACTTCTTGTCTGATCTGAACTGGAATCAAAAGATGATCAAAGTAAAAAAAACGTGATCAAGTTTTCCCAGATTGGCTTTGAAAATATTTTCACCTACAATAGATAGAAAACAAAATCCCCAACAAAAGGGTTCATAAAGCTTACCTTTGATACAAACGCTGTGATTTCATCGCCAACCTTATAACTGGCCAGTTTGTCCTTTGCTGTAACTGGTTTAAATTCTACATCATCCAACTGGCTACAGAAAGAAAGAGGGAAAAGAAAACCATCAGGCTTAGAATAAAAGAGATGTAAACAGAATAATGAGGATAATGTGCTAAGAATGATACCTGGGTATAAGTGTGAGCTCAGGAACTGTGTACTTGAATTTAGGGTGAGAAAATGGAAGAAATCTGAAATATAAAAGGTTTTATAACAAAGATGAGATAAGAGTATTTTACCAATTTTAAAGAAATATATACATACATTTCAACAAGAGAGAGTAATTGGAAAAGTGTATTTACTTTTTTTTATAAATTGAGGTAAGACCTGCTGACCTGACAGTTGCCAATCAGATGCTCTTACAAACATCCAGCCTAAAGAACATTGGCTGATTACAGAGAGCTCTATCCCAGAGTAATACTAGAACATTGAGTTAAAGAATAAGATGTGGTAGGGAAAGCTCAACAACAGGGCTGCAGATATCACACCCATTGTCTACAGCATCCGTACCAACATGTCCAAGGATTCGACTTTGGATTTTAGAAAATTGAACCTTTGCCGCTGACGCCCGGGCGCCAACCAATCAGAAAAGCTGATCCAGGAGTTATTTTTGTGGGGAGACACTACAAGCTCTGATGCGCCGCTGGACCTCTTGGCGCTGTCCCCCATAGACATTGCATGTAAATCAGACGCTTTGACGCCCAAATCGTATTCGTGTGAATGCAGCATATAAAAAACAAAAAAATCCAGCTGGATTTCTGCTCGGGAATCCGATGTCATCAACCTTAATCTTTCCTTAAAAGTTGATGGTTTAACAGCTACTAATGCGTTTGAGTGCAACATCACAATGTTGGTTCCCTGTATTTCCTGAAGTCCATAATGAATCTAACCAATCATCTTTCCAGCAGAACTGGTGCTTGCTAACTCTGCCGCATAAGATGACCATGCTCTTACTGTGCTCGATTAGGCTGCCAAATAGACTGAGCTGAAAACAGTCATCAAGAGGAAGAAGACAGACAACTGATCCAACCATGTAGACGACCGAAGGGTTGCTATCAAACAGATCTGGACTTCCATTACACCTCAGTATAACCAAGAATGCAGTAATTCATGCAAAAGGAGCCCAGACCAACAATAGTATATATTGGGACCACATCCCTGGACTTAAAGTCCCTTTCTCTCAGTCTGATATAGTTTCTGAGAAGTTAAGTTTAAGGGTTTGATCAGCTGTTAGCCATAAAAATCACAATTAAAGGAAAAATATATAAACGCATTTCATATTTAACAAGAAATAGTTACATAGAATTACTCTTAAATCATATTTAGATTCCCTGAGAAGCTTTGCTAACCTGTTATTGGTGGCTTCCCGTCCTCCAATGACCCTGGCTTTGACCACGCTGCCCACTTTCACGGTGGACGTGGGGAAGGACCCCTGTCTGATCTCAGTGGGCTCCACCACCTGTGAGACGTGGACGCTGCCCGTGCTTCCGTCCTCCAGAGCGACCTGAATGCACGTGGGCTTCACAGACGTCACCTTGCCCTGCAGGACTTTTCCAAATCGGTGTCCCGCAGAGTCCGCCTGGTTTTCCGATGTTGTGCGCTGCCGTCTTGGTGCCCTACCCTTCCACAGCACCAGGGGGAGCCCTTCTAGCTCCTCGCAGCTGGGCTCCACAACTTGCACCGTCAACGTCATGCCCACCTTGAGTCTCTCTGACTCTGACAGAATGACCTCGTTGAGGTGGTTGCAGGTTTGGATCAGGGTCAGCTCTGCTGCGTCCTTCAGCGAGACAACAGCAAAGTCCTGGTCTACAAACTGAACCACGGCGGAGCACTCTGAGCCTTCATTCAGCTGCAAGAAACCAGATTGAAAACATGTCAGAGATGACGTTTCTGCAGAATACTGAAATCAAGAAAGCAAACAGGAGCTACACTTACAGATTTCTTTTTCCCAAGCAGCTTGTGAAGGACGGAAACATGGACACAAGCAGACAGGATATCGACGTTGAGGATAACTGCGCTCACTTTCTGTCCAGGGCTCAGGCTAACACCTGGAAAACACAGACCAGAACATTCATAGGGCAGCTCTACTGCTACAGATAATAAGAGCAGAGAATGTGGAGCATTGCAGGAATGCAACAAAAATATATTATTATTTTACACAGATTCAAGATTTCACAAACAAAACAGAATATTTGAGTCTACTTCCCTTTTCAAGCAGGAGGCAGGAGCCAGTTTAATAGCAAATTAAAACACTGCCATTCTTTTACAAATAAAGTTAATGTTTGCTTATGCAAAAGGACAGAACTATCCAAAATAATTACTTCAAATGTTTAAATGCAATAAGAACAGTAAAAAAGTAAGGGGAAAAAAAGCACCTCTAAGCAAATACAAATTTCTGCAAAAAGACACAAGGATTAAGATGGAATTGTACTTTATTGCTTTTTAAAAAACAAAAACAAAAAAAAAAGTTTAATAAATCAGAGATTGACATTTTGTAAAACCTGCGAAAATCTATGTAAAAATTGCATGACGATATCAAAACCAGGCTGGTCCTATGAGGAAAGGTATCCGACTCCATTTGTTAGATCATGACTTAACTGTGATTAGGAGCAGTTTCAGTGAACACACTTAGGACTGATAATTACCTGATGTATAACATTAAAAACTATCACATCAAAAGAAAATAAGGATCCCCCAAATCCTTTTAAGGGGACTTAAATCGATTTCTGCAAAGAAGAAAATTACTTCTACAGTTATATGAAAGAGTCCATTTTGAACAAGACGTTCAGAATAAGTCTACAAAATATAATCAATAAAATAAATTGTTTTGGTTTTTATTCCACTTGTCCTTTATGTCTGTTTAGCCTCTATCTTAGCCAGCCTCAGGCTACCTGTAAACATCAGCCTCTGAATTTATACTAAATGAGGAAACAAAAAGTCCTCCAATTCAGACTAGAGATCAAATGAACCTCATTACAGTAATGCTGAGTTAGTTATGGCGGGGCGATGTGAAGAAAATCTAAAATGGCGATATTTTTGAGCTATATGTTTAAATCACCTTGAAAAACAAAAGAGTGCATAAAATTGCAATAATATACTCATTCAAATTTTGGTTTCAAATTTTATTTAATTTTATCAGGCTCAAAGCTTTTCACTAATGATTCTGCCACATTATGTCTTTCGCTGTCAGTTTTTAACATGATTCCAGCAACCAAAAAGGAAACGCAGCATGATTGGAGCATCTCCAAACTATTTGCATCGATCTTTATGTGCTGGGTATTTTAAAGAAGCACAAAAAGCTGTAAAATTGAGAACATTTATAGAAGGCCTTCAAAATCTCTGAAAAAGACCACATCAGATCACAAGTATTGGAGCAAATAGCATCTGTGATTTCCCTTCATGTCTTCCTTTTTCTCTCATATAGGATCTCTTTTTCAAACGACGAGGCCAACATCAGCTGCTTCACAGCTGATTTATTTAAGGTTTCGACTGGTCTGCTGGGAGACGCTGACATTCAGAGTTTACAACATTCTTCATTTTGCAGTGGATGACTTTTTAGGTGCTGGAAGAAATTCAAACTGCTACCTTTTGCAGCTCATCTTACAAATTGCTGCTTTTGTTCAACGTCCTCTGCGTGAAATTGATTGCCACATATTGCTCAGCTGGCAACACATGCTGACGCCATATTTCGTTTGCCGGTTGCTGTAGTATGCGTGGAGGAGGGGTTTATGATGCATTTAAAGTGTGTGGGAAAAATAAAACTCAGTGAAATAGATGCAGATGGCTTAATGTAGTCACGTGAATTTGTACTTGATGGAGTCATTTTAACTATTGTGCGTGGGGAATCTCATCATACATAGAATATATTCGATATATCGCCCACCCCTAGTTAGTTTGAGCTCGTTTTTTCGTGTTCCTAAACATACCTGTCACATGGTGTTTGCTGGCTAGGATGGTGGCGCCCGGCAGGTCATCAGATTTAAACTGGGCTCCGTTTTCACTCGAAGAGTCCACCGTCAGTTTCAGCCTCTGCCCAACAAACAGAGCGGCCAACTGCTGCCAAAGTTCGTTGTTATCTAAAGACAAAAACAATAAAGGGAGGAGTCACCAAAATAAACCTTCTGAGGGGGGTGGATCCAACAGTGAGGGCATCATAGTAAATAAAGAGAGAATCCAGCAGCTAACCTCTGACAGCCAGCATTTCCTTTACAGCTCTTCTCTCCTTTAGGCCATTCAGCAGTCGGCTCTGGGCGTCCCAGTCAGGTGTGATGACTTCTGACACCTTCAGCGTCACCAGGAACCGCCGCTTCTCCTCATCCAGGTTGGTCACCTTGGCAATAACCGTCTGACCTAGCTTGAAAGCGGTCGTTGTGTCGGTGATGAACTTATCCGACAGGGCCTTAATAACACGGATAAGAACTGTTAAAGGTGAAAAATGGGGACCTTAAAGAAAAAGGAAAACTGATTCTCAGTCTTTTACTCACAGATTTGGGTGCAAGACCAACAAGACCATAGGGGAACTCTACGAAGACACCGTACGACATGATGCTCTTGATCCAGCCAATCAGCTGCATCCCAACAGTAACCTCAGAGAAATCTTTAGCGACGGCTCCTTCCTCCAGCGACCATCTCACTATGGGTTTCTTAGTAACCGTCTTTAAATAAGAGGCAGTTAAGTCAAATATAAATCAATCTTATACCAAATAATGCCTGTTTTTAACATTTTAGGGTAGAGGATACAATATTCTGCTTGCTCTTGTTAAAGCAGACGAGGTTTGAGATGGTGTCTCCTTCCTTTAGACTCTCCCACAGTAACACACAGTTGGACGTGTGATCAGAGAGGTGCACTGTGGGTAGCACGGCGCGGAACTCATCTGGGAGGACGGCGATCTCCAGACCGTTCACAGTTTTCTTCACCACCTTTGCTTCCAGCCTCTGCATCATAAACAAAAGGATGCATGATAATCAGGAATATATGATGGAGCCTAAAGCAACAAGAACTGGAGCTTACCTTTCCCACCTCACAGTCCAACTGAGCTTTGGTAGCCTCCTCCGTCTCTCCTTCTGCCACCGCTTTAAATGACAGCAACAACTTCTCCTTCTCTGGCTCACACTGAAGAACTTTGGTCTTCAACACCTGCAGGTAAACCAGATAGGAAAACATTCCAACACTCCAGGTTGAGAGAATGTGGATTCAAAACAGACTGAGCAGCTTAAAAGTAGAGACTCAACTGACATGATGTGAAATCTGAGGTCGCTCCACCCACACAGAAACAAGTCAGGGTTAAGTCACCAACAAAAGCTTACAGTACCTGGTAGGTAGCACTTTAGTGGATGCACTACTTTAGATGATCTACTGAATGCTTTGTGCTACGGCTAGGATATTAGCTGCATTTGCTATATAGTAACAGTTTAGAAAAAACACAATGGAACAATGTGTGTGTGTCAAAACAATATGGTCAAATGCAAAAAGAAAAGATTTAGAGAAACTTCAAATAGTGCAGAATAAAGCTGCCCGTGTAGCATTAAATTATTCACACAGGAACAGTATAAATACCATGCATTCAAATCTAAGCTGGCTAAAGGTCCATGACACGGCACTAGCTTCGCTATTATTCTCAACGTGGAAAATCTTAAAACTCCACAGTCCACCGTTTCTGTTTGTTCAATTTGAGAATAATCCCACGGTTATGCCACGAGACATGAAGGACGATTTGTAATTTCTAGGGGGCGAAAACTAGTTTTCTCAAATGCACCTTTACTTACAGAGCAGTTAAAGAATGGAACTCATTGCCATTAAGTCTCATAAAAATTGTAAATAAGTCTGCTTTTAAAATGCAACTTAAGAAGTTTTTAGGAGCAACTTATCTATAAATGAAATAGTTTCATATTCTAATTTATTGTAACTTATTCATAAAATGTAAAAATTTTAAATTGTAACTTTCCCCTTTTCTATGAATGTTCAGTCTTATTGATATGTATATGATATTTGTCATCTGTCAAACATGTTCATGAATTTACATTGTATACTGTATTTTAATGATGTTGATCCCCTGGAAGAGTAGCTGGGTGTAAAGAACAGCTAATGGGGATCCTAATAATAAATAAACAAAGTTCAGGTTGCAGTAATACACTTAAATCTACTGTGTATTTAAGTGTATTGCAGTAATACACTTATCTATGCATGATAGTAGAAGTTAGAACTTTTTCACGCAAAAGTAATGGTTAAGTCCTGCAACAATGAACTCTGGACAAGAAAGCTGAATAATTGATGTGCTTTTGCTTAGCGCAAAAAAAAATTTGCAAGATTGGTTTAAAATAATCATAATTCTGATTTTTAGCTACCGTAAATCGATTAGGCCTACTTTGAAATAGATGAAGTGTTAACTGGTGATCACAAAGACCAAATCTACAAAACCAGAAGCTGCAACTTAAAACAAAAACCCATTAATCATTCTATAGATGAAGATGTGGTCGCCGGTGAAGATGTGGTCCTGTGGATCACTATTAGGTTTAGCAGCAGGCTGTCATCCATTTTTTTCAGGGATACTTTAAGGTTTAGGGAAAGAAATCTATAATCTGACCTCTAAAGTATATTTGAATTGCATGTTTCTGTCTGACAACATTTCAGTGTTTTTTTTCCCCCAATATTTCTTTAACAAAATCCATAGGACTGCAGAAATAAGACAATAGTCTGAGAAAAAGGTTTCCTGGAATAACTGGTGTTTAAATTCAGGGTGATTGATCATTTGTAGAGGATTGATTGGTGGCAATTAGCTTATTTCCCTACTTCTTTGTCACATGATACTAAAAGTATACAGTGAAAAGATCAATGGAAAGTAGAGTCCTGCACGGGTCGAGTTTTACCAACCTGCACCCGCCCGAACCCGTTAGGATGACTACCGAACCCGACCCGCCACCCGCGGATATCTTCAATTTAAATCCGAACACGACCCGACAACACATCAAGTAAAAGGCTATAGTAGGCTGCGCTGCAGAACAGCGCCATTACCACAGCAGCAGACGTGTATGCACTGACTGTGGCCTTTTTGGAGGGAAGCCCACACTGCCGGCAGGACTTTAAGCTACAACAAGGGTGACCCCAGTGCCAGATTAATATAACATTTCTGATGTCCATAACAATAGACACGCATAAAAAAAAAATCACGAACTACCCGCCCGCACTAAAAAAAATATCCGCCCGACCCGTTTCTTTTTATTTATGTATTTTTCACCCGCAAAAGAGCATTTTAGCGGGTGACCCGTCGAGGACCCGCGGGTCCCCGACCCGTTGCAGGACCCTAATGGAAAGAATGTAAGGAGAGATTAAATCTGAAGGAGAAAAAAAACAAAAAAACTGGACGGATTAGACAGATGGAAGCTTGGATCCAAAGCTGTTTCCAAATTCTATACAACAGGAGCATGGATGAAGTATGGTTCATTGGGAGACTCCAAATGGAAAATACTTTGACTTTCCCTGTCAAACAGAACAAATTCTCTGGTGTCTCACCTGTCCAACATAGAAGATGTCCTCAGGACTGAAAATGGGTTCAGAGCTCAGCTCCCCGAGCGGAACCAGTCCTTTAACATCGTTATAGAATCGTACAATACAGCCGAAGCCTTTGATGGAGACGATGTAGCCGTGGGACACCCGGCCGGGACGGGTGTCCTTGTAGCTGAGGAACAGCGGCAGGGTGCTCTCGACGAGAGCTTTCTTCCTGGTCAGGACCAGCTTCTTGTTATCCACATCTACTGACAGAACCTGAAATCCACATACAAAATAAATACACATGCTGATCTGACAACAAGACCCGGTAAACATTTATTCTTACAATCTGTTGAAAAGAAAAAAATCGACTGACCCGACATTTCACCCTCATTCCCTCCATGTACTTTTTTTCTGGGTTTTGCAGGATGATGTCTGAAAGGTGCGTCCGAGGCACCAGGCCTTTCACATGTTCTGACAAATGTACCACCATCCCATGACCCAGCAGCACTGACACAGTCCCCTTGGAGGAAGACAGAGGCAGGAAGAGTCATAAGGAGACTGATTTAATTTGTGACTTTAAATAAAGAAAAAAAAAGGGTAGAATCTCACCTCTACAACTTGGCCAGTGTGAATATCCTGGTATTTGTAGAACTGTTGATCAATCACACTTCTGCAATCAAAACACAGAGCAAATTGGTTAGATTCATTAGAAAAGGAAGAAAAAGAAAAGAAGAGGGACCTATACATACTTCCGTAAACTAGCAAAATAAATCTGATCCATGGGGCTGAAGTCCAGGATCCTGCAGGTAAGCTCCGACATGGTAGACATCTTGTTGTCATTAGCTGGGTCTTTGGACTCCTTCAGGTGGTTCCTCTGTCCAGACAGATGATGGGAGTGATGTCAGAGTCAGGTTCTCCACAACAGATCCCTCAACCATCAGCTCTACTTACATGGACAAAGGCAGAGGTTTTGTCCGGCAGCTCCAACAAGGCCCCTGACAGATGGTGCATCTTGGACACCTTGCACTCTTTCACCACTTCACCGATTCGGTGAGAGCCAGGAGGTGCGAGGTCAATGTCGGAGCCGGGCTGTAGCAGGTAGCTGCGCAGGCTCAGTCCAATAAGGCGGGTGGTCGGCTCAATGTACAGTACACATGCTCGCACCTGGTTCATACAGGGGACCAAACCATGGCATAAATGGGAGGAAGGAGGGATTTTTTGGAAAATCTGGAATATATTTTTATCCACCAGTCCATAGCTCAGACTGACATCAGTTCATCACTTTGTTCTTATACATCTACTTATTAGTGATGAATTGCCTCACTATGTAATATCACTAAGTAATAAAATTTAGTCTGTTATATTTTCATTGTTAACGCACGTAAAGCAATCCCTTCAATTTGGAGGCCTTTTAAATTAAGGCCACCTCCCACAGGGGCTGATTGAAATAAGTTCGTTTTTTTAAAGTAATGCATGTAATTTGTCATTTTTTATACCAAACGTAAGGACAAAAAATGTATTGATTAATCCAATTTGGTTGAGAAAACAAAACAAAATAAGAAAAAAAAAAAAACATATAATATTAGATTTAAAATAGACATTTAAATAATCAGAACATTATGTCTCTATGGACACATTTCCTGTTATATTTGACATCTAGATGTAATTGTTAGATTCATCTGTAATGAGGCACATTGATTTAGATTTGTTAGTTTAGATTTGTTGGACTCCCTAATGAGAAAACTATCAGTTTTAAATGTTTCAAACAAAAGGCTTAATTATGTTTAAATGTAATAGAATGCTATTTTATGCAGCTGAGCCTGCAGAACAGATGTAGATCAGTTTTACCTGAAGCCCCTCTGCATAGCTTGACGACTCCTTTGGCTCCATGTGAAGAAAGTCCACCTGACCGCTAAAGGAGGACAGGAAGTCCAGGTGGAAGCCATGTTTGGTCACCTAGGACCCCAAATGAGTAGATTTTATTTAAAGGAGGATCAGAATAAAACGCATCGAGTATAAAATGAAAGAAAGCCTTCATCACCTTCTTGATGGTGGCTTTGACCGTGAGGCCCGGCAGGAGGTTGGTGAGATTCCAGCCATGCTTTGCGTCAGCACAGGCCCGAGCTACCGTGGACGGATCAGAGGATAGCTTGACGACACGACCGTCGTTCTTTACTTCCTCTACCCGAGAAGTCAAATACTGACCCACTTTCAGCTCTGCACACATGGAGAAAACACAGACAAGCCTGATTACTGACGAGCTTCTGATGCAATCATGCACAGTTCAGGCTGTTAGTTTTTTTTCCCCATTGCCTTTATTCTGTTTGTTCATTGTAGCATCCTCAGGCAGAAAAGCTTTGGTTCCACTGACACCGATGTCGATTAGGGTGCCATGGTCTTCAATGCTCTCCACACATCCACTCAGGACCTAATCCATGAATACAAACGTTATCAACAGTATAAGGTGTTTGCTGAGATCAGTCGTTAAAACTGCTGACACTCATTCCAGCTCACCATTCCAGGCTTCAGAGAGCTGCTGGTGAGGTGTTTGTTGACCAGCTTTGGATTGACCGAGAGCTGAATGCTGAGCGAGCCTCCTTTAGTGATGTCTAACTTAGAAACCACACATCGGAGCAACATTCCCGGCCAGAAGATTTGGGACAAAGAGCAGAAATCCTGCAAAGTCAAAGTGCAGACATGTAGCTTGCTTAAGTATTTATCCAACTTGAACATTTTAATCACAAAAGAACCATAAACTTTATTAAATAGGGATTTCATGCGATAAACCGTCACAAAGTAGAGCCAAGATTGTAAATGGTTTTCATCTTTCTTTTCCAAAACATTTTAAAAGCACAGGTTTTACTCGTATTTTGCCCGGTTTACCGCTCTGTAAAGTAAAGGCCTCAGAGGGCGGTTAGTTGATGACATGATGGGGGTGACAGCAGCATGGTGTTGGAGCTGGAACCTCAGTAAAACACAGAATCTGGAGGAAAATAAGCACTGCAGACAGCCCTGAGCTTTTAATAGGGTGGGGATCCAATGACATCTGACACCCAGATAAAACACATATCACAATTCCCAGGCTATAATGGCTAATTATTGAGAAATGCATCTCACTAAATCCTAGGGGATTGCTGTTTTCAGGCATCCTCCTCCAGATTTGAGAGCAACTTGCATGCAAGGTGGTGGCAATGTCATGTTGCTGCAATGTGTTTTGCTTTTTTTTTCCAGCAGGGTCAATCAAGAAAACAGCTGTTGAAAAAAAAAGCTGGATGGAGCTAAATGATGGAGAAACTTAGACTATGTTCACATTGCAGGCCTTGATGCTCAATTCCAATTTTTTTGTGAAATCCGTTCACATTTCCAAAATATGCGACTTGTATCTGTTCTCCTGTGAGAACATCAGTCCTACAACGCAAGTGTCACGCATGCGCAGTAGAGGAAGCAATGACATCACAGGCCAGTGTGCTGTGTTTACGGACATCATCATTCTTTTCAATATGGTTAAACATAAATACTGCTCTCCGCATCATCATCTGCCATGGTTGTTGTTTTTCTTGCTGCTTCTGCGCAGTAAGACGCAGAATAGTGACCTTTGTCGGGTATTAATGACGTTCAGGTCAGATGAATGCGACCTGGCCGTTCACACACAGGTCGCATTTGAAAAGATCAGATTCGTATTGGATTCAGGACCACATAGCCAAGTGGCCTGGGTCGCATTGGAAAAAAAAATCGGATCTGTGTTGTTCAGACAGCCATGAAAAGATCAGATCCAGGTTGCATACGGGTCAAAAAATCGGATTTGGGTCACTTCAGGCTGCAGTGTGAACGTAGCCTAATAGATGATGAGAACAGTTCACTTCAAGCTGGAGCTACAGTGGAGGGTCTAAAGCCGGGCAAACACTGTGCCCGGCACTCAGCTACAGCTCAAACTGTACGACAAAGCTGCTGGGTTTAAAAGTTCACAGCTCATGATACCTGTTCTCACACTGTGTGGCACGACGCTCTGATGCGACCTTATGACGGCCGACTGAATTTCAAATATGTTTGATTTTCTCCCAACCTTACCATTCCTGATCGGGAGGTGGTTTTGAAAGCCTGATCGCCCCTCGTTAACCCCCCCATAAATTACGCAGGATGCCTGATGAGGCTGAAAGTCGACCCAATCGAAAAATTCTCGCACAACTGGAGAATCGTCCCGAAAAGGGCAAAAATCATAGTATATGTCCGGCTTATAAGGGTTTGGGATTTCCATGCATTAGAATGAATGAACCCAGACCTAAATCCTATTCAAAATATGAGGTGCAAAAGACAAATGCCTCAAAACACTTCACCTCAGCCTGACAAACTTTGCAAAGAAGAACGAGAAACTATTCAAGATTATAGGAGTTTAAAACCAGTTCCGACGGGCACCACAGACTTGAGCTGGAATTGCTAGAAAAAGGTGGTTCTACAAAGTACTGACTCAAGGGGGTGAACAGAGACGTTTATCACAATGTTCAGTATTTCGTTTGCGAAATAAATCCTAAAGTTTTGTCTAGGTTTTCCTACACTTTCCAGTTCTTTGCTATTTAATGTTGATGTATCTTGCTTAGGACTGTTAAAATATATAGACCTCTGTGCTTTTACTAAACAAAGAAGTTTGAGAGGAAAGAAAGCCCTCTATATCTCTGAATGTTGCAGGTGTTGGAGAATTGTGGACCGATCAACTCTTCTGTTCAGATTGGTTACCTCAGTATCAACTTCTGAATCCAGCTGCTCGCTCAGCAGCTTGGTGTAGGAGTCGCACACATTCCTGATGCTGAGGAAGCCCAGCAGGCCGCAAGGTAGGCTGACTGTCACCTCAAAGTCAGTCACCTCCTTCACACAGCCTAGAAACAGCATCCCCACTCTCACATTCTGCATTAAAGAAATTGCAGGATTTTACTTAGCAGAAAAAAAAAATAAAATCAACATTTAACTCTAGCTGATGGGAATGCTTAGTACCTTTATGTGCAGAATCTCCACAATTTTTCCAGCAGCGTTTAGTGTCAGGCCATCTTGTTTCTCGTCTGTCTTTTGCTTTTTCAGGCCATCATTCTTGGCACCTCCTTTTCTTTTCCTTGTAGCAGTTTGTTCATCTGACTGTAAAAGGAATTAAAGCACCAGATGGGTTATTGCTACTGATCAGAAAAGTAATCCAGGAAGACTTTAGATCAACACACTGTGATAAACAAATTTAATTACCTTAAACAGGTTGTCCACTTTATTTCGCTCCACCGGGACCTTACTCTCTGTGGTCTTCTTTGTTGTGCCTCCGCGGGGAAAGTCCTCCTCTAGAGACGCCATAATGGATTCAGTTTGTGGTTCCTATTATTTGGAGCTGCACACACAAAAACAAAAAGAGCCAAAATTATGAACATTCAGCCACTTCAGTTTATTTACTTTTAATATTATGAAAGTTGATTTTTTCTTTGACAAACTTCTGCTCCATCAACAAGCACATTTTCATAACTTAGCAAAGTAATTCAAGGCTGAACGTTGTTTAGATCCATCACACACTCACACACACATGTTATATATATATATATATATATATATATATATATATATATAAAACAATCAGAATATTGAAATAATAGTATCAGGTATAAAGTGAAAAACGTGCCTTTAGCTGTCAGAGCCACCCACTTAGAGCAGCAATTATATCATAAAAAAATATGTAAACATTTTGCATTTAAGATAAAAAAATGTTTTCGTCTATCAATATGCTCTTTCCAGAGGTCCTCAATTAGAAAAGTTTTAGTTTCAACTGGTTTAATTTTGTAAAAAAAAAAAAATCTTCTTTGAGAACCCTTCGGCTAGCTGATAATTAATAAATGAATCAAAAAAATTATCTACAGATGAATCCATCCATTTTCTGACCCGCTTAATCCCAAGTGCCCATCTCCAGCTGTGTACCGGCGACAGGTGACCCTGGACAGGTCGCCAGTACATCACAGAGACAAACAACCATTCACACACAACCTCACACCTAAGGAGAATTTAGAGAAGCCAGTTAACCTAACAGTCATGTTTTTAGACTGTGGGTGGAAGCCGGAGTACCCGGAGAGAACCCCCACACATCTACAGGGAGAACATGCAAACTCCATGATGAAAGACCCCTACAGATTAATCAATTTGCAATATTGATTAATCTGTTGATTAACCAGATTGATCAATTTGCAAAACAATGGTTAGCTGCAGCCCTAACATATATGTATATACAGTTTAGTGTTTATGTTGATGATAATAGTTTACAGCTAATGAAAACCCGATGCTCAGAGAATCTGATCACAGATACAAAAGTACAAGTAAAAATAAATCATTTCATATATTTCATAAAAAGGGTACAGAATAAGTCGGAAGATTTCTCTAAGATTATGATTAATCCATTTGTTTCTCCTATAAGTATTGTTTGAAATCGATTACTTTAAGACATGGATGAGGGATGATGAACCACAAATAAAATCGCTTTAGTTTAGTTGATCCTAATTGTTGCGTGGTCTCTAGCAACACAGTCCAAGCTTTTTAATCTTTAAACATAAAAAACTGACAAATTGAGAGCAAACTAAATAAATAAAACAAAGCTTTAAAGGTCTAAACGTCTTAAAAAGCCCGCATTCGGCATCGATTTGGAACAGTCTAAATGAATTAATATCAACAAGCTAACCTCTCAAACTATACTCTATCTGACTTAAGATAACTATGTAAATATAATAACTGAAATCTTCCTAGCATGTACGTTTATATAATCCCAGACTTAGAAATGCAGTAACTCACATGTTGGTCAGCAACACGCCATTATTCTGACCCGGAAAATAAACTTATCGGGGCGGTCGTTCTACTTTCCAATCACAGTGGAGAATCGATTACAGACAACTCGCTAAACCAATCAAAACTCGTCTTTGCTCTACAAACGGAGTGACCTTGTTTTAAACCAATAGGGAACCCCTACTGGAACACCCAGAGTGGGCGGGACTTCCGGGAATCTTTAGCATTGCGGCCTCTGTTGAAGGGCACTTGTCTCGTTCAGCTAGCACAGGGGTCGTGTGTCAAAGGTAAGCTACTACAAGTTTAGACTTTAGTTTTTTATGCTCCATAACACGTGAGAAGAGTACAATTTTACTTTTTTAAAATCCGTTTCTGCTTTGACCATGTGGTTTGTTAACATCCTCACAAAAGTCAGTTTAACTCAGTAGCTAACGTACAAAGCTAACATTGACTTCACCTACTATGCTAACATGTATTTCAGCTGCAGATCGCTCAATTACATTATTTATTGCTTAGACTGAGGATACTCGGAATTAATCGGTATAACAGTTATATATATTCGATGGATTTGTATTTTTTTTTATTTACAATCTGTAATGCACAGGGTTTGCATTCATTGTTTAAGCTTTGCAGCTTTTTTTTTTCAGGAAAGATTCAACTTTCTTTCATTATATATTCTTTGATTGTGAGATAAAGTTTATTTGATTATACTATTAATTTATTTAAATACTTCTATATTTGTATTTTTATTCAACATTACATAAACTGTATTATCTTTTATGTATATAAATATCACCTTAATTTATTAAACTTAAGAGTAGCATGTCTACTAACCCTAGGTAAATTATTACAAATTCCTGCATTCAGGAATAGACATCCTCTGTATTTAGTTACACTGAGTAGAAATGCCACAGTATTGCAGAAATATAAACTCTAATTGAATATATCAGAATACTATTTAGGTATTTCCTTATTTCAGTAACTAAGCTCCCACGGTGGAACAAATCATTCAGCTTGATTTCCACAGACCTTTTATGATACTTTTATCTCTGTTAATAGTGACTTTCCGATCCAGGTTATGAAAACATGACAATTAAGATTAGAATATTTAGAAGCCAATAAAAAAAGATACAGAAATTTGAGACTCCTTCACCACAGCATAACAGAACTCTAGAAAGAATTGTGTACCTAGTGTATGCCTACATATAATAATAACTGAGCCCTCAAGATTAAGGTATTTTACAGACTACCTGTGAGAAAATATTTCTAATGAAACCTTATCTTTAATGCTACGAACAGGATAACAAAACATTCCAAGTTCAAATGGGTTAGCTGTATCTTTTTTTGCAATATTTTTTTCCATTATCTTGCTAGATGTGTTAAGTTATAAGCCTGTATCCTGTCTGTACATCTTAGGCTGAGGTTTTGAAGTTTGTGTTTTAGGCACACTGTATTTGATGAGTCAATGCTGGCAGGAAATATTGTTTAGCAAAGTGGTGCCCTTGATATGTGTTCTACTAATATAGTGATGGACTAAATACTGTAGCTAAGATTGGAATAATTTATCTGTATCAGAAAAGATATTGAAGAAAATTTAAAAGATGAGCCCTTTATGGGCATCTCCTTTTGATAAATACACTCAGGTTGAACTCTTAGTTATATTTTCTGGATGGGTTTGTCTTGCCAACATGAACTTGTTCTTATCTGTTGTTTCTGATCTTTATAGTAACCACAATTCGTCTTTTGGGATTAATCAAGCGTATGTATGTTCATACATATAATTGTAGGAGTTTGTGACTTAAAAAAAAAACAACAGTTATAACATTAAAGCAAACAGCTGCGGTATCGGAAATATCAATTCAGGTATTGGATAAAAAATGAAAAAAAAAATGAGGTTGAGTCTACCCCCCATTTTTGAATTTCAGAAAAAATTTGTTCCAGCTATTATATGCCAAACATTTATGAAAATACAGTTTTGATTCAATTTTAGAGGCAAATAAAATATCCAGGTGGTTTCTGTAACATCTACTTATTTGTTTGTGACAGGACCATACATTTAGTCAGAATGGGAGGACACGATGCTGGAAGTCAACACCAGTTCACTGGAATTGCCAGATACTTCAATTCATACACGATCACTGGAAGGAGGAACGTAAGTTCTGTTAATGTGTTTAGAAGTAAAAAGCTTTGGACTATAATTCTTGAAGCAAGCTGAGCATTTAGTAGACAATCAGCTGGAGGATACAATCCGTTTAATTGTACTACTTAGCATTGTATTTATTTTTTTGTTGTAGTGTGTTTTGGCCACATATGCCAGCCTTGCTGCCATCTTCCTTTTCTTCAAGTTGAAGCCCAAGAAACAACCTGCCGTCACAGACAAGTAGTTATGTAAGTAGATTTAGCTCTTTCTTTGCAACCAGCTGTCTTTCTGCCCAAATGACTGAAAGTTGCTTTATTTCTTTGTCAGGTTTCCATTTGATCCTCGTTTCTATCTGCTTGGAGCGGAGAGAGCAGCTGGACATGCTTGTAATAAAAAATGTGTGGTTGGTTTCCTCATGTAAACAATAAAGGTGTATGCTCTGAACATAGAAAACACTTTTTTATTTACAGTGTGCGTCAGTATAAAAAGAATATGTTACAAAGATGAAAGCCATGTCTTGAGGTAAACTGAAATTATGGCAGTGATTTATTAAAAGGTCCATTAGGCAGTTTTAACTGCAACAGTTAGCCTTGTTCTGTGGGTACCTGTTTTGTCAACCAGTTATTACTACCTTGTCTGTTTGCCACAAAATAAACTGATGAAGTGTTTTATTTGAACAAGATGCGGAGCTTTAAATGATCCCACTCATGCTCCAGTCCTGTTATGGATTATATGCTCCTGCAGCCAGAAGCAGGTTTCTCCGTGTGAAGTGAAGGTGTATTACAGGAGTCGATTTAGTCATGTAGGTGCCTAACAAAAGCTCCTGGGAGTTATCCTGGAGATGGATGTGTCCTGTAGCTGCAGTGAAGTCGTCAGTCTCTAAATCATCAAATGCTTTCATGGCATCCCACAGGCGAACAGTGTTGTCCATAGAACCTAGAATGAATCAGACTCTGATCACTTGAGGCCTTAAAACCTTTGCTGCTTTATCCTAGTATGCAATAGATTTACAGTATAAAGATGTAGAGCACCCACCGGAGGCGAGGATTTCTCCATCCCTACTGAATCGGAGGGAATAGATGGTATCTGTGTGGCCTTTGAGCTCTCCAACCATCAGTCCATGACCGATATCCCACAAAAGGACTCTACCATCAGTGGCTCCAGAGGCCAAAAACTTTCCGTTTGGAGAGAAAGCCAGGGCGTGGATTGGACCCTGGTGGATTGACAGAAAATTATTTTATTTCAAACAGGAGCTCACAATTACAGATGTCAGCCAAAAACTCGGGATAAAGCAACTGACACCAAATGGGAGATTGGGAAAGAAGTTAAGACTTTTTCCCATCAATTACTTTGAACAACTGTTAATCCTAGTACAAGAAAAAGTACTATTCAAACATGACATGTTTATGACATGCTTTTGGAGCCATGCAGCTTTAAAAAAGAGTTCAAACACCAACTAATTAAAAGTAATCAAAGGCTACACTTTGTTTCCTTGGGATCCTTTGGACTTGTACCTTTTTTTTTTTGTAGGATTAATCTGCTCAACAATAAACTCCACTGAATAATTGAAAAAAAACAGGAGTTTTGCAGATAAAAAAAAAACATTTTGCACATGTCCTGTATTTCAAGAAAGTAACATAATGTCCTGGTGAACCCTTTTTTCTAATGTTAGAAAATGTTTTTAATGTATTCTCCGTAGCAAAAGGGAAGTTCTCTACGGAAGAGGATTAGGGCCACTGGGAAAAAAAAAAGTTAACTGATTTTTACATTTTATTTCAGTTTAATATGGGAAAAAAGTCAGAATTCTGACTTTAAGAGATGTGGGAGCACTCAGCTTCACTGACAAAGATCGAGTTGTTTGGGAGTGCCAGTAACACATTGGTGGTAAATAACGGAATTAGGTGACTTTTTACATGCCCAAGGGGTCCCTGGTGATGCTATTTCATTAATGAAAGAGCAGAAGGTGATTAAAACAATAGAACTAGTTTAGTCTCTAAAACAGACATGGCTACAGCTTGATGCTAACATGTTTGTAAACTGTCAGAATTCTGAGAAAAAACTCAGAATTCTGAGATTAAAGTCAAAATTACTGAAATAAAGTTTTTTAAAAATCAGTTAACTTTTTTTTTTTTCCCCCAGCGTCCCTAATCCTCTTCCGTGGTTCTCCTTTCAAAAATCTCCCGTTTTTCTTTTTAACCAAGTTCAACGAACTGTATAAACTTTGCTAGATACTTGTGCTTTTAGTTCTTGAAAACATCAAATCAGTGAAAATTTAAACCTTAAAAGTGTCTTGTCCACATCAGCTGGCTTTTCTCGTGGAAAAATTTATTTTTAAACTTTAAACCACATAGTGGTCCACAGAAACATCCTAAGGTATCAAATGGCAACCAGGCTGACTCTTTTAGGCTCCATTTATTAAAGAAAAAACATTACAGGAGAAATTTGCAATGATACTTTTCTTGTTTTTTAGTGTTTTATATCAGATGGCAGGGAAAGTATTGCATGTCCTTTGCTAGTGTAGAAAAGCATTTATTGTTTTGAATGAAGCCTTTTTGGGATTTTAAAGCTACAGTGTGTAATTTTCAGCGACATCTAACGTCCAGACTGCAGCAACATGAACGTCTCCCCCCCACCGCTTCCCCCCCCCAACAGTACGGCGAGCGTTACGGGACAAAATGTCTTCCACGACGTCAGCATCACCTACCTTCTCAAGTGATGAGGTTTGTTTACATAGATAATTTTACAGATAGTATTTCATTAGTCTGTGTAGGGTATAGATTTCAGTACCGTCTCAGTTCATCTCTCTCAACTTGCCGTAGTTACTTTCGAGCGTAATGGGCGATCTCGCAATCGCTAGTTTGTTGGCTCTGCGCTGCCGTAGCGCAAAGATGTCTGCCTCCATGGCTGCGAGACCCGCTCCTATGTAATTA